TTACTTAAACCAAATTTGAGTATTTGATGAAACACAATGAATTCTCTAAAAGAAAAGGTAAAGAACTTGTAACAAAGGAGTTATGATTTGTGTTAACACTACAGAAAACGGGAAAGGAATCGCATTTGTTTTATTTCTTGGTCTTTCTCAAACACACTGCAAACATGTTTTGGCAGACGTTCCGAATCAAATATATATGTATGTAATTTCTGAAGTGAATTACCTATATCATTAATTGATCACTTGTGTGAAGAATTTCAAACAAAATTACATTTTGTATCATCCTACTCGTTTGTATGTGACTTCGTTGTCTGTAATATTGTTCTCATTTTAGACAATGACAACACTTACATGGACATTAATTTACCTCATTGAATTAAACATTACGTAGTTTTCTCGAACATTTGGTAGTATTCTTTAAGTATATATTGCTGTCGTTCATATGGTTTTACAAATTTTGAATTTGATTTATTGTTCCGTTTATTTGTTTGATTTCGTTATTTTCTATTTCTTTCCAAGATCCTAAACATATGTTTCGATGTTCATTACTGCCAAAACGTATTACTTTTATGGGTAACACTGCTTCTTCGAAAATATCCTTATATTGATTGTACTTCACTTTATTAAACATTGATACTCTTAATATCAACATCATATCTCTGTGTAACGAGGAAGAGGTATGTATATAGTCAAATCGATAGTTGTCCTGTCCATTAGGTATTACATATTGTCATTGGTTGTTTCATGATCGTGACGACATATGTATGTAGATTAGCGTGGTTAACTATTGCAGACATCATCAATGCCTCGAGTTAAAATGAATCTGTTAGCATTAATCACACTCGTTACAAGCACAGACTCCAAAGTTGCTGCCATACAATTGTTCAACAAAATAATACACGAAAACCAACAAAATCTCAATATGTTTGTACTTATTTCAGATGTGCGTAATGAATTGGCCGATCGACAACGCAAAGATAACCACGCCTACCGAAAATAAAGGGAGGCTACTCTCACCATCTCCGACAAACAAAGTGTCGTCAGCATTGAACGTCATTCCCAATGATATCGGACTTAATTATACTTCTAACGTGTCGTTGAAGAAAAAATTAAAAGCAAACGGTTTCGTGTCTGGGTCATACTTTCAACGAGCGTCCTTCCAAACAAGAGACGATGATACAGTTGAAATCAGTGGCCATGTTTTCCCCAGTCAGCGGAACAATTTGGGGATATACCCGTTTTCAGTCGAATATTTATGAGGTTTTCCTTTTCAAATAAGGTTAACATGGCAAATCACTGCATTTATTCAATATATATACCAATCAATAGGGAATTCAAAATACTAAATTTGTATCTATGAATTACAGCCCTTTCCGTTATTGAAGGAGTAAAAACTGTCTTTTTCATTTGACGCACATTGCCAGGACCCAGTAAGTCGCCACATTACTACGATCCGTTTTTCAGACGAGTATTTCTGATACGGTTTTTTTTACTTTTTAAACTAATTTTATATGTGGTAGCAGTGCAATAATTAAATAAAGAAATATACCGGTCGTTAGGGAATTTAATAACCTAAAATTATGTATATATATTTTTTAGCCCCTTTCCTCCTTAAATGACTTAAAACAGTCCATTTAAGTAGTCACGTACTTTCATTTCCCTATACTCGCCATGTTAAATCGAGTCGATTTCAGTCTCTTTTGGTATACTGTGACGTCACTGGTCACTTATTGGGTTTTCAGATTTTTACTCAACTGTTTCCGTGAAATCGATAATTTAGCCATTTTAACAGTCAATGTCGCTTTTACGGTTCATCTTTGAAAATTTTTATTTCTTGTAAAGTGGTCACAGTAACCTATATTTTAATATATAAAAAAAAATTTTTCGCTGAAGATACCCTTTAAACACCACACAATGTTGAATCTGTTTATGTTTTTTTTCCTCTTTACATTTTTGCTAATAACTAAAAACAAAACAAAGTTCAATTGTTGTTATTGTTTTCTATGGAGCAGAATTAATGAAATAAAAATAAAAACAGTCGCCATGCAGGGTTAGCTCAGTTGGTAGAGCATAGGCTCCACGACCAGAAGGGTGCAGAGGGCCGGGTGGGTTTGAATCCCGGCAGCAGCAATTTCTTTCACCTCTGTTTCAAGTGGGAAGGAAGTGGTAAACCCCAAAGAAACAAACAAAACAAGTTTGCTTTTACAGTCATATAAAGTCTTTATAAATTGGCCACCAAGATACATCACTGATATAATGGTTACTTTCTAAACTGGCATTAAATTCTTAAATTTTTGGGGTTTTTTTTATTTGTATCATGTTAATGGGTTTTTTTCATCAAGAATATTAATACCTTATTGGAAGACTTTAAGATTTTATTTCAACTGTTTAACCATAGCAGTAAACATTCATTTTATCACAGACCATTCACAAAGTAAAACTTTGTAAAAGAGCAGAATCATGTCCAGATAATTTCATTTCCCTTCAGTCAATAAATATCCGAAAATGGTCAGTCCGAAATCAAGCTTGTTTATAAATACACACATTAACATGCGGCTTATTAGCACATGAGAGAGGATTATAAAACTTATGCTAGCAAAATTTTGAGTGAAAAACAAATACTGATGTTCATTGCAATATTGTACACGTGAGTCTGTGAATATTTACGCACTTTTGAGCAGACATAAATAAAAAATGCTTTCCTTTAGAAGGACACCACAGGATCTCCTCGTTAAGTTGATACTTAGGCCGTCTGCACAATCGGAGCCAAGATTTGCACTTCTCATGCTTCATCTGAGATTTGGGAAACGGTATGAACACAACACCTCCCTATAATCGCTCGGGGTAGCGAAATCGGTGTTGCAAGTTCCCCAGCAGCAACGTATCACCATTGTCGGAGAATGTCGGAGTAGCGAAATGTAAACAAAGAGGCGAATACTACCCGCGATCTGATTGGCTAAACCGCGCTGTCAATCAAAAGCTGTCGATCGGCCAATTGTAACAACAAAGAGGGATATATGTTCTTCTCGTACACGAAGGTTGACGACAGATGTGACACCTACTCTCGGATCATTGACGAGGAGGCAGATACTGGCGGACCAGTATCATCAACATTGATGTACTTCTCCAAGCCAAAATGTATTAATCTTTCGATATTACGCTTTGGGTAACCAGTTTATCTGCGTAAGTGATGGGATTCCCAGAATATAAAAACAAAACAGCGATGCAATGTTATTGTAACATGTCCTCACTATCATAGACAAACCGCTGTGCTACCTTTCTCTGCCTATTGATTCTGGTTTCTAAAGGTTTTATATCTATTTTTGTACATAGTTCGCGACTTTTCTTACTTAGTTAATGTTCTGACTATTTGTCCTTGACGCTTACAATTTACCATTCTCTATGGAGACTGAGGTGGTCCATTTGTAGCGACAGTATGGTAACTGTCGTCTTTGTTAGCTGGGCTTACCTTTGTCTTTATCTGCGCTGTATGTTTTATCCATGCTTGGTGATACCCGAGAGATTTCGCCTTTGTTGACCTGTGCTACAGTTTATTTTTACGCTGATACCAGATGTCTTTTTATTGACGCTGGGTAACTGTTGTTTTTATACAGACACTTTTGCCTTTGTACTGACGCTGGGGTATCTGTGTTGACGCCTGTGTAGCTTGCCTTTGTACTGACGCTGGGGTATCTGTGTTGACGCCTGTGTAGCTTGCCTTTGTACTGACGCTGGGGTATCTGTGTTGACGCTTGTGTAGCTTGCCTTTGTACTGACGGTGGTTTCTTTTGTGTTGACGCTTGTGTAGCTTGCCTTTGTACTGACGGTGGTTTCTTTTGTGTTGACGCTTGTGTAGCTTGCCTTTGTACTGACGCTGGGGTACCTGGTTTCTTTCGTGTTGACGCTTGTGTAGCTTGCCTTTGTACTGACGCTGGGGTGTCTGTTTTCTTTTGTGTTGACGCCTGTGTAGCTTGCCTTTGTACTGACGGTGGTGTGCCTGTTTTCTTTCGTGTTGACGCAAAAAACATGTTTCAACTTCCTAGCAAGAAATTAAAATATTTTTACCTTTGATCTCAAGGTCAAGGTCAGAGTGACCTATTTGTAGTGCAATGCACATCTTCTTTAGGTAAGGCAATACATACCAAGCCTGATGATGATACCTTTAACGGTTCAGGATTTATGACCCGGACAAAATATTATTTGAAGAACCAGAACCAGGAGAATGTACGTACACAATATGTCTCCCTTCATTCAAAGGGGAGACATAATCATTCATTGTGCTGGCATATACCAGAAATCTGTCATTTCTGAGCAATAAGCAATTCACGTGAAATCAAACTATATAATGGAAATTAAGTGTGGCCATCAACTGTTGTGATTGTTAGGATAGAATGGAATATGTAATTTCATACAATTACTTCACATGCAAAGCTACTGCAGAGATAAAACAAATCAGAGCTGCCACAATATGGTTTTTATGAGTTGCAATGTATTGTAATAGACAAAGATAATATTCCAATACATATTGCAATATATTAATTTACGTCATTGTCACTTAAGTTCATAACTTTTAGTCTATTACCCACAAGAATAGAAATAATAATCAAGGAAAATGCCAATACTAAATAAGGCATGCTAGAGGAAAGCTATAAAATGGTTTTAAATGTAAGTGTAAAATATGATGAACCGCCGAGCATAATTTTGTTAATTTTAAAGGCGATAAATGAGACAATGATGTCAAACTACACAAAATATCCGATTTTCAGCATCTGCATTGCAATGTGATAGTATATGGGATGTGAATTGCATGATAACGATATAGCAATATATTGTGGCAGCCATAAAACAACCTGATATAAACTATACATACCAGCATAGGCTAAATGTCGGATTTGTCAGACTCCTCTTCACTGTCATCAACCATTTATACAATATTAATATGAAACAACAATTCTGAAAAGGGTTTAGGCACTATCAATAACTTGCAGGCACGGATTCGTATGAAACCGGAAGCCCAGCCTATCTTTCGTCAGGCTCGCCCCGTTCTATTTGCTCTCAAGGAACCATTGGGAAAGGAACTTACTAAGCTACATAATGGGGGCATCATATCTCGTGTGGATCAAGGTGATTGGGCGACACTTTTAGTCGGTGTACCCAAGTCGGACAAGTCTATTCGCGTATATTGTGATTTTAAGGTAACCATTAATCAGTGCCTTGATGAACAGCAATATCCGTTACCCAATATGTTTGCTCAGCTCGCGGGAGGACAGAAGTTTACCAAACTTGATTTCTCGCAGGCGTATCAATAGTTAACTCTTGACAAGATGTCTGGACATTACTTAGCAATCAATTCACACTTGGCATTGTTTTGATATCATCGCCTACCATTTGGGGTATCATCCGCGCCAGCCATCTTTCAGTCCGTGATGGATCAAATATTAACGGGATTCAAACATGTTATGTGTCGGATCGACGATATTTTGATTACTGCACCAACAGAAAGAGAGTACCTTGCGACCTTAGCTGAAGTCCTACAGCGGCTCGATGTGTAATATGTTCGACTCCGAAAAGTCAAGTGCAAGTTCTTGCAAGAACGCGTTCAATACATGGGTCATATCATTGACCAAGAAGGCAGTCATCCAACCGAAGCGAAGGTAGAGGCAAACAGGCCCCGAGCCCTACAAATGTGTCCGAGCTTAAGTTCTTTCTCGGGCTACTTAACTATTATGGACAGTACTTGAGGAACCTTTCTACCACTTTCAGACGTGCAAAGACCTATTGACCAGTGATCGCGTGCTTATGCATTGTGATCCAGGCAAGCCCTTACGATTGGCTTGCGACCGTCAGCATACGGCTTAGGAGCGGTTATCTCCCATGTGTCGGAGAAGGGTGAGGAACGACCGAGTGCATTTGCTTCGAGGACGCTGTCACCAAGTGAAAGAAACTATGCCCAAATAGAGAAGGAGTCATTGAGTTTGATATTTGGTGTGAAAAAGTTTCATAAATATTTGTACGGTCGACGCTTCACGTTAGTGACCAATCACAAGCCACTGGAGTACCTACATCGGCCGCGGCACGAATGCAACGATGGGCGTTACTCCTATCGACATATCAGTACGATATCGCCTATCGTAAAGGTGAAGAACACGCTAACGCTGATGCGTTTTCACGCCTACCGTTTGAGTCCGATGGTAAATCTGAGGAAGCCGACATTTACCGGTTTACGCAATTTGATGAACAACCCGTGAGATCTGAGGACATCGGAGAAAACACGAGGAAGGACCCTTTCCGAAGTACTCAGCTATACATTAAATGGATGGCCTAATTGAGGTATTGCGGTGGTCATTCTCATCGTATGGTCTCCCCAAGGAGATTGTATCAGATAATGGACTCCAGTTCATTTCTAGTGAATTTGAACAGTTCATGATTAAGAAAGGAGTGAAACATACTCTTGTACCTCCGTACCACCCCGCATCGAATGGTGCAGCGGAGCGGTCTGTGCAAATCCTTAAGCGGGCACTCCTGGAAACAGGTTTTGAACGGTGATGGACAGTATTCCATGGCGCATCGAGTTAGTAGCTTTTTGTTGAATTACTGGTCAACACCTCACTCAGTAACAGGCGTGTCTCCCGCGGATCTGTTTTTGAAGAGACAACTCCGAAACAAATTTTCGCTCTTACAACCTAATTTTAAGGGGAGAGTTAGTCGTAAGCAGATGATGCAAAAGGAACATCACGACAAAGGGCGAGTGAAAGTTAGATCATTTGTGGTGAACCAGACAGTTCGTGTTAGGAATTTTCGTGGAGGACTGGAGAAATGGGTTCCAGGGAAGATTGTAAAACAGTTGGGTCCCTTGACCTACTTAGTGCGCGTCGGACCAATTATTCGGTATGCACATGTCGATCATATCGTGTCGTCGGGAGAGGAAATAATCAATGATGGACCAATCAAGATGGAGACTGAAAGTGTTGTTGACACAAGTTTACCTACAAGTCAACCGATCACGCCACGTGCTATTTTGACATCAGTACCTGAAATACAAGACACCGCAGAAATCGGAGGTGGGAGTGAAGTGTAGTAGTATAAGCACTTCCGGATATAATAGATCCGATTCCGGTTCTTGGTCAATTCCAAGATCCATTCGTACTGCTAGACCATTACCCTGTACTTACATGTATGTTATCGAGAGGGTCCAAATAAAAAAATCAGTCCATGCTTATTGGCGCCATTTGTACGAGTTGTGTCGTCTGTCCGTAATTAAAGAACCTTGGCTGAGATGTTACACCTATAATGGCTGTTAACATTTCTGTGCCAGATTCTATTACTAAGTTAGGAGCAGACAGTCTAGTTATCATTATCCTTCTGTAGTTGTGTAAACATTCTGTACGACAAAGTGTGTACTTTACTCGTGATATGTAGAGAAGTTAGATTAGTCGGATCGTCAATTATTTGCTTACTGTTAGACAAAAGAGCAATGGTGTTGGCTGCCTGCCACACATATCCAGACTCAAATTCAAATAACTTTTGTTTCATAAATACAAGCTTTGTTTAGTTCTATGTTCCCATATAAAGAAAAGTATATGCGTCCTTTGTCCTTTAATATACAATTATCAGACTTTAATCGTCTTAAACAATTTGGTATTTGCCAGAGGCTGGCGCCCAACTTCATTATACATCATACTGTTACAGGTTGATTGAAATAACTTCCCCTATATCAATTCATGTTTCATGTTTTTATTTTGCCCCCGTTTCTAAAAACAATTTAAGTTTTTTTCTGTATTAAGTGCTAATTACCACTTAAACAAAATAAACTATTCAGTAGGGCTTGAAGTCCTTCAATTGATTCGAAAAATAATACTAACTCATCTGCATACAACAGAAAGAATAGTCTAAAGTCTGAAAACATAAGAAGCATCATTCCGGATAAAGCTATCATTTAAATACAAAGAAAATATTAAAGGTGATGAAATTTTCCCTTGCATCAAACCGGCATTATTTGGGAAACCCTTTCCATTTATTAGTTATATAAAGATTTAACGGTATATAGAAATAGTCCACGACTACTTAGTTTGTATCACATTCCGTCGACGGAAGCCTTACGAAAATCTACAAAACAACAGTAAACACGTTTCTTCTCGACAATGTTTTTGAAGTAACCGTTTGTAAAGCAAAAATAGCGTCGACCGTACATACACCAAGTCTGAATCCGAATTGAGTATAAATGATATGACTGGTACAAACGTGTAGCTATCTCTTATTTAGACGTCGTGAATATTGGCAACTGATTAGACTAATACCACCAACATTGTTAGTATCTGTGCGAGCACCTTTTTATGAACTGGTACAATAACGACACGGGACTTATCGGACACAAAACATCCATCATTTATAATATTGTTAAACAACGTTTGTAATACTTACACCATTTAACCGTTATGATATGGTCAGTCAATAAACAATCATGTTATTTACAACGTTAAAGATTTCTAATCGCAAAAAGTATTTCTTCAACTGAAAAATTCGAATTTAACTCTTCAAATATTACCTCATCATAAGCCTCGTTTTCGTACTCAGATGAAGAGCCAATTCTTACATCTTTGTTTGCTACACTATCAAAATGTGGAGTTGGAGTGTAGTGTTTTCCTGTTCTTTCTAAATCTTCTGTAGAAATATTTTAGACTGTGTTTGGAATCCAACACTCTGACAAAAATGTTTTGTTGTAGGTCGGTATAAAATTCCTAAATTGAGGTCCAAACCACTATTAATGTAGATAGAGTGATAGTATCGCTAACCAAACTAAAGTCGACAATGTCGGACTTCCCTAACTAGGAGATTTCCGCCTTCATTAATCAGGCCGGTTATATGTAGGCGTACACATAACGTTTAGGACGTCCGGTAGCTACTCAGTAACGAGATGAGTCATTGTCGAATCCGTCGCTTGTGTCCTTCTCCGGATTGTACAACTGACCATTTACGTGAATCCGATCTCGCGCCAGCTTCGTCCTATGTTTATCTTTGCTTTGGACGTATTTATATCGAAATACAACCATACCACCATATTTGTACCACCGATCACAGTTAATGTAAAGATTTTATAATAAAAAAATGTGTCTCTTTAGAAAAAACAAGTACATGTTCTAGAATGTTTTTTTAAAAGATAGTGTTGGTCAAAAGCCCTTTGGAGGGATTCACATGCCATTAATTTCACTTCTTGAGTTAACAGCACAACAGTATTTTGCAAAGTATATATTCTGCTACCGACCTAATATATTTTTGATCAGAAGTAGACATCGAAAGAAGGATTCGAAACTAGAAATAAAAGTACTGTGTACCTGTGTTTTTGCTAAGACCAGGATTATGTAGGATCAGCGAATTATTTCTGTTATTTTCCGAGTGAATTCTTGAGATGTGATATTTATTTGGCAGTAAACGCGAGAAAGAGCAATTTTTAATCTGGGATTGAATTTACAAAAACTGAAAAAAAAAGATGTAATTTTATTTAGCCTCGTTTTGCTGTCTCCCCAATTTTCTAAGCGTCCACAAGATATGATTTGAATGTACATCTGATACTTAAGTGTTTCCCTGCAAATGATATCATTGAATTGCCGCAGTATTGCCTCAATTGAAAACAACTGTACTACAAGGATAAAAAAATAAACGCATATACATAAAAAGCATCGTTGTGATGTAGGCAGAGTAATGTGTGCTTGTGATTTATAACTAGATGTACTAGTGAGATCAGATAATACGCTGTAATATAGAACTCTTGAATGGTTAACGAAAATGTAGATAAGTCTGGCGTTGTAAGGAGGAAGTATACAATGAAAAATTTTGAATTCTTGACATGATGTGGAGGTTTGGAGAGAAATATTCAATCATCCGATTCTAAGTTTACTGTCCATACAATTACAACATATTTGAAATAGTACAATGAATATGTGTACATGAATAGATGAGGTCTATTTTCAGCGACCTACTTGTGACTGGCATCTGTAGTTAAATGTTGGTTATAGCATCCATGTTGGATGATGCTATTTTGATATTAATTATGATGTAAATATCAATAAATTCTATATCAAATTGTTCTTTGTTACAAGTGGAATGGTGAATGTAAAAGAAATAAATAATAAATGTGGTGATATCATGCGGGGAGCTGTGAATACAGATACATGTAGCAAGGAAACGTATTGTGTGTATTTGATATATAATCTTAATGTATTTTACTACATTTGCGAAACAAGTTATCTGATCTTATATTGATCACTCTTGTTGGCCCAGATGTAAGCATGAACGGTCTTATTGTGAAAGGAAAACGGAGTACCAGGTGAAAACCCAAAGGTCCGGCAGGTGACCCGTTACCTTTTCATGTCCGGTCCTGGAATCGAACACCGCACGGCTAGGTGATAGGCGAGTGCATACATAAAAAAGGCCGTCAGTGACATCTTGGGTAATACGTCAGGATACATATGATAAGAAGATCATTTATGATTTAATGATGAAAATTGATGAATTGAGAAACATTACGATTTAACTTATAACAGTTATGTTCTTTGCGGGGAAGACATTAGGCAGGGAATCCTTGAAAAAATCAAATCAATTTTGCTCTTTAGTATGTACATACAGATGAAAAAATATATGTGATACACAGTTGAAGTATTGCACATTGCTAATCCATATTACAATATTTATAAGAGAATTTTGTATGGCAAAATAAAAATTCACAAGATACTTAAAGAGGAATTTTTATCGTACAATACAATTTATAGAAACATATAACATACACATGGGAATTAACTATACAGTGCAGCAAATTGACCAATTACGCTTCAGACCAACAATGTATTCCTCTTTATGTCATGTAGTGTGGCCAGAGGGCTTATATAACACGGAATGTGACATTATCAGAAATACATTTTATAATGTGTCCAACGCATGTAAGTGCACATGCTCTAAAAGCATTCTTTTTGTAAAGTACGGATAAGTTGGAAATTAAAAAGGGGATATGTTGGGCAGCTCACAATAAAACATTACAATATCAGAAATCTCTACCAGTACCTTTACAATATCAGAATTCTCCACCAGTACCTTTACAATATCAGAAATCTCTACCAGTACCTTTACAATATCAGAAATCTTTACCAGTACCTTTACAATATCAGAAATCTCTACCATTACCTTTACAATATCAGAAATATCTACAATTACCTTTACAATATCAGAAATTTCTACCAGTACCATTACTCCAGGAGGTGCAATCACTTTCACTCTCTTCACCTCTGGAACCATCCTCGATACTCCAGGGGTTACAATCACTTTCATTCTCTACACCCCTGGAACCATCCTCGATACTCCAGGGGTTACAATCACTTTCACTCTCTTCACCCCTAGAACCTTTCTCGATACTACAGGGGTTACAATCACTTTCACTCTCTTCACCCCTGGAACCTTTCTCGATACTACAGGGGTTACAATCACTTTCACTCTCTTCACCCCTGGAACCATCCTCGATACTCCAGGGGTTACAATCACTTTCACTCTCTTCACCCCTGGAACCATCCTCGATACTCCAGGGGTTACAATCACTTTCACTCTCTTCACCCCTGGAACCATCCTCGATACTCCAGGGGTTACAATCACTTTCATTCTCTACACCCCTGGAACCATCCTCGATACTCCAGGGGTTACAATCACTTTCACTCTCTTCACCCCTGGAACCTTTCTCGATACTACAGGAGTTACAATCACTTTCACTCTCTTCACCCCTGGAACCTTTCTCGATACTACAGAGGTTACAATCACTTTCACTCTCTTCACCCCTGGAATCTTTCTCGATACTACAGGGGTTACAATCACTTTCACTCTCTTCACCCCTGGAACCTTTCTCGATACTACAGTGGTTACAATCACTTTCAATCTCTTCACCCCTGGAACCTTTCTCGATACTACAGGGGTTACAATCACTTTCATTCTCTACACCCCTGGAACCATCCTCGATACTCCAGGGGTTACAATCACTTTCATTCTCTACACCCCTGGAACCATCCTCGATACTCCAGGGGTTACAATCACTTTCACTCTCTTCACCCCTGGAACCATCCTCGATACTCCAGAGGTTACAATCACTTTCATTCTCTACACCCCTGGAACCATCCTCGATACTCCAGGGGTTACAATCACTTTCACTCTCTTCACCCCTGGAACCTTTCTCGATACTACAGGAGTTACAATCACTTTCACTCTCTTCACCCCTGGAACCTTTCTCGATACTACAGAGGTTACAATCACTTTCACTCTCTTCACCCCTGGAATCTTTCTCGATAGTACAGGGGTTACAATCACTTTCAATCTCTTCACCCCTGGAATCTTTCTCGATACTACAGTGGTTACAATCACTTTCAATCTCTTCACCCCTGGAACCTTTCTCGATACTACAGTGGTTACAATCACTTTCAATCTCTTCACCCCTGGAACCTTTCTCGATACTACAGGGGTTACAATCACTTTCACCCTCTGTACCCCTGGAACCATCCTCGACACTCCAGGAGTTATGATCACTTTCACTCTCTGTACCCCTGGAACCATCCTCGATATTCCAGGAGTTACAATCACTTTTGCTCTCTGTACCCCTGGAACCATCCTCGATACTCCAGGGGTTACAATCACTTTCACTCTCTGTACCCCTGGAACCATCCTCGATACTCCAGTAGTTATGATCACTTTCGCTCTCTGTACCCCTGGAACCATCCTCGATACTCCAGTGGTTAAAATCACTTTCGCTCTCTGTACCCCTGGAACCATCCTCGATACTCCAGTAGTTATGATCACTTTCACTCTCTACATCCTAAGACATATCAAGGCAAAAAGTGAAGTAATTTGATTGCTCCCAGGAGAAAAAGAACCTGACCAATCACAGGCTGATACCGTCATTTTGAAGATTACGAAGAAGACACCCAACTTCAAAGCCTATACAGTATACCGTTATGTGACCTCGAGATTCGTTTTTTGTACATCAAAGGATCGAACTAGATGTCCCGTTTTGTCCACAAGGTGTCGCACATGGAACCTTCAATTTTGCCTTGACATGTTCCAGCAGTAAAGAGAGCGAAAGTTATTGTAATTCCTGGAGTATGGAGAATGATATCCTCAGGTGTATTAGACCCACATTTCACACCACCTATGTATAATACAATGTTAAGGTGATCAAGTCTACCATTGACTTCCATTCCCTTTCCATAGGGACACCTTGTACTACAACACATATCTCAATCTTTGTCACAGTATCTAACTTGACACTTTATGTTTCTCATTTGACATCCAGATTAAATTTTGGGATATACAGTATATAATATTTAAGATGTTGGCTCATGAGTTTTTTTTATAGATATCTATAGCATTACAACCTAGCCCAGAGAAAAAATTATGGAAATCACATAAATATTAATATCAGACATGTTTGATAAAGTGAGTTCTCTCTGATTTTGACTAAATTGGAGCATTTTTTGATGTTTATCAAGTGCAAATCATGTTACTGAACAAGAGGCCTAAGAGGCCTGCATCACTCATCAGGTTAATTTAGCTATTCAACCATTTAATAAAGAATTTCAAATATGACAATCTCTGATGTAATTTCCCTATTGGGGTCCTGGCTTTGTGGTCAAACAGAAGTATAATTCACTATTTATAAAAATAACTTCAGACCAGACTTGGACAATATCCTTGTATGGAAGAATGGTTTTTAAGAACTTATATTTCCACAATTGGGCCCATCCCTCCCCCTAGGGGGCCAAGATGCACCATTTATATAGAACTGATTCCCCTTCATCTAAGAATACTTCTGACAATTTTGGGCAAAATCCAATCATTCCTGCAGTAGGAATAGAATTTGCTCTATTTGTCCTAATGGACACCATCTTCCATCACAAGGAGATACAACTGATTCTCCTTCTCCCAAGAATGTTTCACATCAAATTTGGGCAATATACATTTATTTTTTTAGTAGGTGTAGGATTTTAAAGAACTTGCAAAATTAGCCCTTTTGGCTCCTGCCCCTCTGGCCCCAGGGGACTGAGAACCAATCCTTACACAAACTTTGTTCCCCATCACCCAAGAATACTTCTGACCAAATTTGGGAGATATCTAATCATTCCTAATGAAGAAGTAAGTTTTAAAAAAAAATGCAATATTTCCGCAACTGGTCCCTGCTCCTCCTGCTCCAGGGTACTCCGAGAATACTTCAGATTAAATCACATAGATATCACACTGAGAGTCACAACAGGTTGTGTTAGGTTGTTGAGGTTATGGAAGCTTTTGGTCCATTTAAGATGATGGCATACTCGTGTAAGGCCTGAAATACAGCAAAAAATGAGTTCTTTGTAGTCACACCAAAATAGTAATGATTTTATCAAAACTTTGAATGGCCATGGTATTCATTGAATCCGCATCACTAAATATCAATTAACAAGGTCTCTGCATGACTCCAACAAAGGCACTACCAGATGAAAAACTATTGTGATTAAAATAGAAAACGACTTCTGATATTAACACATGAAATATAAAACAGAATTTGTTGAACTTTTCGTTGATATCAAATCATTTTAGATTTATCTATCATCAATTTTTGTAATTGTTGATTAAAATTGAATTGTTTAAAATTTGATTTTATTTGTATGTTGATATATTTGGTTGGTCTGTGATATACCAGTTCTTTTCCCTAAGGCACATCCCACAGAAAGTATAACAACAGTGCTCTCCCCTTGTCTCCACACACCACATGACATAAAGCACTAGTTGCCTCCCTTAGGACCACCATTAGACAATACTTACACTGTATATTAGACTGTACTGTTCTTTTGTCTGTACAGCACCCGCTCTTTCCCGTCTCATATTATGTACACAGCTAAAGACATCTAATTTGCGTCTGTCCTCAAATGACCTCATACAAATATCTATTGCTATGACTGTGCCGGTTCTCCCAGTTCCAGAACTGAAAATACATATTTATATCTATCAATTATCTCAAGTCATGCTTGTGTTTGTAACACTGAATTTATAGTTTCATTATCACAAAACATGCTGGATTAAGTCCAGAAAGTTTAACTCAAAATAAGGAAGTGATATATCCTAGCTTGTATTTTGGTACTTTCAAGTATTCATGAGTTGATCAAAGCATAAATTTTGTAATTATGCTGTGAGTTATTTTCCATATGATATAGCTTATCTATTCATCACAGAGACAAAGGTGAGTAACTGAAGGCATTTACATGACAAAGACATATTGCAGACATTTGCTGTGTTTACTGGACGATGACAGTAAATATTAAATGTTCTAAGTGTACTGGACATTGACAGTAAATATTAAATGTTCTAAGTGTACTGGACAATGACAGTAAATATTAAATGTTCTAACTGTACTGGACACTGACAGTAAATATTAAATGTTCTAAGTGTACTGGACAATGACAGTAAATATTAAATGTTCTAAGTGTACTGGACAATGACAGTAAATATTAAATGTTCTAACAGTATTGAACAATGACAGTAAATATTAAATGTTCTAAGTGTACTGGACAATGACAGTAAATATTAAATGTTCTAAGTGTACTGGACAATGACAGTAAATATTAAATGTTCTAACAGTATTGAACAATGACAGTAAATATTAAATGTTCTAACTGTACTGGACAATGACAGTAAATATTAAATGTTCTAACAGTACTGAACAATGACAGTAAATATTAAATGTTCTAACTGTACTGAACAATGACAGTAAATATTAAATGTTCTAACTGTACTGGACAATGACAGTAAATATTAAATGTTCTAACTGTACTGAACAATGACAGTAAATATTAAATGTTCTAAGTGTACTGGACAATGACAGTAAATATTAAATTTTGTTCTAAGTGTACTGGACAATGACAGTAAATATTAAATGTTCTAACTGTACTGGACAATGACAGTACATATTAAATGTTCTAACTGTACTGGACAATGACAGTAAATATTAAATGTTCTAAGTGTACTGGACAATGACAGTAAATATTAAATGTTCTAACTGTACTGAATGATGACAGTAAATATTAAATGTTCTGAACCTACTAAACAATGACAGTAAATATTAAATATTCTGAATCTATTGAACAATGACAGTAAATATTAAATGTTCTAACTGTACTGAACAATGACAGTAAATATCAAATGTTCTAACTGTACTGAATGATGACAGTAAATATCAAATGTTCTAACTGTACTGAATGATGACAGTAAATATCAAATGTTCTAACTGTACTGAATGATGACAGTAAATGTTAATCACTAATTCTATTTTATAAATCATGTTAACATGAAACAAAACTGGTATCATGTTGCCCATTTGATGTTAGCTGCAGATGTAGCGAATTGCGTTCACCTGCATCATTAGCTGTATTTACATATTGATCTAGATATATTGATATCTAACGTGCTGTTTTGTCAGTTAAAGGTTCTTCGATCTCAACAGTATTCAAAGCTCAATGAATTCAATTTCTTTTCATAGATAACTGGAAAAAGAAACGTGTAGAAATTAAGTAAACTCTAATGTTTTGATAAGTAACAAGAGTTGTACTGACCTGCAGTGTACGATTGCTGGTGCACCGCTGTCTTCAAAGTGTGGACGTGTGTCGAGAATAAATTTCACCAAGGATATAGGCTCTGGTGTGCTGTGTCTGGGCCAGGATGTATACCAGAAGTGATAAATCTCACGTATCAAGTTGTTCTGTAAGGAGGTACTGAATCAATCATGCCTACATCCACAATAGCAATCCCTACATCCACAATAGCAATCCCTACATCCACAATAGCAATGTATACATACACAATAGCAATATATACATACACAATAGCAATGTATACATACACAATAGCAATGTATACATACACAATACAACATACACATCCTCAATACAACATACACTTCCTCAATAACAACATACACATCCTCAATACAACATACACATCCTCAATACAACATACACATCCTCAATAACATACACATCCTCAATACAACATACACATCCTCAATAACAACATACACATCCTCAATACAACATACACATCCTCAATACAACATACCTATCCTAAATAACAACATAAACATCCTCAATAACAACATACACATCCTCAATACAACATACACATCCTCAATACAACATACACATCCTCAATAACAACATACACATCCTCAATAACAACATATACATTCTCAATACAGCATATACATCCTCAACATACACATACTCAATACATCCTCAATACAGCATACACTTCCTCAATAACAACATACACATCCTCAATAACAATATACACATCCTCAATAACATACACATCCTCAATACAACATACACTTCCTCAATACAGCATACACATCCTCAATAACAACATACACATCCTCAATAACAATATACACATCCTCAATAACATACACATCCTCAATACAACATACACATCCTCAATACAACATACACATCCTCAATACAACATACACATCCTCAATACAACATACACATCCTCAATAACAGCATACACATCCTCAATACAGCATATACATCCTCAACATACACATCCTCAATACAACATACACATCCTCAATAACAATATACACATCCTCAATAACATACACATCCTCAATACAACATACACTTCCTCAATACAGCATACACATCCTCAATAACAACATACACATCCTCAATAACAACATACACATCCTCAATAACATACACATCCTCAATACAACATACACATCCTCAATACAACATACACATCCTCAATACAACATACACATCCTCAATAACAATATACACATCCTCAATAACATACACATCCTCAATAACATACACATCCTCAATACAACATACACATCCTCAATACAACTTACACATCCTCAATACAACATACACATCCTCAATAACAACATACACATCCTCAATACAACATACAAATCCTCAATAACAATATACACATCCTCAATAACAATATACACATCCTCAATACAACATACACATCCTCAATACAACATACACATCCTCAATAACAACATACACACCCTCAATAACAATATACACATCCTCAATAACAACATACACATCCTCAATACAACATACACATCCTCAATAACATACACATCCTCAATACAACATACATAGCCTCAATAACAATATACACATCCTCAATAACAACATACACACCCTCAATAACAATATACACATCCTCAATACAACATACACATCCTCAATAACATACACATCCTCAATACAACATACACATCCTCAATAACATACACATCCTCAATACAACATACACATCCTCAATAACATACACATCCTCAATACAACATACACATCCTCAATAACAATATACACATCCTCAATAACATACACATCCTCAATACAACATACACATCCTCAATAACATACACATCCTCAATACAACATACACATCCTCAATAACAACATACACATCCTCAATAACTTACACATCCTCAATACAACATACACTTCCTCAATAACAACATACACATCCTCAATACAACATACACATCCTCAATAACATACACATCCTCAATACAACATACACATCCTCAATAACAACATACACATCCTCAATAACTTACACATCCTCAATACAACATACACTTCCTCAATAACAACATACACATCCTCAATAACAACATACACATCCTCAATAACTTATACATCCCAATACAACATACACATCCTCAATAACAACATACACATCCTCAATAACAACATACACATCCTCAATACAACATACACATCCTCAATACAACATACACATCCTCAATAACATACACATCCTCAATAACATACACATCCTCAATAACATACACATCCTCAATACAACATACACATTCTCAATACAACATACACATCCTCAATACAACATACACATCCTAAATAACAACATACACATCCTCAATACAACATACACATCCTCAATAACAACATACACATCCTCAATAACTTATACACATCCTCAATACAACATACACATCCTCAATACAACATACACATCCTCAATACAACATACACATCCTAAATAACAACATACACATCCTCAATACAACATACACATCCTCAATACAACATACACATCCTCAATAACATACACATCCTCAATAACAACATATACATCCTCAATACAACATACACATCCTCAATACAACATACACATCCTCAATACAACATACAAATCCTAAATAACAACATATACATCCTCAATACAACATACACATCCTCAATACAACATACACATCCTCAATAACAATATACACATCCTCAATACAACATACACATCCTCAATACAACATACACATCCTCAATACAACATACACATCCTAAATAACAACATACACATTCTCAATACAACATACACATCCTCAATACAACATACACATCCTCAATACAACATACACATCCTAAATAACATACACATCCTCAATACAACATACACATCCTAAATAACAACATACACATCCTCAATACAACATACACATCCTCAATACAACATACACATCCTCAATACAACATACACATCCTCAATACAACATACACATCCTAAATAACATACACATCCTCAATACAACATACACATCCTCAATACAACATACACATCCTCAATAACAATATACACATCCTCAATAACAATATACACATCCTCAATACAACATACACATCCTCAATAACATACACATCCTCAATACAACATACACATCCTCAATACAACATGCACATCCTCAAGAACAATGTATAAATCCACAAAAACAATGTTCACATCTATAACATATTTAACAATGTATATACAACATCATATTATATAGTTTACATCCATGATAACAAGATAATCAGTGAAACAGTGAAAAAAAAAACAGGTTTATTGGGTAAGTTTGCTGTGTGTGAGTTTGCCTTTGGCTAATTTAATGACACATATCTGTAAAAAATGTTACAATGGTGATTTTGCATAAAAAAATTAATGTTTCAACATGTTACAAACATGTAAATAGTTTAAGTATCCAGAGCATTTATCTTCTATTGATTTCTAAAATTTTCTCTTACATATTCACTCCTCCTCTCATTCAATGCATTTTTCCAAATTGAACAGACACTTTGTACTGTCTCTGATTCTAATGCTATTGAATCGATAATGCTTTCAAATGCTTTCATTTTCCTCATCAATTTTTTTGATGATGGTTAGTAATGATATATTTATAAAAGATGATGATACTAATGCCAGTATAGGCTGACAAAGTAAATGTAATTGCTAACTCTATTTGTTTGATCAGGCTAAGAAGTTGTCTGGAGGTCTGGTCGGGGTACGAAGTTGTCTTGAGGTCTGGTCAGGGTAAGAAGTTGTCTGGAGATCTGGTTGGAGTAAGAAGTTGTCTGGAAGTCTGGTCGGGGTACGAAGTTGTCTTGAGGTCTGGTCAGGGTAAGAAGTTGTCTGGAGGTCATGTAGGGGTAAGAAGTTGTCTGGAGATCTGGTCGGAGTAAGAAGTTGTCTGGAGGTCTGGTCGGGGTAAGAAATTGTCTGGAGGTCATGTAGGGGTAAGAAGTTGTCTGGAGATCTGGTCGGAGTAAGAAGTTGTCTGGAGGTCACGTAGAGGTAAGAAGTTGTCTGGAGGTCTGGTCGGAGTAAGAAGTTGTCTGGAGGTCTGGTCGGGGTAAGAAGTTGTCTGGAGGTCTGGTTGGGGTAAGAAGTTGTCTGGAGGTCTGGTTGAAGTAAGAAGTTGTCTGGAGGTCTGGTACCGGTAAGAAGTTGTCTGGAGGTCTGGTCGGAGTAAGAAGTTGTCTGGAGGTCTGGTCGAGGTAAGAAGTTGTCTGGAGGTCAGGAAGGGGTAAGAAGTTGTCTGGAGGTCACATAGGGGTAAGAAGTTGTCTGGAGGTCTGGTCAAGGTAAGAAGTTGTCTGGAGGTCTGGTCGAGGTAAAAAGTTGTCTGGAAGTCTGGTCGGGGTAAGAAGTTGTCTGGAGGTCTGGTCGGAGTAAGAAGTTGTCTGGAGGTCACGTAGGGGTAAGAAGTTGTCTGGAGGTCACGTAGGGGTAAGAAGTTGTCTGGAGGTCATGTAGGGTAAGAAGTTGTCTGGAGGACTGGTTGGGGTAAGAAGTTGTCTGAAGGTCCGGTCGGGGTAAGAAGTTGTCTGGAGGTCAGGTCGGGGTGAGAAGTTGTCTGGAGGTCAGGTTGGGGTGAGAAGTTGGCTGGAGGTCTGGTCGGAGTATGACCTTCAGTAATTACTACAATATTGTATATTATGAGGTCATACCTAAATATTCTTCAGTTGAATATTACGATATTGTATATTTTGAGGGAATACCCTGATATCCTTCAGTTAAATACTGCCATGTTGTGTATTTTGAGTGCCTACCTCTATATCCCTCAATTAAATACTGCCATATTGTGGATTGTGAGTGCCTACGTCTATATCCCTCAGTTAAATACTGCCATATTGTGGATTGTGAGTGCCTACGCCTATATCCCTCAGTTAAATACTGCCATATTGTGGACGTTGAGTGCCTACGTCTATATCCCTCAGTTAAATACTGCCATATTGTGGATTGTGAGTGCCTACGTCTATATCCCTCAGTTAAATACTGCCATATTGTGTATTGTGAGTGTCTACGTCTATATCCCTCAGTTAAATACTGCCATATTGTGGATTGTGAGTGCCTACCTCTATATCCATCAGTTAAATACTGCCATATTGTGGATTGTGAGTGCCTATGTCTATATCCCTCAGTTAAATACTGCCATATTGTGGATTGTGGGTGCCTACGTCTATATCCCTCAGTTAAATACTGCCATATTGTGGATTGTGAGTGCCTACGTCTATATCCCTCAGTTAAATACTGCCATATTGTGGATTGTGAGTGCCTACGTCTATATCCCTCAGTTAAATACTGCCATATTGTGGATGTTGAGTGCCTACCTCTATACCCCTCAGTTAAATACTGCCATATTGTGTATTGTGAGTGCCTACCTCTATATCCCTCAGTTAAATACTGCCATATTGTGGATTGTGAGTGCCTACGTCTATATCCCTCAGTTAAATACTGCCATATTGTGGATTGTGAGTGCCTACGTCTATATCCATCAGTTAAATACTGCCATATTGTGGATTGTGAGTGCCTACGTCTATATCCCTCAGTTAAATACTGCCATATTGTGGATTGTGAGTGCCTACGTCTATATCCCTCAGTTAAATACTGCCATATTGTGGATGTTGAGTGCCTACCTCTATACCCCTCAGTTAAATACTGCCATATTGTGTATTGTGAGTGCCTACCTCTATATCCCTCAGTTAAATACTGCCATATTGTGGATTGTGAGTGCCTACGTCTATATCCCTCAGTTAAATACTGCCATATTGTGGATTGTGAGTGCCTACGTCTATATCCATCAGTTAAATACTGCCATATTGTGGATTGTGAGTGCCTACGTCTATATCCCTCAGTTAAATACTGCCATATTGTGGATTGTGAGTGCCTACGTCTATATCTCTCAGTTAAATACTGCCATATTGTGGATTGTGAGTGCCTACGTCTATATCCATCAGTTAAATACTGCCATATTGTGGATTGTGAGTGCCAACCTCTATATCCATCAGTTAAATACTGCCATATTGTGTATTGTGAGTGCCTACGTCTATATCCATCAGTTAAATACTGCCATATTGTGTATTGTGATTGCCTACCTCTATATCCATCAGTTAAATACTGCCATATTGTGTATTGTGAGTGCCTACGCCTATATCCCTCAGTTAAATACTGCCATATTGTGTATTGTGAGTGCCTACGTCTATATCCCTCAGTTAAATACTGCCATATTGTGTATTGTGAGTGCCTACATCTATATCCCTCAGTTAAATACTGCCATATTGTGTATTGTGAGTGCCTACGTCTATATCCCTCAGTTAAATACTGCCATATTGTGTATTGTGAGTGCCTACCTCTATATCCTTCAGCTGAAGTATTGACATCGTATACTCCTGTTGTACATCTTTTTTCTTCAGTTCAACAGTGATGTCCCCAAACTGTCGACAAGAGTCCATACCCTCTGTGTCTGGACAGTATGTCTCACAGCTGGGCTATAAAACATCAATACATTTAGTTTGAAAAACACCAAGGACTCACAACTTTGTTATCAAACATCAATACATTTAGTTTGAAAAACACCATGGACTCACAGCTTTGTTATCAAGCATCAATACATGTAGTTTGTAAAAACACCAAGGACTCACAGCTGGGCTATAAAACATCAATACATTTAGTTTGAAAAACACCAAGGACTCACAACTTTGTTATCAAACATCAATACATTTAGTTTGAAAAACACCATGGACTCACAGCTTTGTTATCAAGCATCAATACATGTAGTTTGTAAAAACACCAAGGACTCACAGCTGGGCTATAAAACATCAATACATTTAGTTTGAAAAACACCAAGGACTCACAACTTTGTTATCAAACATCAATACATTTAGTTTGTAAAAACACCAAGGACTCACAGCTGGGCTATCAAACATCAATACATTTAGTTTGTAAAAACATCAAGGACTCACAGCTGGGCTATAAAACATCAATACATTTAGTTTGAAAAACACCAAGGACTCACAACTTTGTTATCAAACATCAATACATTTAGTTTGTAAAAACACCAAGGACTCACAGCTGGGCTATAAAACATCAATACATTTAGTTTGAAAAACACCAAGGACTCACAACTTTGTTATCAAACATCAATACATTTAGTTTGTAAAAACACCAAGGACTCACAGCTGGGCTATCAAACATCAATACATTTAGTTTGTAAAAACACCAAGGACTCACAGCTGGGCTATAAAACATCAATACATTTAGTTTGTAAAAACACCAAGGACTCACAGATTTGTTATCAAACATCAATACATTTAGTTTGTAAAAACACCAAGGACTCACAGCTTTGTTATCAAACATCAATACATTTAGTTTGTAAAAACACCAAGGACTCACAGCTGGGCTATAAAACATCAATACATGTAGTTTGTAAAAACACCAAGGACTCACAGCTGGGCTATAAAACATCAATACATTTAGTTTGAAAAACACCAAGGACTCACAACTTTGTTATCAAACATCAATACATTTAGTTTGAAAAACACCATGGACTCACAGCTTTGTTATCAAGCATCAATACATGTAGTTTGTAAAAACACCAAGGACTCACAGCTGGGCTATAAAACATCAATACATTTAGTTTGAAAAACACCAAGGACTCACAACTTTGTTATCAAACATCAATACATTTAGTTTGTAAAAACACCAAGGACTCACAGCTGGGCTATCAAACATCAATACATTTAGTTTGTAAAAACATCAAGGACTCACAGCTGGGCTATAAAACATCAATACATTTAGTTTGAAAAGCACCAAGGACTCACAACTTTGTTATCAAACATCAATACATTTAGATTGTAAAAACACCAAGGACTCACAGCTGGGCTATAAAACATCAATACATTTAGTTTGAAAAACACCAAGGACTCACAACTTTGTTATCAAACATCAATACATTTAGTTTGTAAAAACACCAAGGACTCACAGCTGGGCTATCAAACATCAATACATTTAGTTTGTAAAAACACCAAGGACTCACAGCTGGGCTATAAAACATCAATACATTTAGTTTGTAAAAACACCAAGGACTCACAGATTTGTTATCAAACATCAATACATTTAGTTTGTAAAAACACCAAGGACTCACAGCTTTGTTATCAAACATCAATACATTTAGTTTGTAAAAACATCAAGGACTCACAGCTGGGCTATAAAACATCAATACATTTAGTTTGTAAAAACACCAAGGACTCACAGCTGGGCTATAAAACATCAATACCTTTAGTTTGTAAAAACACCAAGGACTCACAGCTTTGTTATCAAACATGTTAGATATGGTTATTATATGAAATATTAATGATCCCAGTTTGGCATAAACACACACAAACATTTACTTTATGAAAAGGCTCAGTACATGGCTTACAAATATACAACCATTTGCTCTAAAGAAGCAAGAGCTCAAGGCTGGACTTTCACTACAATTTCTCTATACATTTGATAACATATTACAACTCACAGCTGTTGAACTATCCACACAGTTATTTATATATACAAAGATTTCCCTGCTAATCAACTACTTGGAACGTCATAACTTGTGATTTACATAAATTACCAGGTTCATGGAATGAGTGACATGCCTGGTCCAAAGGACTAATGATCATGAGTTATAGGCTTTTTATACTTAGACCTTTGTGTCTATAGCAACCAGGGTACTATAGCAACCATAGTAACTATTAAAATCTATACACATCTCTAGATGGTCATTAATAGCCTTCTATAGTGTTTTTCTAATCTAAAGAAATCTACCTGTCCATTTTCTTGCATGGGAACAAGCATCAGTATGACCCGTGATTGTTGTTCCCAAACCATCCGCCAGAAGTCACTCATTGTCCTGTGTAGTGGAGCCTGTGTGGCTATGTATGTCTTGTAGACATTGTTGTAGCCCTACAGATAAAGTTTAGTACAAAATGTTCTAAAATCCATTCTCATGTGACTTGTTGTTTAATAGACGATAATTACATATAACATTCAACAAGTGATGTACTTTAACACCAATTCAGTAACATTATAAGATGTAGGAAATAAAATGTTGTGAGAAAACATATGTATGAAAATTTAAACTTAAAAATTTTTCATTGCTGATAAAATGTCAAGCATTATCTTCCAGAATAATATGAGTTTGGAATTATGTAAATGTATGCATATACCGAGACAAAGTGGGACGCGTACCAAAAAGACATAGTTGCCATCTGTACTCACCGAAACATAGTTGGCGTTGATGTAATCAGAGTTATCTTCTCCTGGTATCTTCTTCAATTTTATTCGATTATGTGGAACTGAAAAAAGGGATTATCTAGCCCAAGTATATTAATTAATTATCAGGCTTCACAGCACTCAGCTGTGGAAACCAGAATGATTTCATGTACCAATAATAAACATGTCTCCGAACTGTCAGTCCTTCATATATCAACAGTTACTCACTCAGAACATATGATGCCTAACACAATATTATCGTCTAATATAACCTATTGTGACATCAGGATAAGATTACAAAAATGACGTCACACATTCGTACATTGCAGCATTGTAATGCCACTAAATAGACTTTGAAGTACTGAAAGTACATAATATGGTGAATATTTGTTTAGACAACTGATATGTGATTTAAAGTCTATGAAATTCACTCATATTTTGTTTGTGATTTTTGAAACTCGTCACTTTATTGTTCATTTAAGTTTGATGAAGGGCTCGTTTGATTAATGACAAATGAAATGGTAACTCATGTAAAAACCCCTAGTGATGTGTTTTATCAAAAACATCATACACAGTAATCCAGGGTTAAAAAGTCACTGTCATCACAGGTAGTATAACACAAACAGTTTTAATGAAGTTTAACCACTGCCAGTAAAACACAGTGTTAACAGTATCATGGTTCAGCTGATGTTTTTGACCTCTTTTGACCTCAATGTTTGATATTGTTATTGATAAAGTTAATGAAAAGGTTTAGAAAGTTTAATTACTACAACATCTTAGTCATAACAAGCTCTTAACGGTACAAGTTCTTAGTAATAAAATCTCTGACTCACACAAGCTCTGATCAACACAAGCTCTGATCAACACAAGCTCTGATTAACACAAGCCCTGATCAACACAAGCTCTAATTAACACAAGCTCTGATCAACACAAGCTCTGATTAACACAAGCTCTGATCAACACAAGCTCTGATCAACACAAGCTCTGATTAACACAAGCTCTGATCAACACAAGCTCTGATTAACACAAGCTCTGATCAACACAAGCTCTGATTAACACAAGCTCTGATCAACACAAGCTCTGATCAACACAAGCTCTGATTAACACAAGCTCTGATTAACAGAAGCTCTGATCAACACAAGCTTTGATTAACACAAGCTCTGATTAACACAAGCTCTGATCAACACAAGCTCTAGATCGTCAAGCATGTTATGTTGTAGATTACAATATAATTCCTATTACAAGATGTAGGACCTCCTAATTCTTGCCTTAATCAGATCCCGAGTATGGTGTACCTGTATTGGTTTTCTCCAAGGTTCTAGAATCAAAATCCTCAAGATGACGCTTGAAAGGTGATTAACAAAAAATGTATCTCGCTTGCTTATATACTTACATGGGATAACATTAGCAAATCTGTTTTTAATTTCAGCCCCAACTGGTACGGATGATAGTTTTGGCATTTCTACCGACAAAGCCTGGAATTGATACATGTACATTTATGCTAACCTGTATTTTTCATTTGTAAATCAAAGCTCAATATTTTTTTTACCATAAATAGTTTTTTAATATTACGCTTTGAATTTGTTATATTAAAACTTCCTTTGGGACCATGCTCATATCTGATGTTATCTGATGTTTATCAATAAACTTCACAGTTTAGTACAAATGTATATATAGACTCTCATATAGTCAATGTCCTTAAAAGCTACACAGGGCTGTAAAATCAAGTAGATTTCTGGGCTCTGATGTTTCATTCTGAAACATACAATATATGGTATACTTCACTGACTGCTCCCTCTGAAACAATATACAATACACAATATGCTTTACAAATTGCTCTATCTAAAACAATACAAACACTATACTACACAGACAGCTCCCTCTGAAACAATATCCACTACACACTATACTACACTGACAGCTCCCTCTGAAACAATATCCACTACACACTATACTACACTGACAGCTCCCTCTCAAACAATATCCACTACACACTATACTACACTGACAGCTCCCTCTCAAACAATATCCACTACACACTATACTACACTGACAGCTCCCTCTGAAACAATATCCACTACACACTATACAATATCCACTACACACTATACTACACTGACAGCTCCCTCTAAAACAATACCCACTACACACTATATTACACTGACAGCTCCCTCTGAAACAATATTCACTACACACTATACTACACTGACAGCTCCCTCTCAAACAATATATAATACACACTATACTACACTGACAGCTCCCTCTCAAACAATATCCACTACACACTATACTACACTGACAGCTCCCTCTGAAACAATATCCACTACACACTATACTACACTGACAGCTCCCTCTGAAACAATATACAATACACACTATACTACACTGACAGCTCCCTCTCAAACAATATCCACTACACACTATACTACACTGACAGCTCCCTCTGAAACAATATACAATACACACTATACTACACTGACAGCTCCCTCTGAAACAATATCCACTACACACTATACTACACTGACAGCTCCCTCTGAAACAATATACAATACACACTATACTGCACTGACAGCTCCCTCTGAAACAATATCCACTACACACTATACTACACTGACAGCTCCCTCTGAAACAATATCCACTACACACTATACTACACTGACAGCTCCCTCTCAAACAATATCCACTACACACTATACTACACTGACAGCTCCCTCTCAAACAATATCCACTACACACTATACTACACTGACAGCTCCCTCTCAAACAATATACACTACACTCTATACTACTCTGACAGCTCCCTCTCAAACAATATCCACTACACACTATACTACACTGACAGCTCCCTCTGAAACAATATACAATACACACTATACTACACTGACAGCTCCCTCTGAAACAATATACCACTACACACTACAGCTCCCTCTCAAACAATAACTACACACTATACTACACTGACAGCTCCCTCTCAAACAATATCCACTACACACTATACTACACTGACAGCTCCCTCTCAAACAATATATAATACACACTAAACTACACTGACAGCTCCCTCTGAAACAATATCCACTACACACTATACTACACTGACAGCTCCCTCTCAAACAATATCCACTACACACTATACTACACTGACAGCTCCCTCTGAAATAATACCCACTACACTACACTGACAGCTCCCTCTGAAACAATATATAATACACACTAAACTACACTGACAGCTCCCTCTGAAACAATATATAATACACACTATACTACACTGACAGCTCCCTCTCAAACAATATCCACTACACACTATACTACACTGACAGCTCCCTCTCAAACAATATCCACTACACACTATACTACACTGACAGCTCTCTGAAACAATATACCACAGCTACACACTATAAACTACACTGACAGCTCCCTCTATAAACAATATACCACTACACACTATACTACACTGACAGCTCCCTCTCAAACAATATATACTACACTGACACACTATACTACACTGACAGCTCCCTCTCAAACAATATATAAAACACAATAAACTACACTGACAGCTCCCTCTCAAACAATATATAGCTCCCTCTCAAACAATATCCACTACACACTACACACTACAGCTCCCTCTCAAACAATATATAATACACACTAACTACTACACAATATCCACTACACACTATACTAATGACAGCTCCCTCTCAAACAATATACACTACACACTATACTACACTGACAGCTCCCTCTCAAACAATATCCACTACACACTATACTACACTGACAGCTCCCTCTCAAACAATATACAATACACACTATACTACACTGACAGCTCCCTCTCAAACAATATCCACTACACACTATACTACACTGACAGCTCCCTCTCAAACAATATCCACTACACACTATACTACACAGACAGCTCCCTCTCAAACAAACAATATAGACTACACACTATACTACACTGACAGCTCCCTCTCAAACAATATCCACTACACACTATACTACACTGACAGCTCCCTCTCAAACAATATACAATACACACTATACTACACTGACAGCTCCCTCTCAAACAATATCCACACACTATACACACTACAGCTCCCTCTCACTACACTGACAGCTCCCTCTCAAACAATATCCACTACACACTATACTACACTGACAGCTCCCTCTGATACAATATCCACTACACACTATACTACACTGACAGCTAAACAATATATACTACACACTATACTACACTGACAGCTCCCTCTCAAACAATATCCACTACACACTATACTACACTGACAGCTCCCTCTCAAACAATATCCACTACACACTATACTACACTGACAGCTCCCTCTGAAACAATATCCACTACACACTATACTACACAGACAGCTCCCTCTGAAACAATATATAATACACACTATACTACACTGACAGCTCCCTCTGAAACAATATCCACTACACACTATACTACACAGACAGCTCCCTCTCAAACAATATATAATACACACTATACTACACTGACAGCTCCCTCTCAAACAATATCCACTACACACTATACTACACTGACAGCTCCCTCTGAAACAATATCCACTACACACGATACACACTGACAGCTCCCTCTCAAACACTACACTGACAGCTCCCTCTCAAACAATATCCACTACGCACTATACTACACTGACAGCTCCCTCTCAAACAATATACAATACACGCTATACTACACTGACAGCTCCCTCTCAAACAATATACAATACACACTATACTACACTGACAGCTCCCTCTCAAACAATATATAATACACACTATACTACACTGACAGCTCCCTCTCAAACAATATCCACTGCACACTATACTACACTGACAGCTCCCTCTCAAACAATATATAATACACACACACTATACTACACTGAAACAATATACTCACACTAAACTACAACAGCAATATCCACTACACACTATACTACACAGACAGCTCCCTCTGAAACAATATATAATACACACTAAACTACACTGACAGCTCCCTCTCAAACAATATCAACACACTATACTACACTACACACTACTATCCACTACACTGACAGCTCTCCAATATCAAACACACTATATACACTGACAGCTCCCTCTCAAACAATATCCACTACGCACTATACTACACTGACAGCTCCCTCTCAAACAATATCCACTACACACTATACTACACTGACAGCTCCCTCTCAAACAATATCCACTACACACTATACTACACTGACAGCTCCCTCTGATACAATATACAATACACACTATACTACACTGACAGCTCCCTCTGAAACAATATACAATACACACTAAACTACACTATCCCTCTCAAACAATATCACTACACACTATACTACACTGACAGCTCCCTCTGAAACAATATCCATACACAGCTACACACTACACACTACACTGACAGCTCCCTACTCAAACTATATACTACACACTATACTACAAACAAATCAACACACTATACTACACTGACAGCTCCCTCTCACAATATACTACACACTATACACACTGACAGCTCCCTCTCAAACAATATCCACTACACACTATACTACACTGACAGCTCCCTCTCAAACAATATACACACTACACACTATACTACACTGACAGCTCCCTCTCAAACAATATATACACTACACACTACACACTACTACACTGACAGCTGACAGCTCCCTCTCAAACAATATACTACACACTATACTACACTGACAGCTCCCTCTCAAACAATATATAATACACACTATACTACACTGACAGCTCCCTCTGAAACAATATATAATACACACTAAACTACACTGACAGCTCCCTCTCAAACAATATCCACTACACACTATACTACACTGACAGCTCCCTCTCAAACAATATCCACTACACACTATACTACACTGACAGCTCCCTCTCAAACAATATATAATACACACTAAACTACACTGACAGCTCCCTCTCAAACAATATCCACTACACACTATACTACACTGACAGCTCCCTCTCAAACAATATCCACTACACACTATACTACACTGACAGCTCCCTCTCAAACAATATCAACTACACACTATACTACACTGACAGCTCCCTCTCAAACAATATCCACTACACACTATACTACACTGACAGCTCCCTCTCAAACAATATACAATACACACTAAACTACACTGACAGCTCCCTCTCAAACAATATCCACTACACACTATACTACACTGACAGCTCCCTCTCAAACAATATATAATACACACTATACTACACTGACAGCTCCCTCTGAAGTCAGCTGCAAGACAAATACAACAGAATTCAGATGTAATGGTCCAATCAATTCCTTCTGTGGCAATAAGGAAAGTGACATCAGAAGAGTCTATCAATATATTCAGGAAATTATGTCTGATTTAAATATTCTATTTCTCATTTCATATATCAAAATAGTGGATCATTGCCCTAACAAACGCTTTACATAAAGTTATTATTGCTTTTATCACAAGAGTGCCGTGGACACAATATACGCCGCCACAAAATATAAAGACCAAGATTGGTCCTTTTAATTATCACTTTTAACATGTCTGTATTCATAAGCTCAAAATGAAGTCTGTGAGACAAGTTAGCTTAGCTGAAAGAGACAGGGACCTGAGATCCTAAATTGCATAAATCTTACAAAAATCAAAGAACTGAAAAATCGCCCCTTCATGCACATCTACCCATTGTAGAAGTGACATTGAGCAAGTTTCAAGAAAATCTGATGATTAGTTTAGGAGGAGTTGCGTTCACAAGGCTCCACTATGAGCAAGCTACAGATACAAAGTTGAAAATGGCATAAATCTTACAAAAATCAATGAACCAAAAAATTGCCCCTTCATGCACATCTACTCATTGTCGTAGTGACATTGAGCAAGTTTCAAGAAAATCTGATGATTAGTTTAGGAGAAGTTGTGTTCACAAGAAATAGACGTATGGATGTATGGACGGACGGACGGACATACAGAGAAGACGACGCCAATATATGACCACCTCCGGTGGTGTATAAAAATAGTAAAAGATTGTTAGTGAATACATTTCTGACTCAAAAGGTTTTTGTTGATTGAGTTCTCATGGAGTTTACAAAAAATGAAATCCTTGAGTCTCTGACCGTTATCAGATGAAAGACAGTATGTTCCATGTAGGAGACGTAGAGAAATTTAATCATATAAACACGAGATTGATCTTTTATACATCACAAACACATGTCTTTGACCTAAAGAGATTGGTAAATTTACCTTCTGTTTAAATTGGGATTCCAAAAGGTCATCAAATCCCTTCTTGATAATGTCACTGACGACTTTTGTCATTTCTTCATCTACCTTCCCGTCCGTGTCAAGGAAATACAACTCAATCTTAACTTCTTCAAACTCATTGTTATCTGTAAAAGGCACGGCTAATTTATCGCACATTTTTGGGCGGATGTTTAGAAGCACCACCTGTTGTTGTTGTATATCTATTTGCTGGTGATTCTCCACTATTTCCATCAGTTCCGTGATGAACCTTTCTTTTTGCGAACAAAACTCGGTCAAGGTCATTTGAAGCTTGATACTGATTAAAACAGAGGGCAGAGATGTATGTACCTGAATGTGTTTGTGAGAGGTACTTGGGTTTTTGACCTTACTAGAGGTACTTGTGGAAGGTAGTACTGTGCTCCTTGTGAAAACTACACTGGGATTTGTTACTGTTGTGGCATGTGACGTTTTTTCCTGTTCTTTAGCTGAAGTATGATTGGCTTTTTTTGTTGTCAAAAATGGAATGATAATTTCCGAAAAATATGGAGTTGTTTTATGTGCTGTTGTCCCGGATACTGGAGATGTGGGAGTCTTATTTGCTGAAGGAGTAGCCGATGTGCCTTGACTAGAAAGTTTTGTCAGAGGCATGACCGATGTAAGGGGTCGTATTTGAGGGATCGAATAATTTCCTTCACCAGGTGCAGTTGATGAGTTTGTAGTAATTTTATCACTCGTGTAAGGATTTAGGGTCGTCAGTGAAGAATTCAGGACATAGCCTGGAGAGGTTGATGTGTCCTGTTGAGATCCTAGTTCAGTGTTTTGCTGACCATCATTTATGACGAGCCCTTGGGAAGCCATAGGAAGGCTCCCTACTGTTGGAGAAGATGTTACAGAATTCATTTGATGTATTGAGTGACTGATGTAGCTTTGATCTGTAATGTTGGAAGTGATGAGGTCCCCTTGAGAGGCAGACGGGGATATCTGCTGAGAGGAACTAAACTGCTGGTGATCTGACTGATCCATAGAACCTGATACCACTACAGTGAACATTTCATATCCTTTACCTGTGCTACCTTCACTATTGTAAATACTAGCTAGAAAACTTGGTGTGATTACCTCATAGAATGACTGACCATTAAGGTCTGTTACAGAGGAAGATAACTGTGTCACTATGAGATCAATATCTCTCATTATTGAAGTTCTTAGTTCTAAAGGTTCAGTAGACGTAACTAAGTCCAGCGTTAACTGATAGCTGTGACTGGTGTGCTGTGTAGAAATGTCCTCCGCATGGGATGGTGTGGGCATAATTGCATGTGGAGAGTCACTATTGTTTACTTTCATTTTGTATTGTTCCTCATCAACACCACTGTTACTAGAGTATATTACGGGATTATCTGTCGTAACATCAGCATTGGCTGTTTGATTCTGCTGGTCACCTTTGGCTGATAAATCTTTATTATTGCCGAATTCGTCTGTGCGATTTTCATTAGTTGTGATATTTGTAAGCTGTCCTTGAGAATGCTCCCCAGGAAGTCTGACTGTGGGAAGACGTTGGAAGGATAGTCCATTGGATACATCATGTACCATATCCGAGTAAGGGGTCACAGGAATATGTTCTGAGTGTATCTCGTTCTCGGGAAAGGTCTCTTCTGCATGTCCTCCCTCGAAAGGAAAAGGACCAGCACTGTCGGGTAGGAAACTGATATGTTCACCTGGCTCTGGTTCCATGTGACGACCCAATTCCTCAGTAAGAAGTGGATGGTGCATATCTGTCCTGTCAGAGTGTTCCTCAGTATTTTCACTTGGAATGTTACCACCCTCCTCTACACTCACACTTTCTGCCATGTCACTTCCATAGACATTTTCTAGAGAAGAGATGTTTCTGTCTGGGTTTGATATGTGTCTTGTCCAAATATTCGATTCATCCTGAATAACCTCATTTGGTTCCCCTTGAGGTTCCCCTTGAGGTTCCCCTTGTGGCTCGCTATGAGGTTCATGTCCTGGTACTTCTTGTTGATGATGTGGTTCCTCTTGTGATTCCAACTGAGGTTCTATGAGGGGGTCAAACTGTTGAGACTGTCTTTGCTCTGCCTCAGTTTGGTCGTTAACCTGTGTTTGGTGCTGACTAGAGGGCAGGGCGGCATAGTCTTGACTGTACCCGTTGATCCCCGATGTTTCCCCCCTCAGACCTGAGTGTTCTATAGGGATGGACACAATCCCAGTGATCTGCAGATAACCTGAAATAGACAATGGTCTATTTTCATTTGAATATTGAATATAATTACTGTTATTGTGACAAAGCCAAAGTAATCATGTACATTCTTGTTTACATATTGTTAGATAATGATGTACATTCTTGTTTACATATTGTTAGATAATGAAGTAGATTTTTGTTTACATATTGTTAGATAATGATGTACATTCTTGTTTACATATTGTTTGCAAGATAATGATGTACATTCTTGTTTACATATTGTTAGATAGTGATGTAGATTCTTGTTTACATATTGTTAGATAATGATGTACATTCTTGTTTACATATTGTTAGATAATGATGTAGATTTTTGTTTACATATTGTTAGATAATGATGTACATTCTTGTTTACATATTGTTTGCAAGATAATGATGTACATTCTTGTTTACATATTGTTTGTAAGATAATGATGTACATTCTTGTTTACATATTGTTAGATAATGATGTACATTCTTGTTTACATATTGTTTGTAAGATAATGATGTACATTCTTGTTTACATATTGTTAGATAATGATGTACATTCTTGTTTACATATTGTTAGATAATGATGTACATTCTAGTTTACATATTGTTAGATAATGATGTACATTCTTGTTTACATATTGTTAGATAGTGATGTACATTCTTGTTTACATATTGTTAGATAATGATGTACATTCTTGTTTACATATTGTTAGATAATGATGTACATTCTTGTTTACATATTGTTAGATAGTGATGTACATTCTTGTTTACATATTGTTTGTAAGATAATGATGTACATTCTTGTTTACATATTGTTAGATAGTGATGTACATTCTTGTTTACATATTGTTAGATAATGATGTAGATTCTTGTTTACATATTGTTAGATAGTGATGTACATTCTTGTTTACATATTGTTAGATAATGATGTACATTCTTGTTTACATATTGTTAGATAATGATGTACATTCTTGTTTACATATTGTTAGATAGTGATGTACATTCTTGTTTACATATTGTTTGTAAGATAATGATGTACATTCTTGTTTACATATTGTTAGATAGTGATGTACATTCTTGTTTACATATTGTTAGATAATGATGTAGATTCTTGTTTACATATTGTTAGATAGTGATGTACATTCTTGTTTACATATTGTTAGATAATGATGTAGATTTTTGTTTACATATTGTTAGATAATGATGTAGATTCTTGTTTACATATTGTTTGCAAGATAATGATGTACATTCTAGTTTACATATTGTTAGATAATGATGTACATTCTTGTTTACATATTGTTAGATAGTGATGAACATTCTTGTTTACATATTGTTAGATAATGATGTACATTCTTGTTTACATATTGTTTGTAAGATAATGATGTACATTCTTGTTTACATATTGTTAGATAATGATGTACATTCTTGTTTACATATTGTTAGATAATGATGTACATTCTTGTTTACATATTGTTAGATAATGATGTAGATTCTTGTTTACATATTGTTAGATAGTGATGTACATTCTTGTTTACATATTGTTTGTTAGATAATGATGTACATTCTTGTTTACATATTGTTAGATAATGATGTAGATTCTTGTTTACATATTGTTTGCAAGATAATGATGTACATTCTTGTTTACATATTGTTAGATAATGATGTACATTCTTGTTTACATATTGTTAGATAGTGATGTACATTCTTGTTTACATATTGTTAGATAGTGATGTACATTCTTGTTTACATAGATAGTGATTATCTATCAATTGTTTGACGGATGATGATTTTCATGGTGATTGATACGTTAAATGTTTGTTAAATATGTAGTCTATTTATATTATCTGTGGAGGATATAAAAAGAATTGGAGTTGGAAAAGATCACGTTTTACTGAAAGAGTTTGACCTAAGCTTTAATTTCTAAGTAAGCAAACATTCGTACCATAACAGGTAAACCAACATACTGATATCAGAACTAATGATAACGTGTATCAGTATCAACATTCAATAGATACAGAGACGAGTAAAACATACAAGATTTTTGTCTGGCAATATGACATTCGATGGAAATGTTCACCAAGGTAATACTGTAATTGATGTCTGTACTGATGCTTGTTAATCAACCTATTCACTAGTATATATGGATGGGTCAGATGGTGCAGTGGTAACACATAGGCCTTTTATCTGGTGTTGGATTCCTGACAAGGGTATGAAAATTATGGTATGGGGTCACCTGTCCAACCCCATGATATTCACCAGGTACTCTGGTTCCATCCCTCAGTAAGACCCCTTCATTTTCACCAGGTACTCTGGTTCCATCCCTCAGTAAGACCCCTTCATTTTCACCAGGTACTCTGGTTCCATCCCTCAGTAAGACCCCTTCATTTTCACCAGGTACTCTGGTTCCATCCCTCAGTAAGACCCCTTCATTTTCACCAGGTACTCTGGTTCCATCCCTCAGTAAGACCCCTTCATTTTCACCAGGTACTCTGGTTCCATCCCTCAGTAAGACCCCTTCATTTTCACCAGGTACTCTGGTTCCATCCCTCAGTAAGACCCCTTCATTTTCACCAGGTACTCTGGTTCCATCCCTCAGTAAGACCCCTTGTGCCCTTCCATCCACACCAACAAGTGTGATAAATATCAGCTGACAGTTTGCTTCAAAATTGTTTAAAAATAAAGTTTAAATAAACTTTTATATTTAGACAGATACACGACAGACTTTAGATAACTCTGAATTAAAACTCACCAATGACAAGAACTACACAGAAAATCAATGAAGGGCCAGTCAACATTTTGTGAGGCATCATAGGCAGATTTCTCGGACCAGTATTTTTGATTCACAGTTGACTTGAGAGATCCACAAAGACCTCCGTCGAACTTGATCCAACTGTTTCCATCATCATTACATGTAGATGCCTCACTGAAGCACTGAAATTATATATCAAAAGCTCACAGTATGAACAATTATTTATACACAGTTAACTTGTTTGTTGTCCAATTTGTAAATTCTTTCTCATTCTGTCTGCTTCACTTACATGACAAACAGGCTTACCATGTTACAATGAAACTTTGTCAAAGAGGACACTTTTACCTCCTGCCACATCTTCATCTTTGTAAAGGTCTTTTCAATGATGTTTCAGACCAAATTTAGTTGAAATCCATTCAAGCATTAAAGAGGAATGATATTTTAAGCAAAAGAAGCCCTGCTCTAAAGGCAAATAAAATTTCTGAATTTAGGAAATAATTGCCCACCCTAATTGACGAATCAGACCATAGGTTGTTGAATTCCACTGAGGCAGAATGGAGAAGAATTTTAAATCTAATTTCAGCACCTACCCCTCTGGAGTTCCCACCCCCAACCCCTAAGGCCAAAATCAAAATTCTGATTTAAGAATTGCTAACTCTCTCCCAAAAATGCATTAGATTAAAAAGAAAGTTTACACACGAAGCATGGTGCATGACGACGGACAAAGCAGGATGACTATATATAAAAAGGGGCTCAGAGAAGCACAGCTTCATATGGTTTGTATGTAAATCTGGCACGCCAGCAATGTCTTTTTGTGGGAATGTTGTAATGGACATCTGCAGTGATTCATGCATAAGTTATTGATCCATACCATAATTCTATGATGATTTGAATAATACTATAAAGAATGAGGTGAAAGATTAGTATAAAAAACAACCAAGTGAAAAAATAGACCCAAACAATGAAGCAAACTGGTTCCTACAGCTGTTTTGTCCTTCTAGGACACATCAGTGATGCTACAACACACAGCTGTTTCGTCCTTCTAGGACTGGTCAGTGATGCTACATCATACAGTTGTTTCGTCCTTCTAGGACTGGTCAGTGATGCTAAATCACAAAGCTGTTCCGTCTTTCTAGGACTCGTCAGTGATGCTACATCATACAGCTGTTTCGTCCTTCTAGGACCCGTCAGTGATGCTACATTACACAGCTGTTTCGTCCTTTTAGGATTTGTCAGTGATGCTACATCATACAGCTGTTTCGTCCTTCTAGGACTCGTCAGTGATGCTACATCATACAGCTGTTTCGTCCTTCTAGGACACGTCAGTGATGCTACATCATACAGCTGTTTCATCCTTCTAGGACTCGTCAGTGATGCTTCATCATACAGTTGTTTCGTCCTTCTAGGACTGGTCAGTGATGCTACATCACACAGCTGTTTCGTCCTTCTAGGAATCGTCAGTGATGCTACATCATACAGCTGTTTCGTCCCTCTAGGACTCGTCAGTGATGCTACATCATACAGCTGTTTCGTCCTTCTAGGACCCGTCAGTGATGCTACATCATACAGCTGTTTCGTCCTTCTAGGACTCGTCAGTGATGCTTCATCATACAGCTGTTTCGTCCTTCGAGGACTCGTCAGTGATGCTACGTCACACAGCTGTTTCGTCCTTCTAGGAATCGTCAGTGATGCTACATCATACAGCTGTTTCGTCCTTCTAGGACTGGTCAGTGATGCTACATCACACAGCTGTTTCGTCCTTCTAGGACTGGTCAGTGATGCTACATCATACAGCTGTTTCGTCCTTCTAGGACTCGTCCGTGATGCTACATCATACAGCTGTTTCGTACTTCTAGGACTCGTCCGTGATGCTACATCATACAGCTGTTTCATCCTTCTAGGACACGTCAGTGATGCTACAACACACAGCTGTTTCGTCCTTCTAGGACTGGTCAGTAATGCTACATCATACAGTTGTTTCGTCCTTCTAGGACTGGTCAGTGATGCTACATCATACAGCTGTTTCGTCCTTCTAGGACCCGTCAGTGATGCTACATTACACAGCTGTTTCGTCCTTCTAGGACACGTCAGTGATGCTACATCATACAGCTGTTTCGTCCTTCTAGGACTCGTCAGTGATGCTTCATCATACAGCTGTTTCGTCCTTCTAGGACTGGTCAGTGATGCTACATCACACAGCTGTTTCGTTCTTCTAGGAATCGTCAGTGATGCTACATCATACAGCTGTTTCGTCCTTCTAGGACTCGTCAGTGATGCTACATCATACAGCTGTTTCGTCCTTCTAGGACCCGTCAGTGATGCTACATCATACAGCTGTTTCGTCCTTCTAGGACTCGTCAGTGATGCTTCATCATACAGCTGTTTCGTCCTTCTAGGACTGGTCAGTGATGCTACATCACACAGCTGTTTCGTCCTTCTAGGACTGGTCAATGATGCTACATCACACAGCTGTTTCGTCCTTCTAGGACTCAGCAGTGATGCTACATCATACAGCTGTTTCATCCTTCTAGGACTCGTCAGTGATGCTAAGGTGATAATAATTCTAAAGTCAAGAGGCGATTGAAGAAATAAAAAGAAATGTCAAAATCTGGATGGAGAGGTGTTCTGGCCGAATCATTCAATGAGTTTCATAGTTTTCATATATCTGATAATCTCAGAGAACAACAAGTACACATTTATACACACATTTTATAATTATGTTTACAATCAATGAGGATAAACAAATCTTTTATAATGAAACAAAAACTATAAGAAATTGAGAATACAGCTGTAAGTGTACCTGTTTGTCATCAGGTGTTGTAAACAAATCACATCACAGGTAAATAAGTGGTACATTACAGATAACATTATCTGTTATACAGTGATATAGCTGTGTAAGAGCATCATCAAAACAAACTCAACTGTGTTCTTATCAATAATATTCATAATTTCACAATAAAACTCATTAAAACCATCAAAGTAAATGAAAAGCACTATATACAAATCTAAATTGTGCATTAAATTTCAAAGAATCCAGGTACTTAATTCAAGCAAATCAACAGTTTAAATTCACAAAAAAAAAAAAACAAAAAAACAGGAGACCTAAGTAATTAGTTCTCTACAGTAAAACATGTTTATAACACACCTCAGGAGACCTAAGTAATTAGTTCTCTACAGTAAAACATGTTTATAACACACCTCAGGAGACCTAAGTAATTAGTTCTCTACAGTAAAACATGTTTATAACACACCTCAGGAGACCTAAGTAATTAGTTCTCTACAGTAAAACATGTTTATAACACACCTCAGGAGACCTAAGTAATTAGTTCTCTACAGTAAAACATGTTTATAACACACCTCAGCAGACCTAAGTAATTAGTTCTCTACAGTAAAACATGTTTATAACACACCTCAGGAGACCTAAGTAATTAGTTCTCTACAGTAAAACATGTTTATAACACACCTCAGGAGACCTAAGTAATTAGTTCTCTACAGTAAAACATGTTTATAACACACCTCAGGAGACCTAAGTAATTAGTTCTCTACAGTAAAACATGTTTATAACACACCTCAGGAGACCTAAGTAATTAGTTCTCTACAGTAAAACATGTTTATAACACACCTCAGGAGACCTAAGTAATTAGTTCTCTACAGTAAAACATGTTTATAACACACCTCAGGAGACCTAAGTAATTAGTTCTCTACAGTAAAACATGTTTATAACACACCTCAGGAGACCTAAGTAATTAGTTCTCTACAGTAAAACATGTTTATAACACACCTCAGGAGACCTAAGTAATTAGTTCCCTACAGTAAAACATGTTTATAACACACCTCAGGAGACCTAGGTAATTAATTTCTCTACAGTAAAACATGTTTATACCAAACCTCAGGAGACCTAAGTAATTAGTTCTCTACAGTAAAACATGTTTCTACCAAACCTCAGGAGACCTAAGTAATTAGATCTCCATGTAAGGCCTGTTGACAGTGAATTGAGGGAGATCTGTTTGTAAATACACATTTACTTTTTATTTCCTATTATCTGGAAAACAACTATTTACAATGATAAAAAATCAAAATATGAACAGACAACTCCAACAAGAATTAAATGGATATTTCTGGAGAAAAAAGAATAAGACATAGTTTTTAGATATTGTAAACATTTAGGTCAAATATTGTATTCAGTAGGTTATTATATTGATATAATTCTTAAACTTATCAGGAACATTATATAGCAACACAAACAATCTGTGTGTACAGATCTCACCTCACTGTGATACTGTAAGGGAGTCAAACATGCCTACGTTAAGTCTATGAAATCTACAAAAAACTTTTAACATAAACCCTCTTTCCTGTTTTGTTTAACACAACAATTTAATACAGAGGGTGGACCAGGGGAACTAATGCAAAGCCATCCTTAATCACCATATTTTAACACATAAAACTTTCTTTGAATACTAATAGATGGTGGTAAAGGATGAAAGAAAGTGTACTCACATTTTAAAGATCCTATTTCATTTCACCACAGCTTGCTACAACCATGTTGCAGCGTTGTCTGGAGACACAAACCAATCATAGCAAATGTCAAGTGGTAGGAAATCCTTTTGGTCAATTAGATCAATGGGTGTTCATGGTTTTAATGTAACACATAGAACATAAATATTTTATCTTTGATATACCACAAACCTGCACAATATGCTAAATACCTTCTTACAATTCCAGTGTGTTTCCAAAACCTTGAATTACAAGTGTAAGGAAACACCCCTGTCAATTAGTTATAATACAGGTCAGTAACAGTACACACATCTCACAGACTCACACAAAGTTCAACTACAAACTTATCAGCATCAAGATAACACACGATTTGGTATAAACTGATTACACAACACAAACTCACTCAGTGCAGCATCCAGACTCTTATAGACACAGATTTAGTACAGCATTCAGGCTTTTACAGACACACAGACTCAGTACAACATTCAGGCTTTTACAGACACACAGACTCAGTACAACATTCAGGCTTTTACAGACTCAGTACAAAGATCAGGCTTTTTTAGACACACAAACACAGTACAATATCCAGGCTATTCAAGACACACAGATTTAGAACAGCATCAAGGCTCTTTTTAGACACACGGATAATATACAGCATTCAGGCTCTTTTAAACACACAGCCTCAGTACAACATCCAGGCTTTTACAGACACAAAGACTCAGTACAGTATCCAGGCTCTTTTTGACACAGACTCAGAACAGCATCCAGGCTCTTTAAGACATACATATTTAGTAAAGCATCAAGGCTCTTACAGACACACAGACACAGTACAATATCCAGGCTATTCAAGACACACAGATTTAGTACAGTATCCAGACTCTTTTTAGACACACGGATAATGTACAGCAGCCAGGCTCTTTAAGGCACACAGCCTCAGTACAGAATCAAGGCTCTTACAGACACACAGACACAGTACAATATCCAGACTATTCAAGACACACAGACTTAGTACAGTATCCAGGCTCTTTTTAGACACACAGTTAATGTACAGCATTCAGGCTCTTTTAAACACACAGCCTCAGTACAACATCCAGGCTTTTACAGACACACAGACTCAGTACAGTATCCAGGCTCTTTTTGACACACAGACTTAGTACAGCATCCAGGCTCTTACAGACATACAGACTCAGTACAGCATACAAGCTCTTTTAGACACATAGATTTAGTACAGCATCAAGGCTATTCAAGACACACAGACTTTGTACAACATCCAGGCTTTTACAGACACGCAGACTTAGTACAAAATCCAGGCTTTTACAGACACACAGACTTGGTACAACATCAAGGCTCATTTAGACACACACTTAGTTAAGCATCCAGGCTCTTACAGACATGCAGACTTAGTACAGCATCCAGGCTCTTACAGACACACAGACTTAGTACAACATTGAGGCCCTTATAGGCACAAACACTTAGTGCAACATCAGAAAGAAGGCTCTTAGTACAACATCCACACTGGGCTACTACCAACGCATACACTTGGTACAACAGTCAGGCTCTTAGAGACACAAACACGTAATGCAACATCAAAAGCAGGTTCTTAAAGACACAAAGGCTTAGTACAAAATCCAGGCTCTTAAACAATTCTTTCCTACGCTATATGAGCTCCAATCATCCTTCCCTACTCTATGTGAGCCCCACATATTCTTTACTACTCTAGATTGGTCCCGCACATACTTTCCTACAGTACATGGGCCCCATACATTCTCTCTTAAACTATCAGGGGCCTCACACATTTTTCCTACTCTGTGAGCCCCTCACATTCTTTCCTACCCTTTGAGCCCCTCACATTCTTTCCTACTCTGTGAGCACCTCACATTCTTTCCTACTCTGTGAGCCCCACACATTCTTTCCTACTCTGTGAGCCCCTCACATTCTTTCCTACTCTGTGAGCCCCACACATTCCTTCCTACCTTGTGAGCCCCTCACATTCTTTCCTACATTGTGAGCCCCTCACATTCTTTCCTACTCTGTGAGCCCCACACATACTTTCCTACTCTGTGAGCCCCTCACATTCTTTCCTACTGCCAGCCCCACACATACTTTCCTACTCTGTGAGCCCCTCACATCCTTTCCTACTCTGTGAGCCCCACACATACTTTCCTACCCTGTGAGCCCCACACATTCTTTCCTCCTCTGTGAGCCCCTCATATTCTTTCCTACTCTGTGAGCCCCACACATTTTTCCTACTCTGTGAGCCCAACACATTCTTTCCTACTCTGTGAGCCCCTCACATTCTTTCCTATTCTGTGAGCCCCACACATTTTTCCTACTCTGTGAGCCCCACACATTCTTTCCTACTCTGTGAGCCCCCCACATTTTTCCTACTCCGTGAGCCCCACACATTTTTCCTACTCTGTGAGCCCCACACATTCTTTCCTACTCTGTGAGCCCCACACATTTTTCCTACTCCGTGAGCCCCACACATTCTTTCTTACTCTGTGAGCCCCACACATTTTTCCTACTCCGTGAGCCCCACACATTCTTTCCTACTCTGTGAGCCCCTCACATTCTTTCCTACTCTGTGAGCCCCACACATTTTTCCTACTCTGTGAGCCCCACACATTCTTTCCTACTCTGTGAGCCCCACACATTTTTCCTACTCTGTGAGCCCCTCACATTCTTTCCTACTCTGTGAGCCCAACACATTCTTTCCTACTCTGTGAGCCCCTCACATTCTTTCCTACTCTGTGAGCCCCTCACATTCTTTCCTACCTTGTGAGCCCCTCACATTCTTTCCTACTCTGTGAGCCCCACACATTTTCCTACTCTGTGAGCCCCTCACATTCTTTCCTACTCTGTGAGCCCCACACATTTTTCCTACTCTGTGAGCCCCTCACATTCTTTCCTACTCTGTGAGCCCCACACATTTTTCCTACTCTGTGAGCCCCTCACATTCTTTCCTACTCTGTGAGCCCCACACATTTTTTTTCTACTCTGTGAGCCCCACACATTCTTTCCTACTCTGTGAGCCCCTCACATTCTTCCCTACTCTGTGAGCCCCACACATCTTTCCTACTCTGTGAGCCCAACACATTCTTTCCTACTGTGTGAGCCCCTCACATTCTTTCCTACTCTGTGAGCCCCTCATGTTCTTTCCTACTCTGTGAGCCCCACACATTCTTTCCTACCCTGTGAGCCCCACACATTCTTTCCTACCCTGTGAGCCCCTCACATACTTTCCTACTCAGTGAGCCCCACACATTCTTTCCTACCCTGTGAGCCCCTCACATTCTTTCCTACTCTGTGAGCCCCTAACATTCTTTCCTACTCTGTGAGCCCCACAAATTCTTTCCTCCTCTAAGCATGCCCCTCACATTTTCCATACTTTTGGCCCTGCCCATCAGCCCCTGGGGGTCAGTCAGGATCAAAATGGGCATACCATCAAGCCGTCATCCTTCACTCCTAATTCTAACCAAGTCTGAAATATTTCCAATGGAAATTAAACAAATTATGCTCAAAAATCTAGTTTTCCTATATAAAATATAGTAATCTTTACCCCCTCCCCATGGGGATATGTGAGACCCTGGGGTAAAGAAATTCACATTTTTGGTAAAGCACCTTAAGATGGTTCCATTCAAGAAGAGTATTTGTTTTTCCCAAATCTGGGTCTTGAGAAAAAAATTTGAAATCTTAGTCAATTTGACCCCTTTTGGCCCCGTCCCTCAGGCCCCTGGGGGTGAGGACTGTATTCTTCAAAATTTTGGTTCATCTTAGGCCAGGGAAGGTTTCCTCAAAATTACATTCAAATTGGATCATGGGTTTTTGAAAAGAAGTTGAAAGTGTAAAATTGTTTATGGACGCACAACACCGTATGAAGTGTGTTAGAATAGGTCACCATGAGACTTTGTCTCAGATGACCTAAAAAGGGGAATACCTCTCCTCCTCATTTTATCCTTGATTGGTTCCATCACCTACAGAGTGGTGAAGCAATTTGCTCACAACCTAAGTCCATTAATAAAGAAAACCATCTATCATTTACATAAAACACAACAAACATCAACTGGCCTACATCAGACTTCAACAAAACAACCTTGTCTGGGATGGCGCGCGGTATCATCTGCCCCCATCTAGAGTAGACTACTGCATATTACCATTATGTCGCCAACCATCAACCAATCCAATGACTAAGATTGACAGCTCTTGGTATGTTTAGCCAAAAGTCGAGTGAACAGCAGCTTAAATGTATCCCTTATTACCAACCATATCATTTCTCAAATCAACAATCAAACATAAACTGTCCAAATTAAAGATGGCTTCCTGTTGACCAAGTCTTTACGAACCATTAATTTGTGGTAAAATAAGCAGTCTGAATCATGATATATTGCATCATTTTTATTGAATACTTTTCCAATCTATTTAATGAAAATGGACAAATATCTGTAATACAACAACTCTCTTGATAACATGTATCACAGGAAAGAGTCAATATGCATACATACTTGTTTATATGTTTTATAGTACAGTCAATTAGAACTGTGATTTTACAACGAAACACAGTACACTGATTTGATTGTTAAAACTTTTACAACAAAACACAGTACACTGATTTGATTGTTAAAACTTTTACAACAAAACACAGTACACTGATTTGATTGTTAAAACTTTTACAACAAAACACAGTACACTGATTTGATTGTTAAAACTTTTACAACAAAACACAGTACACTGATTCGATTGTTAAAACTTTTACAACAAAACACAGTACACTGATTCGATTGTTAAAACTTTTACAACAAAACACAGTACACTGATTTGATTGTTAAAACTTTTACAACAAAACACAGTACACTGATTTGATTGTTAAAACTTTTACAACAAAACACAGAACACTGATTTGATTGTTAAAACTTTTACAACAAAACACAGTACACTGATTTGATTGTTAAAACTTTTACAACAAAACACAGTACACTGATTTGATTGTTAAAACTTTTACAACAAAACACAGTACACTGATTTGATTGTTAAAACTTTTACAACAAAACACAGAACACTGATTTGATTGTTAAAACTTATACAACAAAACACAGTACACTGATTTGATTGTTAAAACTTTTACAACAAAACACAGTACACTGATTTGATTGTTAAAACTTTTACAACAAAACACAGTACACTGATTTGATTGTTAAAACTTTTATACATACATAACAATCCTTAAACCTGTGCAAATTAGTAACCTGGTTGATGTCATAATCAACGATGAAGACATACCTTAAAATATTTCACTTTTGGACCACCTCACTGCCTCCAGGGAGGTCAAGACCCACCATTTATACAAGATTGATTCCTTGTCACAGGATTATTCTGACTCAATTGCTATAAGAAGAATGATTTAAGAGTAAGCTGAATTTCTCCTATTGGGTCCTGTCCTGCTTTTCTTATTCTCTGCATTAGACCAAATTTTGTAAAATTTCCACAGATGACTAGGACTTGTAGTGATTTGCAGAAAAAAACAGACGATGAACGCCATAAGTTCACTTAGCCCTTCAGTAAGCCAAGAACTCACAAAAATGATTTTTTGATTATCTTTTTTTCTTTTCTTGAGATAAGATGCACTCATGGATTCAATAAAATAATAAACATTCTTTTTTATTTGTCATGGTCTTACAGGACTGTGTATGAACACAAGTAAAAAAAGCTATACAGAAAACAACTAGTTAAATATTTCCTGTCCCCTGATAATAAATTACTTGTATGATAGTTCCTTTAACAGAGTATGAGACCTTCTTGGCAATTCCCTTCCATACTTAGTATCGCTTTATCTTTTTGAACAGATACGTGTGATATTCACTCAGAACAATATTGCCATTTGAAGGTAAAATTCCACGTTTCAACCAAAAAGACAAAGCAATTTCAATTTTTGCTAATGCTGTAGCCATCACCCGATCGTGTAAAGAATACCAAAGGGGACATAGTAACGTACCTGCTTTTCACAGATACATTAACTTTTCCTAACATTCAAAGTCTCAGCTTCTCAATGCAGAGAAAGTCATTTAAAGGTTTAGGTTTAAACAAATTTAACCCTTGTGACCTTGATTTTAAGAACTTATAGAGCTTCATCCAAGTAATATCAATGCACATGCATTAGCTGAATATCATGACAACAGGCCACTGATAAATCAGAACTTTTAAGAACTTATAGAGCTTCATCCAAGTAATATCAATGCACATGCATTAGCTGAATATCATGACAACAGGCCACTGATAAATCAGAACTTGTTTGAAGGTCAACAAATTTGATCTCTATGACTTTGAATATGTGCCATGGTAATTTCTTTTCGCAAACTTTTTCAGTCTTCATCCCTATATCAGACTGTTTGGTAATGAAGAAAAGAAAAAGTTTATGTCAGATGAACAACAGCAGTTACATCATGGCATAGTCTCACTTGGTCCAGTCTGCCCAGGTGAGCTAAAAAACTAAAAAGAAACTTTTCATCCTGTTTTTATAAAGTAAACAATTACCACTAGTGTATCCTCCACCAACAGATCATAAGCTGCCTCACTACTTTTGTCATTATTTTGGCATTCTTATCACTAAATTTATTGTCCTAGTGCATCACTTTTTAATCAAATAATTTTATACACTATGCATTTACAACAATTACCATGAAATTATGTCACAAAACAAACAAACAAACAAAACAAACTTTTATTTTTTATAGATTCCTGCATTAAGTCAATATCTCTTTTAATGCAGCATTTTTGTGTGCACTCTGAAATAATATCTTCATAATATCTTTAAATACAGTAAAGCCAACTATCAAAACTGATGATTCAACTCAACAGAAGATACATATGATTTTAATCAGTTCTATTTTTGTTTTTTTTTCTTTCTCTTAGTTACACTGTATCAATAGTATTGACTCATAGCCTCCGACAGCTTTCTTAAAATGCTGATCTTACTCATAACAGATCTTGTAAAACTAGGACCAATACTGGACATATTACATGCTGATCTTACTCATAACAGATCTTGTAAAACTAGGACCAATACTGGACATATTACATGCTGATCTTACTCATAACAGATCTTGTAAAACTAGGACCAATACTGGACATATTACATGCTGATCTTACTCATAACAGATCTTGTAAAACTAGGACCAATACTGGACATATTACATGCTGATCTTACTCATAACAGATCTTGTAAAACTAGGACCAATACTGGACATATTACATGCTGATCTTACTCATAACAGATCTTGTAAAACTAGGACCAATACTGGACATATTACATGCTGATCTTACTCATAACAGATCTTGTAAAACTAGGACCAATACTGGACATATTACATGCTGATCTTACTCATAACAGATCTTGTAAAACTAGGACCAATACTGGACATATTACATGCTGATCTTACTCATAACAGATCTTGTAAAACTAGGACCAATACTGGACATATTACATGCTGATCTTACTCATAACAGATCTTGTAAAACTAGGACCAATACTGGACATATTACATGCTGATCTTACTCATAACAGATCTTGTAAAACTAGGACCAATATTAGATATAACAAAAAGTTTCCAAAAAGATCAGTTCTGAAATAGTGATAATAGCCATTCTGAGCAACTATTCTGAGTCACAATGTTAACATGCTCAACTACTGCCTAAACTAGATAGAACAAAAAATCTCTTCAGGTTTTGAGAAATAGCAGAAACAAACTTTAAAAGCCAAAATCAAAATTATGGCTGGTAGCAATCGTGAACATGAAATCATGCTCCAAGTATGGTGCCATGTGGCATACATTACTGATGTATCAAACAGATCCCTAAGGTAGTTTTTGAGAAGATGCAAAAGACAGACTGATGGACGGACCACAGGCAGAAAGGGATTTAAAAACACCTGATGTGATTCAATATGAAATCCTGCCGTGTATAAACTGTCATTCACGAACACTCCTCTACGACTTATCTAAGACCTTCAAAGTCTGCAGATATAATGGAAAAAGCTAACAGTGGAAAATATTTAGAACATTATTTTTCAAATTGTTAACAAATCAGACATTCAAGGTCATTGATTGTAACTAACTTGATATTTATTTTTCCTTTCACTACATTCTTAGGCCATAGAGCTTTTTATTCATACAGATGTAAATTTGTGACTATGAATAATCTTGAGAACTTCATCGTATGCTGTTGATCTGATATATCATCAAATGGCTCTTGCAGTGCAAGTCCTATGAGAAAACATATATGAAAATAGAGATATGGCTATGTTAAACTGCACTGCTGCTTAGAAAGAGAACACAATAAAGTTCTATTAACATGTTCAGGAATCGTAATCAAACTATCTCCTATTCCCAGATCGGCTGTGATTTCCTTTCCGGTGATCTCCGTGATGATGAACTGAACTCTGACCCCTGTGATGATAGTTATATGATCCGTAGTCAGTGCCGGGCCTTACCCCACCATCTTGGTACCCACCACTTTGGTGCACACTGTAGGTGTCAAAAGAATTTCCTGGATTAATTGAAGGTTTCCCTGAGGATTTTCCCCTTTGACCTTTATAATCTTTGTGTGACCCTTCATTGATGTGATATCCTGTGTAGGTTCCCTGGTCCTGATATTGTGCCTGTCTGTAGTGACAATGATAATCATTGCGATCACTTCCTATGAACTGGTAGCTACCCAAACTCTCTGGTGAAATGGCTGTTTCTTTTTTACCTACGTACTGAGGCTTGTTACTGACTAAAGGGGAGGATTTCCCCTGAGGTCCACACGATTTATCCCACAGTTTAATCAGAGCTTCTCCAACATGTGGCTCAATCTCCTAGGAATAAAACAAACTGATTACAAAAATGTACATGAGGCCAATAACACCTGCTCACTTTTTTAGTGCAGCTGAAACTGCTTCATCTTCACTTCATCTTTTATAGATTTACATCCATTTCCTCTACAGGTGGGTCAGACCTACCATTTATAAATACAAAAGTAACTTTCATTCATCCTAGAATTCTTCAGACCAACTTTGGACAATTGGTCCGATCCATTGTTCATACAGAATTGAGTAAACTTCACCCAAGGATGCTTCAGACCAAAATTAAACAAAATCCAATCATTTTTACAGAAGGAGAAGGACTTTAAGGAATTTGTTAAATTTCCCGTTTAAGGCTCCATCCCTTAGACTCCTTGAGATCCTACAAAATTTATTTCTATTCCCTTAAGGATATGCTTCTCACCAAATTTCTTGAAAATTGGCTTAGTCGTTTATGATTAGTAGAAACTTTGATATGACATAAGCTCACCTATTCTTAAACAATGGAAAATGACAATAAAATTACGCTCACAAATGTGATTTTCCTATATAAACTGATTCACCATACCTGACCATCTTTACTATTCTGTACTCTTCTGTTTTCATCCCATGGATTCAGCAACTGGTGACAACTTTGAAATGGCAAGTTTGCTCTGGTAAATATATAAACAATCCCTATAATGATTCTACATTGCAATGCCATACAAGAGACAAGGAAAAGCTGAAAAGTGAATTATAATAGTCTTCTTAATCTCCACCTCTAGACAAACTTTGGTATGAAAAATGACCCAAAACAATATTTTTCGTTTTTCTACTACTTAACTACTTAAAGTATCCATGGGACAAAGCTGCTGAAGTTTGTTTAGATCCAAGACCAATACTACAAAACACAGAAAAGCTGCTGAAGATTGTTTTAGACCTAAGGCCAAGACTACAAAACACAGAAAAGCTGCTGAAGATTGTTTTAGACCTAAGGCCAAGACTAAAAAACACAGAAAAGCTGCTGAAGATGCTTAGACCTAAGGCCAAGAATTAAAAATACACAGAAAAGCTGCTGAAGTTGTTTAAACCTAAGGCCAAGAATTAAAAATCGCAGAAAAGCTGCTGAAGATTGTTTAGATCGAAGGCCAAGAATTAAAAATACACAGAAAAGCTGCTGAAGTTGTTTAGACCTAAGACCAAGACTACAAAACACAGAAAAGCTGCTGAAGATTGTTTAGATCTAAGGCCAAGACTACAAAACACAGAAAAGCTGCTGAAGATTGTTTAGATCTAAGGCCAAGACTACAAAACACAGAAAAGCTGCTGTAGATTGTTTAGACGTAAGACCAAGAATTAAAAATACACAGAAAAGCTGCTGAAGTTGTTTAGATCTAAGGCTAAGAACTAAAAATACACAGAAAAGCTGCTGAAGATTGTTTAGATCTAAGTCTAAGAACTAAAAATACACAGAAAAGCTGCTGAAGTTGTTTAGACCTAAGTCTAAGAACTAAAAATACACAGAAAAGCTGCTGAAGTTGTTTAGATCTAAGGCCAAGAACTAAAAATACACAGAAAAGCTGCTGAAGTTGTTTAGACCTAAGACCAAGAATAAAAAATACACAGAAAAGCTGCTGAAGATTGTTTAGACCTAAGGCTAAGAACTAAAAATACACAGAAAAGCTGCTGAAGATTGTTTAGACCTAAGGCTAAGAACTAAAAATACACAGAAAAGCTGCTGAAGTTTGTTTAGATCTAAGGCCAAGACTACAAAACACAGAAAAGCTGCTGAAGATTGTTTAGACCTAAGGCCAAGAACTAAAAATACACAGAAAAGCTGCTGAAGATTGTTTAGACCTAAGGCCAAGAACTAAAAATACACAGAAAAGCTGCTGAAGTTGTTTAGACCTAAGGCCAAGAACTAAAAATACACAGAAAAGCTGCTGAAGTTGTTTAGATCTAAGGCCAAGAACTAAAAATACACAGAAAAGCTGCTGAAGTTTGTTTAGATCTAAGGCCAAGACTACAAAACACAGAAAAGCTGCTGAAGATTGTTTAGACCTAAGGCCAAGAACTAAAAATACACAGAAAAGCTGCTGAAGATTGTTTAGACCTAAGGCCAAGAACTAAAAATACACAGAAAAGCTGCTGAAGTTGTTTAGACCTAAGGCCAAGAACTAAAAATACACAGAAAAGCTGCTGAAGTTGTTTAGATCTAAGGCCAAGAACTAAAAATACACAGAAAAGCTGCTGAAGTTGTTTAGACCTAAGGCCAAGAACTAAAAATACACAGAAAAGCTGCTGAAGATTGTTTAGACCTAAGACCAAGAACTAAAAATACACAGAAAAGCTGCTGAAGTTGTTTAGATCTAAGGCCAAGAACTAAAAATACACAGAAAAGCTGCTGAAGTTGTTTAGACCTAAGACCAAGAATAAAAAATACACAGAAAAGCTGCTGAAGATTGTTTAGACCTAAGGCTAAGAACTAAAAATACACAGAAAAGCTGCTGAAGTTGTTTAGACCTAAGACCAAGAATTAAAAATACACAGAAAAGCTGCTGAAGTTGTTTAGATCTAAGGCCAAGAACTAAAAATACACAGAAAAGCTGCTGAAGTTGTTTAGATCTAAGGCTAAGAACTAAAAATACACAGAAAAGCTGCTGAAGTTGTTTAGATCTAAGGCTAAGAACTAAAAATACACAGAAAAGCTGCTGAAGTTGTTTAGATCTAAGGCCAAGAACTAAAAATACACAGAAAAGCTGCTGAAGTTGTTTAGATCTAAGGCTAAGAACTAAAAATACACAGAAAAGCTGCTGAAGTTGTTTAGACCTAAGACCAAGAACTAAAAATACACAGAAAAGCTGCTGAAGTTTGTTTAGACCTAAGGCCAAGACTACAAAACACAGAAAAGCTGCTGAAGACTAAGTTAGATTCCAATGACATTTCACTGATAACAACAGCAGATACCCATACTCTTTGATCTTTTTCTCTTAAATAAATTTGTTGAGGGATCACAAATGTTTTATCTCTAATTAAGTCAAGTGTCCCTTTTATCTTTACTGATGAAAATATACTGAGTGTAGCATGTGATGCTTTGATGCTATGGTGTGAATATCTTGTACACAAGTGTGCCTTGACCACCACATTGGATCAGGTGTAACATCGCAATGTCAAGATCACTTCATAAGTCTTCCCCACTTGTGTGACAGGAGATTAATGGTAGCCAAAGCAGCACAAAATAACACTGGTAATGAAAACTGTCCAATCCACCCCAAAACTGTGAGGCAAATTTACAACCATGTTGCCAATATGTTTGTTTCCTATGACATCTCAACCTCAAGCATGTTGTATGCCATGGTTGATGGCACATGTGTCCAGATGTTTCCTATTGAGACGTTATAGATCCATGCTCTTCACAGATCAATCTCGATTCACGTTATTTTGATCAGATGTCCGTCAACATGTGAACTGGTGTCGAGGAGAGTGTCATGCAGATGCTTGTGTTTAGGTGCATGACAGATTTGGGAGTGGATTGATTATGGTTTGGGGAGGAATTTCCCGTGGTTTCAAGAGTAATCATTAATGGGAATTGAATGGCTGTATTGCTATCGAGAGCTATCCTGAGGCCTCACGTTGAGACTTCCAATATAAAGCACTATTTGACCTTTCAGCATGATAACACAAGGCCACACATTGTAAAAGTTTGTAGGGACTTTCTTGCGACCAAGAACATTGCCCCTATTGACTGGCTTCCATTCAGCACCGATTTGACCCAACTTCCACACATGTGGGAAAACTTAAGACAGAATGAAGAGATTGGAATCGAGCAAACGTCCGAAATAACCTCCACCACTTGGCCAACACACATACAGAGGAATGGCAAAACATTCCTCTACGGATAGTTAATGTCCTTATGAAGGCCATGCAAAATTAGAGAGGATATAGCTGTTCACAGAAAGCCCTCAACATAAGGGATCGGATGACAACTGCCATCATTTCAACTTTGTGTACTTAGGGGTACCCTAATTCATGGGGTCAAATTAAGTCCTCTTTTGTTAAAACTTTGAAGACAGATTGTCTAATGTTCGAAGTTGACTAATGCATTTTGCATTTCAGCATATTACTAATAAATGTTATTTAATTAAACATTAAAGATGAAGTTGTGTTCCTTTTTCCATTTAATTAAACATTAAAGATGAAGCTGTGTTCCTTTTTCCTCTTAGTATATCAACAAAGTCAAGTATTGGCATGAAAGGGGATTATCTTAATACACAATAGTATGGTTCAAATATTGTCTGATAGTGTACAAGTGATCATACCTTTTTATCCACTCAATATCACAGGTATAGTCAGATCCATGATGGCCAGAGTCCTGGCACTTTTTATATACAAGCTTTGACTTCATTTTAGCATAACCCTGGAAATGGCCACTTCCTTGTACAGAGAAAATCAGGTAAACGGTTTTCCCTTCCTGTATGGTGGGAAATATTATATACAGGTAGTGTTTATATCAGATACATTCAAAATGGGGCCAGTCAATCAAGAAATAAGACTGGTCAAAGGGATGAACTCTTAGTAAAAGTTAAAGGAAAAAAAAATTATAATTTGTTCTCTCTTCATATCTCAAATGATATTCCAGTCAAAAAAATATGAGTTTGATTTCAGTTCATGACAAATTAAAATTCAAAAAGCATGAAAATAAATTGGAATTTCAATTGTCAAAATAACTACATAATCACAGAAGCAGTCAACAACTCAAGGAAATTTTATATAATATCTGAGAGCAGTGCTATGCTACAACAGTGCACACTCATTGATTCTTTTGCAGTAAATGTGTTGCACACAATGGCAGGAATACAATGTTTGATTTACTTGACATCACATGTCACTTACACTTTTTAAATACTTTATACTTAAAAGTTTTGTATTTTTTGCCTCATATTTCTATGGACAGATACATGTTCTGTAAATTTAACTGATACACAAACAGTCAAGACATAAGATACTGTTTAAATCCAGACAGAATATGTAATAGAGAGAATTTCACAGAGGACAACTTTAAGACAACTCACTGCTATACAAAGTAGTGTTTATCCTAAACAGGAATACTGAATACTAACCTGAAACACACTATTAACTTTCTTCTGGCTAGAGATATTTGTAGTCCACATTGCCTTGTTCATGGAAATGTCTAGTTTGTTTTGATTAGTACATTTCATGATCCAGAAGCTGGCTGGTACCTGGGTTTGGGGGTTCAGCCTTGGGGAGGCTGGGCCTGGACTCATGGAAGGTGTGCTGGGCTGACTACCCTTCAGACTGGTGTTGGTGGACGGACAACTGCTGGACGATGTATTCTCAACACCACTATTTCCTGTCAAACACAGTTTTGATGGTAACTTTCCAAAGGACTGATACTAATTCTGTGTTTTTTCTGTCTTTGATATCATTTCCTGGACAAGAAATGATCTTATCCAAACTACCAGAAGTCATATCTGAACTGATTCTTTAAAATATGCTGTATAATTTCTTGTATTTGTAATACATATTAGTTATTTCTTGTTTTGACCAGGGAATTAATCACATGATAATACCAAGAAATCCAGTAATTACAAAAAGGTACTTTCTAACAACAAAATGGTCTTAAAAAGAATTCAACATGCAAATGTGGCATTGACAAAAATGTATTTCTTCCCATGGTTAAATTGTCAGTTAAAACATTAATTTTGATAGCCTTGGGGATCAATAATCAAAATTATTAAATATTTTTCATTCAATTTCTTTTTGTTGAAAATACAGATGTGTAACTCTGATATAGCACCATCTGTTTGTAACATTAGATTTTGACTTTAATACTAGTTAGGTGATGCACCAAGTCCCTGTGAAATGACAATTGAGATACTGAGATTAATCATTTATTTACTACATATAATGGCTACCTAAGAAGACATAAACACACTCTTTTTAATGCATCAATTTATCTACAAATGAATAGTAGAATTTTCTATGTTGATATGCCTTAAAACAGGAAATGTAAGTTTCGTTGAAACTTTATTTGTTGTCATGGCTAATACCACAATAAAAATAAAATACAACAATAAAAATTCAAATGAGAGAATCCTCAGATGTTTCCATGCAAAACCATTGACCAAGGGAAAGCCTACATAGGAAACATTAGAATCATCCTTCTAGTACTTCTCCAGAAATAACAAACTTCTACTGTCCATTTCCAAGATGACCCACTTTACCATATCTGTCACTTTGTTTTTTAAGTCCAAAAACGGTCAATGCACATGAAATGACAAATGGGATCCTATATAATATAAGAATAATCTTTAGGTACATCTCCTGAATAGCAACAACAAGAATTCTTGAATTCAACACATACAAGGGCCGACAGGTTATGCTCTCTGTATGGAACAAAATTTAAGTTTGAAAAGTAACAAAGTGCAATAATTCCTCTTGCATTACATACAAAAGTTTTACATATTCTTGTTTTGTTGTGACTAAACTGTACTAAACTGTACATAAATCTCAACTTTTTCACTATCTCATCAGCAATGCTCTAGAAAAGGAAAGTAAAAGCAGAACCTGCCATTTTGCTGTTAGCATAAATAACCCAACAAAATTAGTTGATTTGTGAGCATCAAGATATGAATGTTCTTGTAAAACCTGATGTATCATGACAATATTTCTGATACTTATCATTATTGTTTAAAAATACATTTCATCTGCCGATTCGTACCTACGGACATGTCATGACCTCTACTAACGTCAGAAAGGAAAGAAGAAATATTTACTGTAATGTCTAAAGATGTTGTGGATACCTGGTCACTCTGTGACAACGCTAGATGTCATGAGTACAGAAAGAGAAAAGTGTCAGGAAATTTGTTTTGATAAAATTGAGTGTGGTGACTGTGGCAGTAAAATCAACTTGTATTCGAAATGTGAAACCAAAATATAATGACATGAAACATATCAAGGAAATCTTACCATGTTGAAACTGGAAATTTTTGCGTGGAGGAGTAACAAAGTCAAAGTTGCCTTTTCCATTGCCTCCAGACATGATAGACTCAGCAGCTACAAATGAAACTCTTCAATCAATCTGAAGCTCTTGTTAGTATACAATAGTTGTTTATTGTTACAGATTTTTATAAAATGATTAATAAAAAGCAAAAGAGAATTAAGACATTGTAAAGAAACCAATTTTCTATTTATAATATAGGATTTCTCTGACCTGTTTACAGGTAAGAATACAAATATTTTTAAGCTAATTCTAACCTTAATAATCCATCATGTGTTATCATCCTGTACAGATAATAATGGGAGCTGATTACCTAGGTAAATAATTACAAAATCAGGCCCAGAGGCTCATATGAATTTCAAAACTCAACTCCCCTCAATGTGGAAGGTATGAGTGAGTGGGGTAGGGGGTGTTTTTATGACCCCTTATTATTAACAATAAACAGGGAGTTCTCAAAGATAGCTTAACACCCAAACCTCATTAATATCAACTGAAAATCACAGCAATGACCTTGACCTTTCACCTTATGATCTTGAGCTTTTCTTATTTTCTTAATATTTCATCATCATCAACTTACTCATAGGTCTTGGTCTCTGACCAATTCCGGCTGGTTGCTGCAGTCCCATTGTCTGTTCTTCATTTGTTAAAACATTAACAATGGTTCTCACCACAGACTGTAATTCACAACATCAACTTTAAGATTACCATATTTATAATCTTCCCTGTGTTGGAAGGAGACCTAATAATACTTGGTTTCAATGATTTATCAGTAACTTACTTAATTATTTCAATGAATTTGAAAAATTAAACATTCATAAGTTATCAAGCAAGAGCAGTTCAAACTTTAAATGAACTGTATGTCACCTCTTCAAGAATGTTGGCAAGTATAATCACTGATGGCAAAAATGAAAGAATATTTTGTATCCGTGGAGCATGTGTTCTTAAGACACTCACTGACTACCCAAGTTACAGATATGTATAGTGTTGTAACTGTGGGGGATATATCCCCAAGACAATGTCAGGCTACCAACAAATATATATAGTGTACCTGTGAAGGATATATTCAAAGACACTGAAAGACTATACAAGTTATAGAGAAAGTGTTGTACTTGTGAGGGTTATATTCACATTGCATTGAAAAACTGCCTGACACTGACATAGTGTGGGATATATTCCCCAGACACTTAGACAGACTGATACAGTGACAGATAAAGTGTTGTTAGTGTGGGGAATATTCCCCCAACACATGGACGGACTGATAAAGTGACAGATAAAGTGTTGTTAGTGTGGGGGATATTCCCCAGACACATGGACGGACTGATACAGTGACAGATAAAGTGTTGTTAGTGTGGGGGATATTCCCCAGACACATGGACGGACTGATAAAGTGACAGATGAAGTGTTGTTAGTGTGGGGGATATTCCCCAGACAGACTGATACAGTGACAGATAAAGTGTTGTTAGTGTGGGGGATATTCCCCAGACACATGGACGGACTGATAAAGTGACAGATAAAGTGTTGTTAGTGTGGGGGATATTCCCCAGACACATGGACGGACTGATACAGTGACAGATAAAGTGTTGTTAGTGTTGGGGATATTCCCCAGACAGACTGATACAGTGACAGATAAAGTGTTGTTAGTGTGGGGGATATTCCCCAGACACATGGACGGACTGATAAAGTGACAGATAAAGTGTTGTTAGTGTGGGGGATATTCCCCAGACAGACTGATACAGTGACAGATAAAGTGTTGTTAGTGTGGGGATATTCCCCAGACAGACTGATACAGTGACAGATAAAGTGTTGTTAGTGTGGGGGATATTCCCCAGACAGACTGATACAGTGACAGATAAAGTGTTGTTAGTGTGGGGGATATTCCCCAGACAGACTGATACAGTGACAGATAAAGTGTTGTTAGTGTGGGGGATATTCCCCAGACAGACTGATACAGTGACAGATAAAGTGTTGTTAGTGTGGGGGATATTCCCCAGACAGACTGATACAGTGACAGATAAAGTGTTGTTAGTGTGGGGGATATTCCCCAGACAGACTGATACAGTGACAGATGAAGTGTTGTTATGTGGGGGATATTCCCCCGACACACAGAAAGATTTAGAGTGATCGAGTGATGAATAGTTATACATCTTTCAGGGAACTGACAGTAAAAATCCTTAAGTTGCAGTTTAATTTGCCCTTCTGGATCCTATATTGTATCAATTAGTGTTATCCAACCCACCTCATCCAGCTGCGACCATGTCTTGGAGGGAGACTTCATCCTTCGTAGCAGCAAGCTGTTCCATTTCTGTCTTAGCTGCAACACTATGCTCATCGTCTGTAACAGACACAGAACCAAGAAGTGTAAGTATGACATACCAGACACCAATATTGAACTTATAATACATTTATCTCATAAATGGTAATGTTAGGATTGTTATAATCTATTTTCATCACATTGGTTTCATTGGTATTCTATAACAAAGTTATACAAAAAATCAATTTGTTTTATATTCTAATCTGTCACAATAAAAACTGAAAATTGAAACAAACAAGTTGAGCCTTGTAGGCCTGCATTTTTACCTGCATGTACTCACATATTCAAATTGATTCAAACCAACTTTAAAACCTGTAAGTGTATAGCACTCAAGGCAAGACATAGATTCTTTTTTGGAATACCTATATTACCCCTGTCCCTGTGACCTCAAAGTCAAGGTCATATCTATTCACAAACTTTGTGAGTCTTCATCCAAGGAAACTATCAGCGAAATATAATGATCCTAGGGCTTTTTGTTCATCAGAAGAAGTCATTAGAACAAACAAATGTTGAATGTGACATTATATCCCATTCCTGACATTGTTGTGATAGGGGAATTGCAAATACGCATGGGCTTCAGTTGGTTTCAAAATAGGCCCTGCATGTACATTTTAGTAATCATCACTGTACCTCATTGTCCAGTTTCAGGCCAAGCCATTCGTCCAGCTGTAGTGTGGTTTTCCTCTCATCTTCCTGATCCTCACCTTCACTATCACTTTCCTCACTACCAAACTCTCCTCTCGTCCCCAAATCTGTGAAGTGTAAAGAATCTTCATCATTAATGGGAGATTTTACATGTCTATACACTGTTGGTTAATAATAAGATATTACAATGATATTTCTCTTTTGTTTTCCTATTTAGTGACTTTTGATTTAATTAGTTAAAACAATACACAATCAAAGATTTTTCACAAATGATTGGTGATGAAAAGGTGATCAATATGACACATACATTTTCATCTACTTTATGGAATCATCATTTAACCTTTGATAATATAATACAGACAAAATCTCAAAATTCAAAGGACTGTGGAAAATATTTCAACTTATCCAAATTTCAAGTGTCCAAACAAGGTTGAGAATATCAGTTTCCAAACATTGATTAAGGTTGACGTCACAAGGTGAACAAGTACACGCATATCAGCGATCAGCCATCTTTGTTTATATACGAAAATGATCAGTGTTGTAATATCCGAGTACAACTTACTGCGTCACATTGAAGATTTTGCATACTAAACACGATCGTGTATATCTTGAAGATATCAGCAGTGTCAATAGACTTACTCAATCTGGAAAGGAAGTTCTTGCAAACATGCAGATGATATGCACTTCATTTGTTTCCTATAAAATCGCCTGATGTTTGTAAACAATGGACAAACTTTGTCAGAATGAAAAGGGATAAGTGGGAAGGGCCGACTAAGTATTCTGTTTTGTGTGAGAAGCACTTTGAAGACCCTATCTGATGAAGTATGCTATTGTCCGGTCCATGGGACGAACTCCCCCAGAGAAGAAAACTCTGAATCCTGATGCTGTCCCCACCTTGCAGACGATAGTCATGGAAGATGTTGTGTCCATTTCATCGATCCCTGTTACCCCAATAATGACATCAACCCCAAAACCAAAATGACCAAGATCTGCTCTTACAAAATGAGAAAACAGAAGGGTAAGTACCGAGACTCCAGTCACATTGCCAAACAAAGTTCAGAGGTTAATTAACAAATAGGCCTAATCAGTGTAAATTGGTCACTGAACTCGTAATAGATTGCTTCATTGAATGAAGACTTGCTCCAGGTATCGCTATTTCATTAAGCTCTGTTTATACCCAATTAAAGTTCCAATATCATATTAGATTTATAAAATTTTGATATAAATGGATTTTTTAAACTAAGCCTATATTTATATTATTCTATATATAATTATTGACTACTGACCCTTTATATGTTTTGGTAGAAAATGCATAGAAATAAAATAATGAATATTATATTATTGATTATATTGATCTCATATGAACTTGTTTTACTCTACATGTACATATGAAAAAAATAACATACCTGGAATGGTTCATTATTTGATATTAAAATGATTTTCAAACAGCTTATCAATGAGATCATGGAGGAAAATGGTACCAATATGAACAATGACGAGGAACCTATGCAAGTAGACAGTATTTATACCAATCAAGATGAAATCATCCCTTCAGTTTTAGAGGTAAAAAAGTGTTATACTTTCATAATTTAAAATCAAAAACAAAGAATACAGGAGTATAAGTTGGTGTAAGATTTAAAAAAAAAATAAAAACAAAGAATAGAATGGGAGAAAAATAAGAATTTCTTGATATCATTTCATATCAGTATATTTATGATCAATATGTTATCAAAATATGATAAGGTACAGGAAAATGGTATTGATAAAGGAATGGGTAATGGTACAAAGTAATGAACATATTTTGTTAAAAGTTTCAAGTGTTAGATTAATAAAAAGAAAATTGATATCTCCAATTAAAGCATAAAATAGAGTAGCATTTTAAAGCAAAATATTGCCTAATTTCCCTGTTCGGGTCCTGCCATCAAGTCCCTAGGGGTTGAATCAAATTTCTGAAATTAAGAAATGATTCCCTACTCCCAATTATGTTTCAGATTAAATTTGGTTGATTGCATTTCAGCATTAAGAAAGAGTAGAATTTTGCAAAAAATATTGTCTAATTTCCCCTTTTGGGGCCTCGTCCTCAAGTCTCTAGGGGTTGAATCAACTTTCTAAATTAAACAAATTTAGCAATTTAACAAAAATAACCAAACTACAATGATATTTCATGCCAAATTTGGTTGAAATCTATCCAGGCATTCAGAAGAAGTAGTGTTTTGAAGCAAAATATTGTCTAACTACCATTTTGGGGCACCATCCAAGGTCCCTAGGGGTCAAATAAAAATTTCTGAACTTAAGATCCTCCACCCCCAATAATGTTTCAAACCAAATTTGATTTAAATTTGCCTAGGCCTTAAGCAGAGGTAGTGTTTTAAAGCAAAAGTTTACAGAGGTTGAACGGCATATAACTACGGATGATGCACAACCCTTTGGGTTAGATGACCTAAACACCGATATTGTTGGTTTTATAAATTAAATGTGCATGTTGAAATATTAGGATTAATGAAGAATGATGCATTTAGCATTGCATTCAAAGAACATCATAAAAAATGCAGAGATAAAATTGAGAGACAATTTGATAAGAGACACAACTTTTTCAAGTATTGGTTGCTTGAATAATATCCAAAAACTGCTTTTTCCTCTCACATCTTTTAAATATATGTATATATGGTGTACGTATAGGGCTCAAAATGTTCAATAATCAGCTGAATATTTTCTTCTTTTACAGTTATCAGAAGGCACTACTTATACACAAACTGAGAACAGCAACAATTTCCACCTAAGGAGAAGAATTTCAAATGAGATGTATTTATTTCTATCAAATGCTGTTATTTCTGTTATTGTCAAAAAACACCATCAATTGTTAAAGCCTCTTGTATATGAGCATTTTATTTCAATAGTGAAATGCTACTTATGACCACTTAACCGTGACCAATGATCAAAATTTGTATAATGGTGTGAACATGAACTAATTTAAAATCAAAATCTTGGACCCAACTTAGATAATAAAGCTTAAGTTGTAAATTCTGGAAAAATCAGGAATAAGAGCACCTTCTAGTTTGCTGTGTCTGTTCCTTAAAGTTTTGTTAAGGAATGACTTCTTAACTACATCCTTAAGACTTACTTCTGTTCAAATGTCTGTCCTTGACAGCATCTGGTGAAAGCTTGGCAGGTCCAGCAAAAATAGCCACAGTAATTGGAGACACCACAGTGCACGTCCTCACCATAGGATGTCGTTGGAATCGGGTCATCTCCTGGTAGAATAGCCAATCAGAGTGCAAGCTTTTGATGAACTGACTTTTCTGGGTTTTCTTTGAGCTCGGAATTTGACTTACCACAGAACTCATGTGGAAGAACACATTACTTTCTTTCCTAGAAAAATAAATGCAAATAATGAATGAAACAAAATCGATAACAAGAATTCTTAACAAAAGGCCCATGGGCCTTGACAGTGACCGGAGATTCCCTCATGATTATTGAAGAGAATTCATTTACATGATTGTCATTTATTTGACACCTATGACCATGCATGGAGGCCATTCATTTGAACAAACTTGGTAGCCCTTCATCCCAGCATGCTTCTGGCACAATGCCATACCTCGGGATCTTTTGGTTATTGAGAAGGAGTCAAAAAAATGTAAATTGTTTACGATGCACCAAGGACATTGACGGACAAAAGGCGATCGTAATAAAAATAGAATATAAACTGCAACTAAGTTGAAAAATAATGTAAATCAGAAGCCCTCAGCCAATAATGATTTAGGAACAGGCGAAGAAGCAAAGCAGGTACTTTCAGGCATTCTAGGACATTTTCTTTCTTTAAAAGTAGCCACTACCATTAGGTAAAAATTTCAATGATAAGTGTGGCCATATGGCACTGTGACGTCATACATTTGTAGGTGATCTTGTCTAATGGACTCCCTTGTAAGCAATACAGGGTGGGTCAGTCTCTTACACTTATGTTTTCAAACAGACGCATCTGAAAGTGAAATTTCTTTGTGAGAAAGCCTATGAGACATAAGTGCCTGCCCATATGAGGTCATCAGAAACTATAATATTAATATTCGGTTATTAAAACTAGAATTAGGTTTCTTACTTATGACACTAAATATGTTATATTATTTGTCTGTGTTATTACTTAAGGTATGAAAATAAATATGTTATATAATTTGTCTGTGTTATTACTTAAGGTATGACAATAAATATGTTATATTATTTGTCTGTATTATTACTTAAGGTATGACAATAAATATGTTATATTATTTGTCTGTGTTATTACTTAAGGTATGACAATAAATATGTTATATTATTTGTCTGTGTTATTACTTAAGGTATCACAATAAATATGTTATATTATTTGTCTGTGTTATTACTTAAGGTATGACAATAAATATGTTATATTATTTGTCTGTGTTATTACTTAAGGTATCACAATAAATATGTTATATTATTTGTCTGTGTTATTACTTAAGGTATCACAATAAATATGTTATATCATTTGTCTGTGTTATTACTTAAGGTATGACAATAAATATGTTATATTATTTGTCTGTGTTATTACTTAAGGTATGACAATAAATATGTTATATAATTTGTCTGTGTTATTACATAAGGTATGACAATAAATAAGTTATATTATTTGTCTGTGTTATTACTTAAGGTATGACAATAAATATGTTATATTATTTGTCTGTGTTATTACTTAAGGTATCACAATAAATATGTTATATTATTTGTCTGTGTTATTACTTAAGGTATCACAATAAATATGTTATATTATTTGTCTGTGTTATTACTTAAGGTATGACAATAAATATGTTATATTATTTGTCTGTGTTATTACTTAAGGTATGACAATAAATATGTTATATTATTTGTCTGTGTTATTACTTAAGGTATGACAATAAATATGTTATATTATTTGTCTGTGTTATTACTTAAGGTATCACAATAAATATGTTATATTATTTGTCTGTGTTATTACTTAAGGTATGACAATAAATATGTTATATTATTTGTCTGTGTTATTACTTAAGGTATCACAATAAATATGTTATATTATTTGTCTGTGTTATTACTTAAGGTATGACAATAAATATGTTATATTATTTGTCTGTGTTATTACTTAAGGTATCACAATAAATATGTTATATTATTTGTCTGTGTTATTACATAAGGTATGACAATAAATAAGTTATATTATTTGTCTGTGTTATTACTTAAGGTATCACAATAAATATGTTATATTATTTGTCTGTGTTATTACTTAAGGTATGACAATAAATAAGTTATATTACTTGTCTGTGTTATTACTTAAGGTATCACAATAAATATGTTATATAATTTGTCTGTGTTATTACATAAGGTATGACAATAAATAAGTTATATTATTTGTCTGTGTTATTACTTAAGGTATCACAATAAATATGTTATATAATTTGTCTGTGTTATTACATAAGGTATGACAATAAATAAGTTATATTATTTGTCTGTGTTATTACTTAAGGTATCACAATAAATATGTTATATAATTTGTCTGTGTTATTACATAAGGTATGACAATAAATAAGTTATATTATTTGTCTGTGTTATTACTTAAGGTATCACAATAAATATGTTATATAATTTGTCTGTGTTATTACATAAGGTATGACAATAAATAAGTTATATTACTTGTAGGTAATAAGGTTCCAAATGTCTAACTTCAGTTGTTAAGAAATTTCTTGAGAAACAGGGATAACAATCTTTACTAGTCAATTGCAAGATTGCTACCTGTCTGCCATTTAGTTTTTCTGATCAGTTCCAAACAGAAACAGGCACAACTAGGGACTAAAAGGAACCTATACATGAAATTTGAGAAAAATCTATACAATAGTTTTCAAGAAATTGTGAAAACAATCTTTCAAAGTCAAAATCCAAGAAGGCCATGTGTATGCCATTTTGTATTTCTGATCAGTCCCAAAATCAGATGTGCACAACTACGGACCAAAAGGAACCTACATATGAAATATCAAAAAGATCTATACAATAGTTCACAAGAAATTGCAATAACAAACTTGCAAAGTTACTGTAAAAGAAGGTTGCCGGTCAGCCATTTTATTTTTTTAATCAGACCCAAAATCTAATGGGCACAACTAGGGACCAAGGGGAACCTACATATAGAATTAAAGAAACATTAATCCAGTACCTCTCAAAAAATAGCAATAATAATAATAATAGCAAAATCCAAGATTGCCACCCTTCCGTCATTTTGGTTTTCTGATCAGTCCCAAAATTATATGGAAACAACTAGAATCCAAAGGAAACCTACATATGAAATTTGAGAGAATTTGTGTTGCAACAACATGCCATATTTTTTATCATCCAGAACTGATATACACTTATCAAAGTTTATGACACCTTTTGGTCATTTTGTTTTTCTCGTAAGACCAAAAATCAAATGGGCACAACTAGAGCCCTAGGGGAATCTACATATGAAATTAAAGAGAGATCAATCCGGTACTTCCAAACTTGCAAGTCAAAATCCAAGATGCCACCTTTCAGCCATTTTGTTTTTTTTGATCAGTCTCAAAGCTAGGTGGGCACAACCAGAGATCAAGGGAAACCTACATATGAAATTTAAGAGAGATCCATGGAGTACTTTCCAAGAATAGCGATAACAATCTTCATTGAAGATGGCCACCTGTCGGCCATTTTATTTATTCTATCAGTCCCTCAAAATCCAACAGGCACAAATAGGGACCAAGAGGAACCTACATATGCAATTTGAAAAAGATCCATCCAGTACTTCTAAAGAAACAGTGATAACAAAAAATTGTTTACAGACGAACAGCCAGACATGTTTTTCCATCAATAAAAGCTTTATCATAACAACATTTCAATTAATTGAGTTTCATAATTATTGAAATGATTCCAAATATAGCATAAAGGCAATCTTGACCCTATATCAATTACAACTTTGATAAGATCTGCCAAATGTTCCAAAAGTCAGATTTTCATAGTTTTCCACACACTTTCAATCACATCAAGATCTGGATTTAGAGATGGCTGAGGTAGAGTTCTAATATCATTTACAATTTTCTATCCACTTTAGGTCATGACATAAGGTATTATCTTCTTGCAAAATCCAAGGTGAAATTTTAAAATGTCCTGCAACAACAGGCCATAAATTTTCATCCAGAATGGAAATACACTTATCAGTGTTTATCTTTCCATCAACAGATGTAAGCGTTTCGATGCCAATATAAGAAATGCATCCCCAAAACATAGCAGTAAGTAATCTCTCATTATTTTTCCCTCCATACAAACACTTTCCTGGTTAGTATTTTTGTTTCGTCACTAAATATGACATCTGACCAATTATTTGCAACCGTCCAATAAAGTTTTGTCTTATAAAAATTTTTCTGGTATTAGTTTTGTCAGAATATGTGCTGTTTGGGCAGAAATGGAGCTGAAAACAACAGGAAATCATTATATGTATTTAATGATGTTGGCTTTATGTTATGGCCAGTGACTGTATGATAGCAGTAGTAGAAAATTAATATTTTAGTAGTTAAGATAACAAATACAGTATTGCAAGGTTGTATGAAGATGGTGGCCTCTTTAATAAGCTGTCTCAATGATATGTTCAGTAAAGTAAGAAAATGTCAGGCCTTTATAAGGCCAACCCCTTTTCCAAGCAAGTTCTACACATTTGCATCTAAAAAAAAATTGTTAAAGGAAAATGGCTTACTTCAGCAATTCATTTTGCATTTACATTTTGGAGAATGCTTAAAGAAATATATGGCTTTAACCTGTTATGCTTAAAAGATATTTTTGTACCACTAGCCCCAAAGAAGTATAATTGCACTCTCCAATAACTACCAAACGTTCCTTATAAGAGTTATAAATACACATCTTCAACTCAAATAGTCAATATTCAGACTGGAATTTGCTGATTGCATCATTAACAAGAGATCCCAGGGGGATCTTGGCACCCACCATTTGAGGATCTGTTTTCAGTTCTTGAAGATTTGTTTATTTTTGTTTGTTTGTTACAGGTGTTGTAAATGTTCATGAACTTGTCTTCATTGAATGTACTCAATGATGGCACAAGATATTTTTATTAAGCACCTATTAGCAAATATCATTTGAAAAAGATCCCGAAGTATTATTAGATAGCAGTCAGTTACAGGTGGATAATGGACAATATGCTTGTGCTGTATTACTGTCGACATCCAAGATGGCTGCATGTGGGCCACCTTGATTTCAAATCAGTCCAAAAACGGTACAATGCACAACTAAGGACCAAGGGAAACCAATATCTATGAAATATCAGAAGGATCCATCCAGTACTTCCTCAGATATAGCAGTAACAAGATTTTACTTCCAAAATCCAAGATGGCCACCTGTCGGCCATCTTGAATTCGAATCAGTCCAAAAAAGGTACAATGCACAACTAGGGACCAAGGGGAAACTGCATATGAAATTTGAGAAAGATCCATCCTGTACTTTTCCAGAAATAGCGGTAACAAACTTTTACTTCCAAAATCCAAGATGGCCACCTGTCGGCCATCTTGAATGCGAATCAGTTCAAAAAAGGTACAATGCATAACTAGGGACCAAGGGGAACCTGCATATGAAATTTGAGAAAGATCCATCCAGTACTTTTCCAGAAATAGCGGTAACAAAAATTGTTTATGGATGGGCGGACGGACGGACGACGGACCACGGACGCAGGGCGATTTGAATAACCCACCATCTAATAGATGCTTTCAATACAACAATAGAAACCTTTGATAAAAAGGAAAAAAAATAAAGGTAAAAATTAAGTGAAAGTATCATTATATTTTGACAGATATTTGATATTAGAAACAAGGAAATGACCGAAAAAGTTCAAAAATAGTTATCACGTATGCATGATCATGCCTTAGAGATATGTAACAAACTGATTTTTCCACAAATAAATATGAATACAGTCTCTTTAGATGCATTAGCACTGCTATTAAGTAACATTTACTATACCTTTCATTAACAGACTACTTTGTTGCTAATATTCAGTTGAAAAGCAAACAGCTTTTCAGACATTAACCTTTTCTTCTATTGTAGAACAGTGTCTTTTTTGGTTGATCAAGAAGTTATTAGAAAATGACAAAAGTATAAACTCCAAAAGTGGTAAGTAAAGTAATCATTCTGCCCAATTCCTGATATCTATCTAGAAGTTGATATTTAGCCTTACTGGGTTGTGAGCTTGGCCTTTTGTCGGTCGACCCGGAGCAGATTTGGGTAGCTGCCTGCACACAATGCACCCTTCACCACAGCCCAGTTCTCGGAATTAGTGTTGAGGTCCCTGATGTCTCCTCCACCTCGAGCTCGTACAAAGCCTGATGCCCTCAACTGGCCAAGCAACTGTGTTCTTCAATCATATCAAATTTTGAAAGTAGTTTCAGATAATGTTCAAAATAAATAAAAAAATTCATAAAAATCAAAGTTTTGTGTGGATACAATTGTAGATCATAAAACATTGGGATGTTGTGTGTGGATACAATTGTAGATAATAAAACATTGAGAAGTTGTGTGTGGATACAATTGTAGATCATAAAACATGGGGATGTTGTGTGTGGATACAATTGTAGATCATAAAACATTGGGATGTTGTGTGTGAATACAATTGTAGATCATAAAACATTGAGAAGTTGTGTGTGGATACAATTGTAGATCATAAAACATTGAGAAGTTGTGTGTGGATACAATTGTAGATAATAAAACATTGGGAAGTTGTGTGTGGATACAATTGTAGATAATAAAACATTGGGAAGTTGTGTGTGGATACAATTGTAGATCATAAAACATTGAGATGTTGTGTGTGGATACAATTGTAGATAATAAAACATTGAGAAGTTGAGTGTGGATACAATTGTAGATCATAAAACATTGGGATGTTGTGTGTGGATACAACTGTAGATAATAAAACATTGAGAAGTTGTGTGTGGATACAATTGTAGATCATAAAACATTGAGAAGTTGTGTGTGGATACAATTGTAGATAATAAAACATTGAGAAGTTGTGTGTGGATACAATTGTAGATCATAAAACATGGGGATGTTGTGTGTGGATACAATTGTAGATCATAAAACATTGGGATGTTGTGTGTGAATACAATTGTAGATCATAAAACATTGAGAAGTTGTGTGTGGATACAATTGTAGATCATAAAACATTGAGAAGTTATGTGTGGATACAATTGTAGATAATAAAACATTGAGAAGTTGAGTGTGGATACAATTGTAGATCATAAAACATTGGGATGTTGTGTGTGGATACAACTGTAGATAATAAAACATTGAGAAGTTGTGTGTGGATACAATTGTAGATCATAAAACATTGAGAAGTTGTGTGTGGATACAATTGTAGATAATAAAACATTGAGAAGTTGTGTGTGGATACAATTGTAGATCATAAAACATGGGGATGTTGTGTGTGGATACAATTGTAGATCATAAAACATTGGGATGTTGTGTGTGAATACAATTGTAGATCATAAAACATTGAGAAGTTGTGTGTGGATACAATTGTAGATCATAAAACATTGAGAAGTTGTGTGTGGATACAATTGTAGATAATAAAACATTGGGAAGTTGTGTGTGGATACAATTGTAGATCATAAAACATTGAGAAGTTGTGTGTGGATACAATTGTAGATAATAAAACATTGAGAAGTTGTGTGTGGATACAATTGTAGATAATAAAAAATTGGGAAGTTGTGTGTGGATACAATTGTAGATAATAAAACATTGGGAAGTTATGTGTGGATACAATTGTAGATAATAAAACATTGAGAAGTTGAGTGTGGATACATGTACATGTAAAACATATTGAGAAGTTGAGTGTGGATACAATAGTATCAAATATAACGTAATGAGTACAAATACATCTATAAATCCATAAAACACAATATTACCTCATGCCAACAATCATCTCCATACAGGCAGAGGAAAGGTAATTCTTATCACAAAAGCTTTTCTCCCAACCATCAGTCCTAGCTCGCTGCCAAGCCTACGTAAAACAATTGATAACAAACAAATAAAGTGGTTATAAGTACCTATTATTTATAAGTACATCCTCAGATATGGTGAACACTATATTAGGTCTGTACACCTACAAGTACAAGTGCAACTCAATGTGAAATTTTTATTGAAAAAAAGTGAAAAAACACTGTATTATGTATACATGCCATATTTTTCTGAGAATAATAAGTGGGATTAGTAGTCAATTCTTAAAGATTTCTGCTTCCAACAAGGGAAAATTTTCAGCCAGTTATTAAATACTCAGTGACAATCCCCTCTATAACAGTAAATATAAAATAGCTCAATTGTATTTTAGATTAGTATTTCTACCTTAAGCTTACCTGGAAAGCTCGCAATAAAGCCATGTGATCACTGTATGTGTCAGCAGCAAATTTACGTCGTGACATACTTGCTTCTCTCTTCAAATTAGGTTGATTTGGTAATACAACTTAAGGAAAGAAAAAAGCCCAACATAATAATGATTAGATAATAAACAACTGAGAAAAGAACAGTTCATTTGAATTGTTGAATATTTGTCCATCATATTATATTCAGTAACACGATCTTATAGGACAATCTGAATATTACAAAATTGGAGGCTAATAACCCACATCTCCTTTACAGGGACTTAAACAGATATACATCAAACTTCTGAATATAGTAACCAACCTTACACGGACTTGTACAGATATACATCCACACTTCTGAATAGAGTAACCAACCTTACAGGGACTTGAACAGATATACATCCAAACTTCTGAATATAGTAACCAACCTTACAGGGACTTGAACAGATATACATCCACACTTCTGAATATAGTAACCAACCTTACACGGACTTGTACAGATATACATCCACACTTCTGAATATAGTAACCAACCTTACACGGACTTGTACAGATATACATCCACACTTCTGAATATAGTAACCAACCTTACACGGACTTGTACAGATATACATCCACACTTCTGAATAGAGTAACCAACCTTACAGGGACTTGAACAGATATACATCAAACTTCTGAATATAGTAACCAACCTTACACGGACTTGTACAGATATACATCCACACTTCTGAATATAGTAACCAACCTTACACGGACTTGTACAGATATACATCCACACTTCTGAATATAGTAACCAACCTTACACGGACTTGTACAGATATACATCCACACTTCTGAATATAGTAACCAACCTTACACGGACTTGTACAGATATACATCCACACTTCTGAATATAGTAACCAACCTTACACGGACTTGTACAGATATACATCCACACTTCTGAATATAGTAACCAACCTTACACGGACTTGTACAGATATACATCCACACTTCTGAATATAGTAACCAACCTTACAGGAACTTGCACAGATATACATCAAACTTCTGAATATAGTAACCAACCTTACACGGACTTGTACAGATATACATCCACACTTCTGAATATAGTAACCAACCTTACAGGAACTTGCACAGATATACATCAAACTTCTGAATATAGTAACCAACCTTACAGGAACTTGCACAGATATACATCAAACTTCTGAATATAGTAACCAACCTTACACGGACTTGAACAGATATACATCCAAACTTCTGAATATAGTAACCAACCTTACACGGACTTGAACAGATATACATCAAACTTCTGAATATAGTAACCAACCTTACACGGACTTGTACAGATATACATCCACACTTCTGAATATAGTAACCAACCTTACACGGACTTGAACAGATATACATCAAACTTCTGAATATAGTAACCAACCTTACACGGACTTGTACAGATATACATCCACACTTCTGAATATAGTAACCAACCTTACACGGACTTGTACAGATATACATCCACACTTCTGAATATAGTAACCAACCTTACACGGACTTGTACAGATATACATCAAACTTCTGAATATAGTAACCAACCTTACACGGACTTGTACAGATATACATCCACACTTCTGAATATAGTAACCAACCTTACACGGACTTGTACAGATATACATCCACACTTCTGAATATAGTAACCAACCTTACAGGAACTTGCACAGATATACATCCAAACTTCTGAATATAGTAACCAACCTTACAGGGACTTGAACAGATATACATCCACACTTCTGAATATAGTAACCAACCTTACACGGACTTGTACAGATATACATCCACACTTCTGAATATAGTAACCAACCTTACACGGACTTGTACAGATATACATCCACACTTCTGAATATAGTAACCAACCTTACACGGACTTGTACAGATATACATCCACACTTCTGAATAGAGTAACCAACCTTACAGGGACTTGAACAGATATACATCAAACTTCTGAATATAGTAACCAACCTTACACGGACTTGTACAGATATACATCCACACTTCTGAATATAGTAACCAACCTTACACGGACTTGTACAGATATACATCCACACTTCTGAATATAGTAACCAACCTTACACGGACTTGTACAGATATACATCCACACTTCTGAATATAGTAACCAACCTTACACGGACTTGTACAGATATACATCCACACTTCTGAATATAGTAACCAACCTTACACGGACTTGTACAGATATACATCCACACTTCTGAATATAGTAACCAACCTTACACGGACTTGTACAGATATACATCCACACTTCTGAATATAGTAACCAACCTTACACGGACTTGTACAGATATACATCCACACTTCTGAATATAGTAACCAACCTTACAGGAACTTGCACAGATATACATCAAACTTCTGAATATAGTAACCAACCTTACAGGAACTTGCACAGATATACATCCACACTTCTGAATATAGTAACCAACCTTACACGGACTTGAACAGATATACATCCAAACTTCTGAATATAGTAACCAACCTTACACGGACTTGAACAGATATACATCCAAACTTCTGAATATAGTAACCAACCTTACACGGACTTGAACAGATATACATCCAAACTTCTGAATATAGTAACCAACCTTACACGGACTTGTACAGATATACATCCAAACTTCTGAATATAGTAACTAACCTTACACGGACTTGTACAGATATACATCCACACTTCTGAATAGAGTAACCAACCTTACACGGACTTGTACAGATATACATCCACACTTCTGAATATAGTAACCAACCTTACACGGACTTGAACAGATATACATCCAAACTTCTGAATATAGTAACCAACCTTACACGGACTTGAACAGATATACATCAAACTTCTGAATATAGTAACCAACCTTACAAGGACTTGTACAGATATACATCCACACTTCTGAATATAGTAACCAACCTTACAGGAACTTGCACAGATATACATCCAAACTTCTGAATATAGTAACCAACCTTACAGGGACTTGAACAGATATACATCCACACTTCTGAATATAGTAACCAACCTTACACGGACTTGTACAGATATACATCCACACTTCTGAATATAGTAACCAACCTTACACGGACTTGTACAGATATACATCCACACTTCTGAATATAGTAACCAACCTTACACGGACTTGTACAGATATACATCCACACTTCTGAATAGAGTAACCAACCTTACAGGGACTTGAACAGATATACATCAAACTTCTGAATATAGTAACCAACCTTACACGGACTTGTACAGATATACATCCACACTTCTGAATATAGTAACCAACCTTACAGGAACTTGCACAGATATACATCCAAACTTCTGAATATAGTAACCAACCTTACAGGAACTTGCACAGATATACATCAAACTTCTGAATATAGTAACCAACCTTACACGGACTTGCATACACCTTAGTTTCAACTGATAATGTTTCAAAGATGTTTTTTTCTAAAAACTTACATGGATCTTTGTAGGCCAATGTACACACAATTGTGAGTACTGGGTCAAGACACTTTAGTATAACCGAGTATAGAACCATTTTCCCAAGGCTGGGCTCAACAGGCAGGTCTGCCAAGTGATGTCCTAACTCTGTCAAATCCTCACATGGATCCAAGGCATCAATTTGCTAAGAACAGAGAGAGAAAAAACTAGATTAGTGTAATACCATATAGCACCTTTTATTTGTTAAATCACCAAATAAAAGACATCAACAATCTATCTTTTAACATTTCCATTCTGGTTCTCACTGACATGGGATAACTCCTGAGAGCTTTGACTGATTGTGCTGGTAGTGACAATACACATGACTTAAAGTGTAACTTTCCATAACTACGTCTTTCGATGTCTATTTCCCACAGTCAGTAGCTAAGTCCCTTCATCTTTAAGTTCAAAATCACAATGCTTTATCCCAGCACATCATTAGCTAAATAACATAACAATTTGCTTCATTCTATGCTAGTATTCAAAAGAAATTACTGAATGCAAACAGTTTACAATTTTAAACTCAACAACTTTTCAGATTATAAAGATATCTTGTGGAAAGAAAATAAATCCCATTCTTGTTGAGAGGGAGACTGCAGAATATTCATGTACTTCATATTTATGTGATTTGTAGCAGGCCTTTAGAGAAATTGACATCGTGCGTTGTGAAGTTGACCATACCTTGAGTAGATGTATGGCATTCCTAGTGAGAAGGAATGTTGGGGGCTCTGGACACTTTGACAGGAAATCAGCGATGGAACAGGTTTTTGGAGCAAGAAGCTTGGTATGGAGACACAATTCCTGGAAACAAATAATTGTATGGTTGGAAATCTAATTCAACTAACCTCTTGCCAACGAGATAAAACAATTTCTTGCTTAGCTCCTCCCAACATTGAACTTTGATAAGGTGTTCCATAATTTCATTCTGGTCAATCAATAAACAAATATTGTCGGCCTTCATCTTAGGAACCTATGAGCAAAAAATGCCTTGGTTCTGCACCTTTTGGTTAGTCAGAAGAAAATGTTTTAAGGTTTAACATTATTTGACCCCTGTGACTTTGAATAATGGTCAAGGTCATTTCTCTTTGCAAACATTGTCAGACTTAATCCTAGGAAGCTAAGAGCCAAATACTATGCTTTTGCATCTTTTGGTTCGTCAGAAGAAGTTGTTTCAAAGTTTTAACAAATTCAACCCTTGTGACCTTGAATAAGGGTAGAGATCATTTCTTTTAACACACTCTGTTGGGTTTTATCCTAACATCCAACCAGCCACAATTACCACAAAATCTTGTCAGGTGGTTATTGAAAAGAAGTATTTCAAATAGAAAGTTGATGCCAAATACACCACCGCACCTTGGCATAAGCTCACCTGACCTTGTCAAAAAAAAGGGAACTATTTCTTGCCAGTGGAAAATTTTTGATTTGTTGTGAAGAGTCACCAGTTAAACTTAAACCCCCTCCCACCAATGACTTTTCAAGAGTTATTATGTGAGGTACTAACAAGGGATTGGATTTGACTTTAATGCTAACAATGCTTTTACAGAGCAATTCCTCTAAGAATATATTCTAAATGGGCCAGTTAACTCTCTTCGCAAAGAAATCAATTGAAAACTGTGGGAGGAGATCTCCAGTCACGAATGCTATTGATAGTCTTACTGTTGGAAAGACAATGCCATACCATAATACATCCCTTAAAAATTCATACATTGTTGTTTCTTTTACAATGATTGATATGTTTTTCACCCTCAATTTCTAAGCACAATGTTGATATTAACCTGCAGTGGGTATCGCAGAATCTCTGGAGCTGGGAAGTCCATCAGGTTGGAGTATCGTACCTTGCTGAAGAGGTGATAACAATGACCTGGCCTCAACCTTCCTGATCTGAAATATTATGAGAGTTAATTTGTAATGTTTCTATGACAAAGTGACAGTGTAAACTTAAGGTTTTTGGGTGACAAAGCAACCTATCTCGCTCCTCCGAGCTAGTCAAAGCTGGGATCCTGATGGGATCAGGCGAGAACCCTGGAACCTGATTCTTTCCTAAAAAGGAAGGCTCAGTTAGTAGAGTTACGGCAGCGTTGCCTCTGGACCAACGTAGACAAGAGAGGAGTGACGACAAGGCGTGGACCTCATTCCTTCTACATCCAGAGGCCAAAGCCAAAAGGAAGACTGACTTGAAAGTTACAAACTTTAACAAGGCAGACTCCAGAGGCTCATAAGGAGCCCTAGTCAGGGAATCTAGCACCAGGGTCAGATTCCACTGTGGTGCCAGCTGCCGAACTCTGGGTCTATCCAGAGCGAAGTCTCTGATAAGGGGAGAAAGAGAGGAGGACGAACATGTCTCTTTCCTGCCATAAAAAGCAAGGACAATGGCAATAGCTGTACGATAGCCAGCGATAGTGACAGGTATCAGATTGCGGTCACTAAACAGAGAGAGTAGGAAATCCGCAATCAGCTGCACACAGGCTTCGAATGGATCAAACTCCCTGCTGACACACCAATCACAGAAGATCTTCCAACATGACTGGTAGACGGCAGAAGAGGAAGCCCTGATTGATCAAGCGATGCGATCTGACACCTCTCGAGAAAAAGCCTGCCTTGGCGAGGCTTCCAGAGATAGCCTGCACGTATGAAGGTGGAGGATCTCTGGTCAAGAGTGTGTCGTTCTGAACTGAGGCTGGCGAAGGAGATTTGGTCTGGTGGGGAGAGCCAAGGGCTCCCTGCACCCTGCCCACCAGATTGAAGGGAGGATATGCATACATCCCATCCCCGTCCAGAGAAAGGGTGTCCAGAGCCCAAGCCTTTGGGTCTGGGACCGGAGAGACGAAGGTTGGCAGCTGGTTGTGGCAAGTGGAAGTGGCAAACAGGTCTAGAAGAGGTCTGTCCCACACCTGACAAATCTCCTTGAAAATCAAGGGACACAGCTGCCTTTCGTCAACACCGGCTGGTGGTGCCTGGAGAGAGTGTCCACCAACACATTCAGCCTGCCAGGAAGATGCTTGACTGCAATGGTCAACTGCATGTCCTGGCAGAGAAGAAGGATGCGGATGGCGAGGGCACACAGGATGTGAGACCTGGTGCCCCCTGCCTTTCCAGATACGCAACAACTTTAGAGTTGTCGGTAGCCACACAAATCACTTTGGACTGCAGGATACCTCAAAAGGACTGCAAAGCCAAAAGAACAGCCCTCATCTCGAGCACATTGATGTGCTCCAAGAGCTGTTCCCCAGACCACTCCCCCGAGCGGCATTGGCAGTTGAAGTAAGCTCCCCATCGTGTCATAGACGCATCCGTGAACAGGGTCATAGAGTGGACAGGCTTGGTCAGAGGCACCCTGCGGAGAACGTTCTCCTGAATGGTACACCAGCAAGTAAACTCCCTGACCGACTCAGTCAAAGGAATCAGTTCACCAACACGAGGAACAGCTATGGATATAGTGAAAATAAGTACTAATGTAGAGTATGAAAGCTGCACTCTTGTATCCAAATCTTGGGTAATTGAATAATGTTGTAAATCATATAAAATGGTAATATTAATGGGGTGTTGCTTTAAAAGATAAGTACATATATAAATCCACAAAAACACTACAGTATTCTCCAAATATATTGTTGGTTACACTTTCAGACAACCTGACATCTAGCCATATGTAATGTTACTTCTGGGATCACCAGGCAATACGCAGATTTCCTTTCAACTAAAGTCCCATATAGTGTATAAGTATCACTGTTTTTTTCCTTTACCGCAATATTTTTACTCTGTAAAGGTTTTTTTTTTTGTTTTCAGTTGGAAATATGTAGTGTAAATGCTGTAAGCCAATGGAATGCTAATGTAATATACAGAACAGAATCTGTTAAATTTCATTAAAGTCCAGAGTGGCCAACTTGCTTCACTTCTACAAACCATACCCTCCCTAACCCAGTCAAATATTAATGTCCCGTGCATGGTTGGTTTTAAGAAGTTCCACCATATATATCTGTAGAATGGCATTACCTAACGAACTTACCATTATTATAGAGAGTCAGTCAGTGAATCACCCTGATAGACTCAGTATGACTTTATCTTTGCAGCATTGATAAACACATAACAAACCTACCTGCCCTTTCTCTGTAGGGCACTGGCCTTTGATATCCAATTACTTTTCAACATGGTGACAGACAATAAAGCATCAAATGTTTTCTGAAAAAAATATAACAGAAAAACAATGTGTAAACAATGACACTGTAGTCTATCATTATCCGACCACACTGGTATCCTCATATTACTTTCTGGTTTCCATCCATTGTAAAACCCACTTCCAATAATGTCAACAAAAATTAATACAAGATACTAATTTTAAATGTTCTGCAGCCTTAAACAAAATACTTTTCGTTAATCAATTTCTGCAAATTTGTAAGTTCATCAGCCAAGAGCCTTTTGGCTATTGAAAAGAAAGAATTTCAGTTCTTTTTACATTTGACCCATGTCAGTGGGTCAAGGTCATTCATTTGAACAATTATGAAGTTCTTCATCCAAACATGGTACAAAACCAATTTCAGTACTCTTGATATTTTAATTATTCAGAAGAAGTTGTTTAGAGGAAAATGTTGATGACAGACAGACATCAGACATCATGACTGGCACCATAAGCTCACTTTCCCTTCTGGAACTAATTAAGCCCTGCTCCTATCTAAGCTGGCTAAAAATAATCAAATGATGATGCTTATTTCAACTTCGAATGTCATTAGTCACAAGTACTTTCATGAGCATACATTTCAACAAGATCATAACTTGACATTCTTACCTCTTTGACTTTTCCAGAATCAATGACAAACACAACATCATCAATGGTGATACTTGTCTCTGCAATATTGGTAGCCAGTATCTGTACAAAAATTCAATGATCAATAGATGTGTGATGAATACTTTAGCATTCTGTGTTCAGTAGATGTGTCATAAACAGTTTCATATAAGAAATAGTTTGTTGATATTAGATTCCTAAATTGGATACACTTAACATAATGCAGTCGTGAGGAACAAGATATCCCAGAGGGATCCTGGCACCCACCAGTGTATGACCTTTATATCCCAGAGGGATCCTGGCACCCACCAGTGTATGACCTTTATATCCAAGAGGGATCCTGGCAACCACCATTGTATGACCTTCTTATCCCAGAGGGATCCTGGCACCCACCAGTGTATGACCTTCTTATCCCAGAGGGATCCTGGCACCCACCAGTGTATGACCTTTATATCCCAGAGGGATCCTGGCACCCACCAGTGTATGACCTTTATATCCCAGAGGGATCCTGGCACCCACCAGTGTATGACCTTTATATCCCAGAAGGATCCTGGCACCCACCAGTGTATGACCTTTATATCCCAGAGGGATCCTGGCACCCACCAGTGTATGACCTTTATATCCCAGAGGGATCCTGGCACCCACCAGTGTATGACCTTCTTATCCCAGAGGGATCCTGGCACCCACCAGTGTATGACCTTTATATCACAGAGGGATCCTGGCACCCACCAGTGTATCACCTTCTTATCCCAGAAGGATCCTGGCACCCACCAGTGTATGACCTTTATATCCCAGAAGGATGCCGGCACCCACCAGTATATGACCTTTATATCCCAGAAGGATCCTGGCACCCACCAGTATATGACCTTTATATCCCAGAAGGATCCTGGCACCCACCAGTGTATGACCTTTATATCCCTGAGGGATCCTGGCACCCACCAGTGTATGACCTTTATATCCCAGAGGGATCCCGGCACCCACCAGTGTATGACCTTTATATCCCAGAGGGATCCTGGCACCCACCAGTGTATGACATTCTTATCCCAGAAGGATCCTGGCACCCACCAGTGTATGACCTTTATATCCCAGAGGGATCCTGGCACCCACCAGTGTATGACCTTCTTATCCCAGAGGGATCCTGGCACCCACCAGTGTATGACCTTTATATCACAGAGGGATCCTGGCACCCACCAGTGTATGACCTTTATATCCCAGAGGGATCCTGGCACCCACCAGTGTATGACCTTCTTATCCCAGAAGGATCCCAGCACCCACCAGTGTATGACCTTTACATCCCAGCTAGATCCTAGAACCCACCAGTGTATGATATAGAGGTTCTATCTAGTTTGTTATTTCTGATTGTCCTCAAAAGCAAAAGGGCAAAACACTTGACAAAGAGAAACATACATGATATTTGAAAACAAAAAATTTCCAGTTTTTGTCCATAAACAGCTATAATAATCTTTCACTGTCAAAATCCAAGATGGCTGTCTATCAGCTATTCTCCAATCAGTCTGAAAATGGACAATGGACAAGGCCAAACTACATGCCTTATTTGAAAATAATACAAAGAGTACTTCTCACAATAGCAGCCAAAAAACCATAACTAAATCAAAGATCAGTCCCAAAACTGACATTGCACAACTAGGGGCTATGGGGTCATATATGCAAATTTTAAGAATGATCCCATCCATTTTCTAAAGAGGTAGAGGTATGAAGAATGGACCATGCATGATAGTCAATTTGAGCAACAGCCCACCATTTGATGATGGTGTACTAAATATTTACCAGTGAAATATTAAAAATGTTCAACCCTTGATTTTTGTAGCCTTGGACCTTTCACATCAGTAAAGCACATCTACATATTTCAGTGTATCATTATGTATAAAATTTCTGAAAGTTTGGTCTTCTGTATTCTGAGATAATCTCTGAAAATGGAAGTGATGATGGAAAGATGACAGTCAGATGAAAGACTTAAGAAAATTCACATCTTACGTAGTGCCCTAGAAAAAAAATCCTTAATGCAGCCAGGAAACATACACATGATGTTATACTGTAAATTAGGATATTTCAGGTGTGGATATGTTTTGACATGAAAACCTCAAAATTGAACAATATAATTTACAAAAGAAAAGTGTCAAAGTGGGCCTTTCTGGAGTTATTCAGAGATTAGCCTATTTTTTTAAGAAATCACTATTAAAAGAAAGTTTAGCAACATGAAATATCGAAACAGAATTTGCAGGTATTTTGGGGGTCAATATTGGGAGATTAAAAAATGCAAATTCTATGATATTTATTGTTATCAAAGCTCTTCCAACATTACATCAATTTAAAGCTTACAATTTTTCTTACTCCAGGAGGTGGAGTTTTAAACACCTTCCTTTGATCATTGGACTGCATTGCAGAATGAAGAGTAAATACCAAGTATCTAAAACATAAAGAAGTCATGGACAGATAAACATATACACTAAAACCCACTTGTGTCAAACATGCTTGAATCAAACACAACGAATAAGTTGAAAGTTTTGTTTGGTTTGGACTTTTTCTCCTCTTTATCTTAGTAAATTGAACACAGATGACATGAACATTGTTGAGCCAAATACTGTGTTTGTGTTGAATATATTTTGTGATCTATCTCTTCTGAATTCTACCAAATTTCCTTTTTGTGTCGAACTTGCAGGCATCACCATTTCTCAGGTAAAAATTCCCTGGCTTCGTTTTAAATGACTAAGTGTGATTAGTCAGCCATATCTGTGTGAGCAGGCCCTATTGTAAATTTTGATGTGTGCACAGGTAAAAGTTATAATCTATACAGAATTTTATGTGTATGACTGCTGGAAATCAAAAGGAAAAAAAGCGATAACTACTACACCAAGGCAGATTGATAAAAATATTAGTTTGTCAATGGCACATTTGTTTATGATTTTAAATATATTTACTAGATATACATGTATATATATACAGTGAAAGTATTATTTCATTCTAGTTTACAATTACACTCTCACGGTGCTGTATAATTGTGAAGTTATGCTTCATTGACACTGACATGGCCTTCACCTTTTCATAACCTGTCTCAGTGCTATCAATGCTATATCAACGTAGAATGTTCATGAATATGTATTTATTGAGTTTTATTTTCAAATAAAGTTGATGGGAAATGTTACTCTTGAGGATATAAACATAAATACAATATTTGTATTACTTTAGGTATCAATTTTGAGTTATGTGTATGAGAGCAGATGCCTATCCATATGTGTGCTGCAATCCAATTACAAGTGTTTCAAACTGCATTTTTTGTTTTATATTAAAATAATAACTGTTAACTTAAATAAATGATATCGCTAGTGTATGAAAATATCAAACACTTTTATTTATTTATTATTATTCATCACTGTGCTGCCATGCTATCAGACATGCTACAATGTCCGAAGAAACATGGCTAAGTCAAACCATCATTCAAGTTTAACATATCAATTGGTCCAGTCAACTTCAACCAAACCATATTTTACTGTGATGACATAACAGATTAACATGTACTGAGTGTGCGTCAGGAGGCAGATGTTATAACTGTTGACATGACAGGTAAACATACACTGAGTGTGTGTGTCAGGAGGTAGATGTTATAACTATTGACACAACAGATTAACATATACTGAGTGTGTGTCAGGAGGTAGATGTTATAACTATTGACATGACAGATTAACATATACTGAGTGTGTCAGGAGGTAGATGTTATAACTTTTGACATGACAGATTAACATATACTGAGTGTGTGTCAGGAGGTAGATGTTATACCTTTTGTCATGACAGATTAACATATACTGAGTGTGTGTCAGGAGGTAGATGTTATAACTGTTGACATGACAGATTAACATATACTGAGTGTGTGTCAGGAGGTAGATGTTATAACTTTTGACACGACAGATTAACATATACTGAGTGTGTCAGGAGATTTTTAAACTGGATTTATGAGTTATTGAAAAGAAGATGTTTAAAGACATGAACACATTTGACCCCTATGACCTTGTAAATAGTAAAAGTCATTGCACAGATATGGTAGCCCTACATCTCAGTATGAATCAGGCCTAATATCAAACTTGACTCCTTAGAAAGTATATATGGCACAGACCCAATATCATTACTCTGGCCCTTTCTAATAAGTAGTGGTTCTTAAAAAGATTCTAAAGCATTCTAGAACATAATTGGTAGCCCTTCATCCAAGCATGTTACATGCCAAATATCAGTACTTGTGGAGTCTTTTTGGTTAATTACAAGAAGTTGTTTAAATCAAAAGGTTGATATTGGACAGACAGATGTATGGACCATGTATAAGCTCAATTGCTCTTCAGAAATAGATTTCTTCTAAATAGGATTTTAATGAAGTCAGTGAAGCATGAAACAAACATGGTTAAATTTAGTATCTGTTATTTGTATTCTAGTTACATCACCAATCAACTCTGTGTCTTGTTGCTCTTATAGTTTCCCAGAAATGGATTGCAAAAATCTTCTGATGAATGGACTGAGCTCATTTCAATACCTTGTGCCAACTTTATTAGGATACTATGTATTGCATGCAGGAGATGGAATTATGTTTAACAAGGTCTGAAAGGCCAGATAACTGCAAAGAAGATTGAATTATTTTGAGCTCTAGTATGCCACAAAGGATAATCAGACCAAAATTAATGCAGGTATTTGTCCTCAAAATTAAAACTAAAACTGATCTCACTCACTTGTACTTGTGAAAGAAAGGGTCTTCAGCAATCAAATCTCTCAAACCAACAATATCATCATATCCAGGTAGGAAGACCAATATAGCACCTGCGGAAACAAGCATATCTGAACAGCTTTGATATCAAAAAAGATTGGTATTTCACTTAATTGTCTATGAGAATTAACTAATAAAGGTATATATACATCATGTTTTAATGAAGACCAACTCTTCTTCATATGCTTATCGTAAGTTGTAAAAACATACCTTCTGTGTAGTTTATCATGAACTGTGACAACATACCCTCAGTATAGTTTATCATGAACTGTGACAACATACCTTCTGTGTAGTTTATCATGAACTCTGACAACATACCTTCTGTGTAGTTTATCATGAACTCTGACAACATACCCTCTGTGTAGTTTATCATGAACTGTGACAACATACCCTCTGTGTAGTTTATCATGAACTCTGACAACATACCCTCTGTATAGTTTATTATGAACTCTGACAACATACCCTCTGTGTACTTTATCATGAACTGTGACAACATACCCTCTGTGTAGTTTATCATGAACTGTGACAACATACCCTCTGTGTAGTTTATCATGAACTGTGACAACATACCCTCTGTGTAGTTTATCATGAACTGTGACAACATACCTTCTGTGTAGTTTATCATCAACTGTGACAACATACCCTCTGTGTAGTTTATCATGAACTGTGACAACATACCCTCTGTGTAGTTTATCATGAACTGTGACAACATACCTTCTGTGTAGTTTATCATCAACTGTGACAACATACCTTCTGTGTAGTTTATCATGAACTGTGACAAAATACCCTCTGTATAGTTTATCATGAACTGTGACAACATATCCTCTGTATAGTTTATCATGAACTGTGACAACATACCCTCTGTGTAGTTTATCATGAACTGTGACAACATACCTTCTGTGTAGTTTATCATGAACTGTGACAACATACCCTCTGTATAGTTTATCATGAACTGTGACAACATACCCTCTGTATAGTTTATCATGAACTGTGACAACATATCCTCTGTATAGTTTATCATGAACTGTGACAACATACCCTCTGTGTAGTTTATCATGAACTGTGACAACATACCCTCTGTATAGTTTATCATGAACTGTGACAGCATACCCTCTGTATAGTTTATCATGAACTGTGACAACATACCCTCTGTATAGTTTATCATGAACTGTGACAACATATCCTCTGTATAGTTTATCATAAACTGTGACAACATACCTTCTGTATAGTTTATCATGAACTGTGACAACATACCCTCTGTATAGTTTATCATGAACTGTGACAGCATACCCTCTGTATAGTTTATCATGAACTGTGACAACATACCCTCTGTATAGTTTATCATGAACTGTGACAACATATCCTCTGTATAGTTTATCATAAACTGTGACAACATACCTTCTGTATAGTTTATCATGAACTGTGACAACATACCCTCTGTGTAGTTTATCATGAACTGTGACAACATACCCTCTGTATAGTTTATCATGAACTGTGACAACATATCCTCTGTATAGTTTATCATGAACTGTGACAACATATCCTCTGTATAGTTTATCATGAACTGTGACAACATACCTTCTGTGTAGTTTATCATGAGTTGGTAAATGAGGCTGAGGATGAGATGAATATCCACCTTCTCATCATCAAAACAGTTTTGGTAGAGGGACAGGAGGTCCTTCTCTTCCTCTGTCAACAACTGGTTATCTGTCACAGAATCCCCAGTAGGTCCAACATCGTCTGATAACCTGTAAAGAGTAGTCATTTTTAGATAAACTTTGAACTTTAAACTTTAAAGGGAAGCCTCTATATTTCACAAACGTAGATGTATAACATTTGCAGGGAAAGTGTTCAATATTTTGCAGTTATGTTTGAATCCATATTAGTTGATAATATGCTAATTTCCATTTGGACCTTTTTGTTAAGAATTGAACTAAATCAGTTTGAGTTTATTTATAGATTGTATTGTTTAATTTTTTTTTAAATAGAATATGCACATGTTTTATGTATTATTAACAAGGGCCTGCATTGCTCACCTGGCTGGTTCATATATTCACTTAAATAAATAAAGACAAAAATACCCCCAAATCCCCTATTTGCCTGTGTATCCTGAAGGAGAAGGGGAGGGTTAGCCAGGTAAGCTGGAATGATACTATACATTTGTAGTTTTAAAGACATATTAATATTTAGTATTTTCTCTGCGACAGAAGTTTTATATTCATTGCCAAAATCTAACCCTCTTGAATATTCAGAATGCTGATGTTGGAATGATGTCACACATCCCAAGAATATCTGTAATATTCTGACTTACATCAAAGCCTCCAACATTTCTAGAATGTCTACTCTCTGGAAGTGCTTGGCCCAGTCAATGGCTGTCCAACCATTAGGTGTATGGAGATTCACATTAGCTCCTAGGTTCAGCAGCTGTTCTACTTCATCAGTCATGCCTCTGGCAGTGGTCACCATCAAAGGTGTCACACCAGTCTCAGAATGCTGGTAGTCCACTGAAAGTTAATCAACACTGACAGTATGCGGCAACAGTCTATCCATCTATAGATCTGGGGAAATACATGTACATGTCTAGCCCTCAGGTGAGGGATGAGTGACTTGGTGGTAGGGACTGGCCAAACAGCAATGCGATGTTTCTTTGCACCTAAGTTGACCCATATCTTGCACGGACATATGCATGTCTTAATATTTAATAATGGTTAGTGATATAATGCAGCATCGTGTGAAGATTGGGTTATATTACTGTAAATCCTGGAGACACAATGGGAAATCTTTCATTACATTACTGGATTTGTACTTTTATAATTTTTTTATCAATCATGGCATAATTGCTTTTCCTGTTTTCTTGTATGTAACTTTGTTTTTAGAAATCAACATTCCCAAGAATTTTATTTCAGATAAAGGACAACAGAAAAATAACTCAGTTCACCCTGATAATTTTCCGCATATATTGCTATATGTAGCCCTCTTAATTTTTCTCCTGCTTGTTATAGCGAATGATATTGAGTTGAATCCTGGCCCAACTTCTACTGATCACAACACTACGCCACACTCTGTGAAAGGACTTAAACTAGGCCACTTAAATGTACGTAGTATCCATAACAAAGTAGATCAGTTGTCTGTAGAACTTAGTGATTTTGATGTTATTTATATTAGTGAAAGTTGGTTGGACAACACATACAATAATAGTTTACTACATATTGAAGGCTTCCAGCCGCCTATTAGGATAGATAGAAATCGTCATGGTGGTGGTGTTATAGTATATGTTAAAAACAATATACCTCATGCAGTAAGGAATGATCTCTATATTAATAGTCTAGAAGCTTTATGGATTGAAATAAAACATCATAACGAATCTTTACATTCATCCAAGATTCACTGACTGGAATTTGGTTGAAATTTCTATAGAACAAGCTCTACATTCTAATAGTAATTTTATAATGTTAGGAGACCTGAATGAAAATATGTTCATTCCAAACAGGTCAAGAAATGTGAATAATATTCTGAACATCTTCAACTTACTCCAACTCATACAGGAACCCACCTGTATCACAGACAACACCCATTCCTTAATTGATGTAATAATTGTAAGTAACCATATACAAGTTTCTTACTCTGGTGTTCTTGATCCTATATGTAGTGATCATTGCCCTGTTTATGCCACAGTTGTCAAATTCGATTATCCTTGCCATACTCATAAACGTAGGATTTGGAAGTATGACGAAGGTAATTTTGATTCTTACAGACAGTTAATCTCTGAGAGTGATTGGGACATGGCTGGTTTAAACCTCGATGAATAAGTAGAAAAGTTTACTAACAATATACTACAAGCTGCAAGTACCTGTATACCCAATAAAGTTGTAACCATGCATTCTAAAGATAAACCATGGATGCACAATGAGATTCGGAAGGAAATTAGGGTTAGAAATCGTATACATAGGCTAGCTAAGAATACTAATAGGGCAATACATTGGGCAAATTTTCAAAGAAAACGAAATGAAGTTACTACTATCTTATATATAACCAAACTTGGTAATAAATTACAAGAGGGGAACTTAACACCCCGATGTTGGTGGAAGATTGCTAAACAGTTTTTTAAACAAACTCTAGACTGCCAGTATCCCCCAATATGTCATGACAATGTTACACATTGCTCACCTAGTGAAAAGGCTAATGCCTTTAATAGTTTTTTCAGTGAACAAACTTTTGTTGACAAAGATAATGTAACACTTCCTTGTGAAACAGTACCACCATATTCTTTACAAAATTTATATATCTCACCTAGAGATGTAGAAGAGTAATCAATACAAATAAAGCTTGCGGTCCAGATTTGGTTAGTCCAAAGTCACTTAAAGAAGCAAGTCATGAGTTATCAATACCATTGTCTTGTTTGTTTAATGCATCACTGTCTAAGAAAAAATTTCCGTCAGCCTGGAAGATTGCTAATGTGATTCCAGTTTATAAAAAGGGAGATAAATCACCTGTTTCAAATTATCAACCTATTTCACTCATTAGTTGTATTGGGAAAGTATTTGAAAAGTGTGTTTTCAAACATATGTATAATTTTCTAAATTCAAAAGAATGTATTACTTCTTACCAGTCTGGTTTTACTCCGAATGACTCGTCTGTTTTTCAATTAACTGATATAATAAATGCTTTTTACCAGGCTGTTGATAGTGGAAAAGAGGTTCGTGTTGTATTCTGTGACATAAGTAAAGCCTTTGACAGAGTGTGGCACAAGGGTTTGTTGTTTAAGCTAAAACAAAATGGAATATCTGGTAATTTTTTAGAATGGGTTGGGAGCTACCTCCAGGATCGAAGCCAGCAGGTAATTATTGAAGGAAGTTCTTCAGCTACTAAGGAGCTACATGCTGGGGTTCCACATGGCTTAATATTAGGTCCACTTCTTTTTATTGTTTTTATAAATGACATAATAAATGATATTGATGCTCATATTCGGCTTTTTGCAGATGATACATCACTTTTCATGATAGTTGAAAATCCTGAGAGTGCAGGGACTATTTTAAATTCTGACCTAAACAAAATTAGTACCTGGGCCAAGCAGTGGTTAGTTAATTTCAACCCCAACAAAACTGAAAGTATGGTCCTTACCAAAAAGAGAACTGCTATAGCTCACCCTCCCTTATTTATGAATAATACCCAAATACAAGAAGTCCAGCAACATACACATGTAGGTGTAACTATAGATGGAAATTGTTATTGGCATGCCCACATTACTAATATCCTTGCTAAGGCATGGAAAAGGCTAGATATTCTTAGAGGGTTAAGGTTTAAGTTAGATGGGAAATCTCTAGAAATTATGTATTTTTGTTATATACGTCGTATCTTGGAATATGCTGATATAATCTGGGGTAACTGTACCCAACAAGATTGCCAAGAACTTGAGAAACTTCATACTGAAGCTGGCAGAATCGTGACTGGAGCAACCAAATCTGCTTCATCCAATTCCATTATGCTTGAAACAGGATGGGAAACTTTGGCACATAGGCGTTACAAACATAGAATGTTAACTTCATACAAAATATTTCATGGTGCTGCACCATTATACTTACAAAATTTGTTTCCTCCTATTATAGGGAATGCCCAAAATTATAATTTAAGGACCAATTCAAATATGCATCCGCCAGCAAGTAGGACAAATATCTATATGAACTCTTTTTTACCTACTGCTATCAGGGAATGGAATGGCATACCAAATAACATAAGAAACTCTCCAACTTTGAACACTTTCAAAAAACACCTAGATACACAAATTATTAAACCTCTATACTACTTTGTTGGTGAACGCTGGGCTCAGGTAATGCACACTCGTCTTCGTCTTGAATGTAGCTCTCTCAATTATCATCTATATAATAATCATGTTTCAGATACAGATCTGTGTGTATGTGGGCAGGTTGAAACTCCTTATCATTATCTGATGCAGTGTGTACGCTATAATCGAGCTAGAGAAAATACCCTAGATACATTAAATTTCAATTTATCACTAGAATTACTCATTCATGGTGACCCAAACCTGTCTCAAGATGATAATATCATTATATTTGAAAAGGTGCAAAGGTACATCGTAGAGTCGGGTAGTTTCTAGGTGCCAGATGGAGTTTCTTTGTGCTCTCTTTACCTCTTCCTTTCTCCTATCTTATCAACTTATGTTATCTCTTTATGGTTTACATATTAACGGTCAGTGTTCATCAGTGAATGTTAAGTCAAAAAAAAAAAAAAAAAAAATCTCTTTCAATGTGTTTAATGCAAATTGTACTATTGTAACTATTTTATATTGGAGATGGCTTAATATAAGATTTATAATCTTGTTGCCAGTTCCATTTTCAATTTTATAATTTGTATATGTGTATGTTGTAAATGAAAATCTGAAAATAAAATATTGTTTAAACCAAACAGCAATGAATTTCAAATGAATTTGTGATTAATGAAACATTCACAAAAAGCTCATCACCTAAATGTAGTATAAAATCCATTCTTGTTCCATATCTAGTATACAACATCTTCAGTTACCAACATTTATTGTAATTATCAAGTAATAAGTAATGTTCCATAAACTACTGTGGGTAACTGACCATGAGTCTATAAATAGTCATATAGTTAGCAATTACCCCCAGAACTGACACATACCACTATTTTCATTAACAAACAGCCAGAATGTAAACTGGTTACAAATAATTTCTCTGCCTCTTGTCATGCAGACAACAACTTAAAATTGTTGGGTTGAGTGTTATTTTGTAAATTACTACATACTGCGAAAACAACAGTAAGACTAGTCCTTATGCATTCACATTACAATTATCTACAGATCAACTAGCTAATTCACATCACTTGTCATCGATGAGAGGGGGGGGGGGGGTCGTTCCATGACATCATTACAATTATCTACACATCAAACAGGTAATTCACATCACTTGTCATCACTGAAAGGGCAGTCATCCCACAGCATCATTACAATTATCTACAGATCAGTTTTGGCCTACCTCTCAGGCCTCAGGGGTTGGGGACCATATAATTCACAATTTTGGTGCCTCTCAAGCCATGGAAAATTTTTGTAAAATTATGGTAAAATGGGTTTTGAAGTTTTCCAGAAAAAGTAGAAAATGTTAAAAGTTTACAATGCATGACGCCAGACAAAAGGGGATTACAATAGATCACTTTGAGACTTTGTCTAAACAAGAGGCCTAGTGGCCTTGATGTTCACCTGAGATAAGTAATACTGAATATAAAGGTTAAGGGATAGTTATCAAGTGTCATGAAACAGAAATTATGACACTGAATATAGTAAGCCAGTGCAGAGTCATTTTCATAATTAAAGCACTTTAAGATGCTTCCACTCATAAAGAGCATTTGATCCTACCATATCTGGGTCTTGAGAAGAAGAGCTTTTAAATTTAAGTCAATTTGATCCCTTTTGGCCCTGCCCATCAGCCCCTGGGGGTCAGTCAGGATCAAAATGGGCATACCATCAAGCCGTCATCCTTCACTCATAATTCTAGCCAAGTCTGAAATATTTCCAATGGAAATTATGCTCAAAAATCTAGTTTTCCTATATACATAATAGCAAACTTTACCCCCTCCCCACAGGTAAATGTGAGACCCTGGGGGCCATGAAATTCACAATTTTGGTAAAGCACCTTAAGATGCTTCCTTTCTTACCTAAAAAGGACAGATGGACGGACTAACTGACGGATAGACAGACAAGCTGATTACTATAGGGTACCAAGATCTCGATGCGGGGTGCTAATGATCTAAAGATCAACAAGTTTATCCTCATCAATTGTCATCACTGCAGGGTTTAAGAACCAAATCATGACTGTACAGTATATAAAGTTAAGAACTTCCCAATTTTTTGTAATATGTACTTACCACTGACATTTTCACTCATAATGAGATGAACCATCTGGGTGAATTTCTCTTCACTTCCCATCAAGAAGATATCAGTTAAGAACTGATCCATGTCTTTGATGATCCAGTCCTGGAGTTCTTCTTTATCTTCACTAGTGCTCTGTAAGAGAAGTACTTTAACGTGAGTACTCTCTGTTTTATCAGAATGAGAAGTGGGTTTTTTTCCCATTTATCTTCATGATCACTATTGTTTGGTTAAAATCAGTATTTCAGCATTAGACTAATTTGTTTTACTTTCAGGGCAGGTCAAAATGATTATTTTGTACATAAATAAAGAATAGACAGACCCACACACATTTGTTGTTCCATCATACACAAGGAAAGTTCTATGATAATGTTACGGTTATACTATGGAAATGCTAATCAAAGGGTGATAAGATGATGCAAATAGTACAGTGTTTTGAAACAATTGTAACAAGGCAATGCACACGATAAATTTGAATGACATGGTAAAAGTAAATGGAAACCTATATCTGTTCACAAACATCACCTCTTGCAAGTGTTGGCATTTGTATGGTTACTAAAAATCAGTAAACTTGTGTACCATTTATTTAAATGCTGCAAATAGCAATGTGGTCTGTGTAAAACTGGAAGATGGAGCCCGATTTGATGACAAGAATGTCACTGGTGTAGATAAGGTCTAATAAACTACCAAAATAATGGATAGGTAACTTGATATGCTACATATAGATGACAAGGCATTTGGTGCTTTATAAATGTCACAACTTAAGTCTTTTGGTAGTAAAATTGCAGCTTGTAGAGTGGTGACATCCAAATTTCAGCCCATTTCTATTCATAGTAAATTTGACCTAACTTTTTCACTACAGAAGATTAATATACAAAAAGCAATTTTTGTGAACAGATGTGTGAAGTATAAATCAGAGAAGCAATGGAGCCTTTAGAGAAATGACTTCGTATTTTACCACACAAGTTTGGACGTCAAACTCGTACCAAAAGTGATGTTGTGATCATGCAAGTTTCGTGACATTTGGATGAGAAATGCAGCTTGTAAATTTCTAGTACCAGCAACCTATTGTTTTTGTCAAATTTGTACAAGAAGCAATGTCTTTGATCATGTGTGTGGAGTTTTGTACCAATCAGTTCTTAAATGCAGTCTGTAGAGCGGTGACATGAAAATTTCTGTTGATTTCTATTCAAAGTAACATTTTTTGACCAAACAAGGTTGGAAGGTTGAACAGTACAAGGGCTAAGGTTTTTGATCATGTGTGTGGAGTTTCTTGACATTTTGATGAGAAATGCAGCTTTTAGATCCGTGACGTCTTTTTACATACGAATGAAGGGGGGATATTCCTTGTCACGAAGGTATAACAAAAGTACAAAAATCATTATTCATTAATCAAGTTTTTATAGAAAGGAATGTGTTTTAATTTCATGCTATTTGAGTAGTTTTTTTTTTAATCTTCATTAATCATGATTTGATAACTTAGTTTACAAATCAGTCTGTTCTATTCATAAAATACAAATTTAACTGATTCATGGTTTGAGTGTTTTTTACCTGTAAGAGGTACCAACCGTAAATTTGCGGGTATAGTGTGCACTCGGGTATAGTGCGCAGGTACTTTTTTGGGGTCAGATTAAAAAAAAAATTCTACAGAAAGATTAATTGATTACTGGTTATCGCGATGAAACAGCTGTGGTTTGATCCATTGATAATTAGGAAACCACAATCATCGTGACCCTAACATATTTAATTACCTTATATAAACAAATTCACACAGGTGCCTGACTTAACAAGCATGAAAGGCTTGGCTAATTGGATAATTAACAGTCCTTGACAGGTAACAAACACGTTGAGTATGAGGAGATTGATGACACCTGGCTTCGACTGAACGCGTACTATTGCTCAGAAAACGATATTGTTTTAACTGTCTGAAAAGACTACGCTGAGAGACTACTAGTTTTGTGCCGCCGGTCGCCACTTCGACATTCCAGAGTGACATATCAAGGCACGGAAGAAAGAAAAGACTAAAGTCCCAACCACTGACCAGGAGGGCTGATATAGGTGCGACAGCGAAACACCCAGAGATGGAGAGAGAGCTGTTCAACTTTGTATGCAATTGCCGAGATCCCGGCATCGCTGCCAGTACAACAAAACTGCGCGTGGGGGCCATGCAAATCAAGAGAGGTCATGGGGTCACCAACTTTGGGACCGGTGGGATGGGCTGTCCGATTTATGACCAGAACGACAATTGCCCAAAAACTTCCGGACTCATTGAATTCCACAGATACATCATCAAAATGAGGCAGATATTCAGACATTACTATAGCCCCGACCAATAGTAAGACTGTCACTATTCGAACGACGGGAAACGAAAAAAAATTAGATTCACCGTAACGTTAGCATGAATGGCCGATGATTAAAACATTCGAAAGTTATTTTATTTTATTTTTCGTTGTTTTTATCTTCAAACTATCATATAAGACCGACGACTTTTACATGTAACTATGTGAACAGAGGTAATCCAATATGGCGGACGCAGAACTCGGGAATGATAACCCCAAGAATGGCATGTTCCTGCGTATCATGCGCACCCTCTTTTTGACAAGACAGTTTTAGCTTGAAAAAGTGCGCACTATATGCGAAAATTTACGGTATTACAGTTTCAGGTCAATCTGCACAAAAGTCATAATTCTTTCGGGTATGTCTACAGTACACCAACCTGACAAACATGGTCGCTTATTCATCTCTGATGACTTAAACCATTCATCTCTAACCAATAGTCATCAGGGTAATGTTATCAAGTTGATGTTATAACTATTCTATAGAGTGTCAATTTCATTCACATCAATATATCTCAATCTGTAGACTTATCAAACTATCAAAAGAGGAAGAATTCAACAAATATTTTGTTTCATATAAAGTGTGATCCAAACATTTTACTAAGACTTTTTGAGTGGAAACCTTTGGATGCAAGCGTTAAGGAAACACTACTGAAATGGTATTGTGAAACTAGGGAAATGGTTCAGAAATACTATAAATGATACTGTCATACAAAGGCTACTCAGAAATACTAAGCTTAATTGGAACTGCAAATGCGTACAGGTCTGTATCTAACATTTCATGAAAATCAGTCTACATGAGAGTGGACTAGACACTCCTGTGAAAATTACTGTAAACCATTTCTATTTTCAATGGGATTTATTTTTAACTTAATATGCCAGCAGGCTAAATCGCAAATTCAAATCCTTTGCGATTATTTGTACACAAATGAGTTCAGTTCCCACTACTGAAGTCATTCCTGAAGTAATTTCCACGTCAGCATTTGCGAAATCATGTATTCGTGAATATGTCTGAAGAGGGAAGTTCTCATAATCAACTATCATAGTGATTTACAGTAAGCTACGACAGTATCTGCATCATAACAAAAATGTACACTTAAAAGGCAAGACGCCAAGGACTTAAGTGTTACCCAAGTTCAATACAGACTGACACATAAAGAAAGATTTAACATACTCACATTAAGTGCCGTGTTGGAATGCGCCTCCTCCTCTGAATTTCCAATATTCATCTTTGCACACCACTCTTCCAACTGTTCTACCTGTTTTTTCACTATCAAAATGAATATTTTCTGAATGAAATTTCTTGCTCTGTAGGATGAAGTTTTCACACTTTCATTACAAAAAGAAATTAATCTAAAGCTGGAGAACATTTTTAGTATTTGTATGCATGCATTCATCAAAATTATTTATTTCAATAATCAACATATCTCACTTTAAGTGTAATGTCATGAAAACCCCCAACACTTATAGTAATTTTCAAGAGCTTCTTTTCACCAGGAAAACTGCAATTATCATGACGAATAAAAAACAAGATAATGAATACTCATATTGGGTTTGTTGTGACTTCAGATTACCTGGTATTCAGGATAAATTTTATCACTTAGAAAATTACTAAGTGATATAGATGTTCTTCACAACATACGTATGACAATGAGGACACAGATGAATTTATTTAATTTCTTCTCACTCTTGTTCCTCATATTTACCATTTCTCTTCTCTCTTTTTGCTTTTTCCATGGCTTGGTTGCTGTAATTTGTCCTTTGAAAATAACACAACCAGACAAACTGATTATTCATTCTTAGTTTAATTATACACTACTCTAATGTATATCATTGGACAAAAATGAGACACTACTGCAGGAGTCTGGCAGTCTAAAAATCCTCTGATATAAGTAAGTAAGCCATGTAGGCTAAAGTTATCACTTTGACCTTAATATTTATCAAAACGATAGTGTAGCAGGACAATAAATGTAATGATAGCTCATCATACCATATATCGGAATGCATGTGCATGTAGATGTATTACTCATGCGTTTACAATGAAAAGAAAGAAAAAAACATGCAAATTTTGCATTTAGATTTTTGGCAATTTTCAAAGGATTGCTCAATTTGCAAAAATGAGATATACACAGGTATTAACCGGTGTGCCTTTGATGGGTCCAAATTACTTCCCATTTTACTTGGTCTCTACTGGCCTCTACCCCAGTATGAAGGCCATCCATTGAAAATGATAGCTTGTCCACAAACGTATCATATAAGTTGATAAATAATATAAATATCTCATTAGATTAAACTTGTTGGATCAATCTGCGTTCAATTTTCAATGAATAAGGCTACCTGAGTTTCCGCCAGTTAATCTGGTTCCCTCCCTCAGTAAAACTCCTTGCATGCTTCCATCTTTGTACAGAAGATTGACAGATATAAACTAACAGCTTTGTTTCACAACTTATATAAACTTTTAAAGTTTATATCAATCGTCCAATCAGATTCTGAACTTACCACTTTAATACATCTTCCAAGAAATATTCTTTGACAGTGAAAAGAGTGCCAGGGACTGCATATGAGATGAAAATGAAGTTAAAACATGGGGAATGTGACTTTGTGAAAATATATCACTTCTAATTTATTCTCATTACTCCAGGGGCTACAAACACACTATCACTCTCTGCACCCCTTGACCATTTCATGGCAAAATTAAAGTTTACATGAGGGACACCTTGTTGGTAGACAAGCTTGATCATTTGATGTACATCAAACAAACCTTGAGGTTGCATAAAATTATGTTGTATGGCTTTGAAGTTGGGTGTCACTCCTAGTCTTCAAAGGAAGGTATCAGTCTATGATTGGTCGGGTTTGTTTCTCCTGAAACCTGCTCTAGACCAGTCATAGTACTTAGCTTGTGACCTTAGCGTCTATTCCAGAGGTGCAAAGAACAAAGAGATCATCACCCCTGGAGTATTGTTGAAAATGCTTCTAATCACATGTAATACTTTTACTTCATGGAACTATATATTAAGTAAAACGAATCTGCAACTTAATGACATAATACGATAAATAAATGATTTTCCAACTGAGAGAAATACATGAACCAGGGTTGTCAATCTATAGAGATGCCATGCAGTAGAGATATAGTGAACAGCATTTCACTGACATAGCTGTTAGAATGCTATTTTATTTGTTATCATTCCAAGCGATTTATAGTCAGTGAAACCCTGATCAAAATAGTGGTCAGTACAAACACTGGTAGTTATATGAGGTAAGATAGAGTTCCTCTCCTACAGTTAATGTAAGTAAATCACTGACAGCCATTATCTGTTTCTGTTTCTCTATTGTCCTCTAATCATTAATACAAGCTCATTATTACCTGACCATATCAAATAGATTTCCAGAGTGTAAAGCCAGGCTTATTCACCTGGATCAATGGATGGACCCACTTCATGTATCATATGAGATGGTAAATGGAGAATATTTTGGTACATACATTACACAATATTTAATCAGAATTAGATCTAGGAGAAAAGGTGTCTTCACATACAAAGACCTTCAATCACTCCCTCCATACATATGAGAGTTGGAAACCATGGAAATACAGAAAATAAGAAACAAGAGATCGCAGAACAACCTTAGCATCAAGTAATTTTCTTCAATTGACAAGTCAAGTGAATTGTACTGTAACATTGTTCCACAAAGAGCAAGAACATGTTTTTTTTTCTAAATGAGCCTCAAAGCATAGTCATATATAAAGGGGCTTATCCGTCCATTGCATCTTAGAACCAAGTAGAAATGTTTCCTTCAAATATCAAAGTCTAAGGCGGCAAAACGTTGATGATTCTACTTTTCCAATCAGTCTAAATATTGCAAAATCATAACAAGAGGACCATGGCCCTTAACAGTCATCTGATAATCAATGCATTGATGGACAAACCACAGAACTGCTGACAATAGTCTGACAGATCTGATGAACTCCTACGATGATATGTCAGAACACATTTGACCTAAATCCATTCAAGCACTAAGGAAGAGTAGCATTTTGAAGCAAATTATTGTCTAACAACCCTTTCGGGGCCCCATCGCAGGTCCCTTGAGGTAAAGTCAAATTTCTGAATTTAAGAAATGATCCTCGATCCCCAACGACGTTTCAGACCAAATTTGGTTGAAATGCGCCACAATAGCAATATAAAAAGCAATGTTTAAACATTTCTACCAAATTTGGGAAAGATCTTGCCTACAGGATAAGATAAATAACAATACACTTACTATGGACGACAGGACAGTTATTGAAAAATTGAACAAAAAGTTGTGTATTCAGTGCTGCACTCATTAAAATGACTTTGAGGTTAGGGTGTTTTGTCATCAGGTCATCCATGGAAGCCAGTAAAAAGTCACTAAACCGGTCTCTTTCATGAACTTCATCCTGCAAACAATGGGTGATTAGATTTGTTGTATATAAGTCACTGTTCATACATTACATGAAAAGCAATTTATAAACCACCAGTATATTATCTAAAGTTCACTGCTGCCTGTAACATGGCATTTCTGTAATACAGGGAGTTCTGTACAGTATTTGTTATATCTGAGATGCCGCACTTCCCTCATTAAGTTACACTACCAATCATCCTCTTACACATGTTTTCCATGTTAGCCGGTGGAGGGCACTAGCATGGAGTGATTTTTAAAAAATTGTACAAAAAAGTAAACAGGCAACTAGCACATTTTTCGTTTGCCATTTCTATCAATGTTGATTTTACAACTTTTCTTCGTTCTTACCACAATCACATGTGTAACACCAGCGAACGATGCATCCCCATTCATTAAAGTACGAAGAAGAACTCCATTTGTGCAAAATGTAAGTAAAGTTTTTGGAGACACCCTGCAAAAAAAAAGTACTTTCATTATTAGGAAAACAGGTCAATGTACACTTTTTCATTTTTATAACAGAAAGAAATGCATCTGGCATGAAAGCATAAGCTAGTGGGTGTCGCCCACCAGCTAAAAACTTTAAAAAAGTCAAGCATTTCAACATCTCTATGTTACTGAACCAGAAAATCTGGACGACATTTTGTCATTAATTGATGTATCCTCACAGTTCAGTTTGAATGGCAGCATTGCAAAGGCTATGGTTGGTTTTTTTAAGAGGTTGGCTTCAAAATTCATAATTATAAAGAAATTTTGTGAATTGTGTACAGCTCTGGTAGCAATATACAGTTTTTCGGTGTGGCCATGGGTGATATCTTTGTTCACTACATTACCCCATTATAAAGGTTTTAATTCAAATTCTCCAAAAATAAATCCTTGCTGAAATTGGTCTTCTCATGTTGAAGTGGACATTGCTTGATTTCATACTTTCTAGATCAATATTTTTTAATTGTGTTGGAGATTACTATTTGGGTAGTCTTGAATCTGTGTCAACATACCAAGAACTAGCTTTTAAGGGAAGTGAAATTTTCAGTGTTCACATGTGGTCATGTTATGAAGGATTTGCTAGTTGAAATTTGCTGAAATGTAAGTACTTTGTTACTACGACAGTGTTGTTGATTTTAAGACAGGTGTAGTTGTAGCGATAGTTTGGAATTAGTAGTACTTTTTGCATTTTTAGCATTTTTTTCAGTTAGTGACCATGGCAATTACATGTCAGAAATCACAGGAAATTCTTTATTTATATTAATTTTATCTCTCTGGTATTAATGTAATTGTTCTGTAGTTAATAAATATATATGCATGTAAGAATGTATTTTTCATAACCAAACTGCTATACCGGTATATCTCAAACATGACCAATAATTTCAGAAAAAATGCAGATTAACTTTTCACTGCTACCTGTGTCTAAATATCCTAAGAAACATTGTGTAAAAACACTATTATGATATGACATGTCTTAATATCATGCACATCATTGTTTGGTAGTGAAAAACCTTACGCCAAATCTGTCTGAAAATAAATTATTGAAAGATTTTCCCCTTATTTTCCAGAAATATAGGCTTTATGATAAAAAGTATCTTATGCTTGTGTCAATACACTACGCATTTTATTAAACAAGTTTAACAATTTGATTTCATGTACTATTTGGGCCAAGTGAGCTAAAAATGAATCATGAGTAAATATGTTGAAAGACTTTAATAAATCATTTCATCTATTGACTGTTGTATATTTGTTTCAGTGTATCATAGGTATGCATGTATACTGGTTGGGGATCCATTATTGTGAAAGACATAGTGTTTATGACAATTTTAAATTCATAGATTTAGCATCAGATTTTTTTTGTAATTAACTAACCCTTACCTTAGAGAAATTAATTTTAAAAGTGTTTTTGTAAACAAATAAGTGGTTTGTGGAAAATGCAGAAAACATCCTGCCCAGAATATCTATCCATTATCTTGATTTTTGTTCAATACAATAGGTCTAGCAGTCATCTGAGAAATAATGTATATAAAGATTATAGGGTAAGCAGGTTTCGTGAAAAAAGAATTGTAATATTGATGATAGTAAGACTGATAAAATTTAAGTAATGATATGAAACATGAGGACACACAGTTTTGGTAAAGCATCTTAAGACCTTTCCATCCATACTTTGGTGGTCAGAAGAGGTTTCTTGAAATCAGAGTCAATATGACCCAATTTGCCTCATCCTTCAGGCTGTTGAGGTCATCAAGAATCGATTTGGGCATACTATGGAACTATCCTCCTATACTATTATATACATCTAACCAAGATTGAAATATTTCCAATAGAAATAAAACAAATTATGTGTGATCTGTACTTTTCCTACGTAAACTATAGTAAAATGAACTCCCTCCCCAGTGTCAGGAAATTCTCAAATTTGGTAAAGCACCTTAAAACCCTTTGATCCATGAAGGGTAATTGATTCTAACACATCTGGGTGTTAAGATGCATTAACCCATTATGGTCCTGCTCCTTAGACCCCTGGGGTTGTGGACCACATAAACTATATTAATTTCATCACAGTCCACCTAAAGATACAGAAAATAGTTCTTATCAATATTTTTCAACAAAATAGCATGTACATCTTGATAATGGACCCCTGACCAATTCAACCAGCATAAGAAAAATATATTACTTGCTCTCCAATCGTATTTGATAACCAACTGTCTGACCAATTTTCTCTCCTCTCTCTAAAGCCACCCTTTCAGCAATGCTGAGGGCAGCAATCCTTCTCGGCTGTGTACAGAATATTCTACAAGGTGTCTTATTTTCGCAGCATGTATCCAGTATCATCTGTGGAACCTACAAATACAGACAAAAGATCCCAGAGGGATCTTGGCACCCACCATTGTTTGATCTTTATTTGCTCTTTGAAAGTTGGATCTTTTCCCTTCTTTTCTCCTCTGGTTTTGCTCTTAATGAAAAGACATTTGAACATTCCTTTGCAGAAATTGTAATGAAAATCTTTACCTGCCAAATCCAAAATCGTTGACTGGAAGCCGTTGTGTTTCCTCTGATCAGTCCCACAATCAAATGGGCACAAGGACAGATCAAAGGAAACATACCTATAAAATTTGAGAGATATCCATAAGGTAATTCTGAAGAAATTGGGATAACAATATTTGCTAGACGAAATCCAAGATGGCTGTCTGTCGTTCATTTTGTTTTTCTGATAAGTCCCAAACTCAAACAGACAAAACTAGGGACCAAAAGGAACCTGTACATGAAATTTGAGAAAGACCTATACTGTGCTTCTTCAGAAATAGTGATAAGAAAAATTGTTTATGGACGGACAGACGACAGACGACAGACAACAGACGCAGGGCGATTTGAATAGCTCACCATCTGATGATGGTGGGCTAAAAACCAAAGAGCATTTAAGCCTTACTAAACATTCTCTTCATTTTAAAATCTAAAGAACCAATTAGATTTCCAACCTGCCTTTTTCTCATCATATTTATATAATGTACATTTGCATGTATGTAAATCTTTGAAACTTTAATTGCTTTGCATTGTTGATGAGATGTCATAGCTAAGACAGGAACCACTGAAGTGAAATGAACCTGTTAAAAGTAAAAAAATTCTATGTCCTTCATAGCGGAATAAAATCTTATTTGTATTAGAGACTGACAATTGACACCTGTGACTTTGAAAAGTGGGTCAAGACCACTCAAGGCCAATACCTTGGGCCAAAGTCCATCTTCAACAAAAATATCAGGTAGTCATTCAACCTAACATGCTACAAGCCAAAATTAGAGCCTTGGCCTTTTGGTTTTTTAAAAGATGATTGAAGATTTGAATACAGATTTGATCTGTATGACCTTGAAAGTGGGACAAGGCCATTCATTTGAACAAACTTGGCACCCTTCAACAAAGTATGCCCTTTCTTTGAACTCAGCAAACTGGGAATTTATGGATATTGAGAAGAAGCATGAGCTTATCTGTGATGGTTCAGGCAGGTGGACTAAAAATAAACTTGATCTTAAAAATTCTGATTCATCTATATCAAATAATGAAGGATTGTTCGTGGACGAACTACACATAGTGATGAGATTAAAAGTATGTACCTGTGTAGTCTTTCCTGATCCAGTCTCACCAGACACCAAAATAATGCGGTTACTATTGAGGGCATCAAGAATCTTCTGTTTGTGCTTGAAGACAGGCAATCCTTCCCGGAACGATTTCAGATCGGAGTCACAATGGGCAGGGGGCACTTGTGCAACTCCATTATTGAGTTTGCCAATAGTTGTTTTGTTCAGTTCTTTACAAACTAAAAATATCCAAGTAAATAGCTGATAAAGATTCTCCAGGCCAGTCAGCATTGGAATAAAAGAATTGGCATAGGGAATGTTTTACTATCAGAAGAATTAATGAAACACTCTTCCTGAAAACTGGAAAAAAAATTCCATCCTTAATTTACACATGACAACTTTTCCCTGTAATTGTAAACCATCTCATTGAGAATACCTTGTGTTTTTTAAAACCCATATCAGATGAAGATGTTATAACATGTTTCTAAATAACCTTTGTAATACAAATGCTTATTCTTTTGCCAATGAAATATAATGAAAGAAACTTTTCCTTCCTTGTATCCTTCAGATAAAACCAATGAATAATACCATCGTTTGGTTGGTTCCTATCAACTCTTGGTTTCAACTCCTGACGTTCTTTACTGGAGACTGGATATCTTTGCAAAAGATTCAGAATTTGCTGACGACTGTTTCTTGCTAAGTAGAAAGAGGCTGATGACTGGGAAGACAAACATCCTTCTTTTTTAGTAACAGTAAGAAACCGTCCGCTTCCCTTCCTAGAAGCAATAAAAACAATTTCTTATAACCTTTTAACTGCACCCCATTTCAAAACAGCCTTTGGACCATATTGGTGATAATAATCACTATTTTGTTAAGGGTTTATTATTAGATAAATACAGAAAGAATTTTTTACGTTACCTTTCAAATAATTTAAAAAAAAAAACAATCAATGATTAGAATTACTGATTCAAGTGAAAGTTAAGATAAACTTATTAATTAATTACATGAAATGATTATATCTACCCTTTACTTCTTGATTTCAAGCCATTTCCTTCACATAGTTTGTGAATGTAGGCTCTTTCTGTGGCTGTCAGTGAGGATGGAAATTCAAGCTCTGGTGAAAGAATAAGTAAAATCAAGACATGTAATCATAAAAAGCATTCTGAAAGTATATCTACCTCAATACATAGTTCCCTACCAGATTCTCCATACATAGTTCCCTACCAGACTCTCAATACATAATTCCCTACCAGACTCAATACATATTTCCCTACCAGACTCTCAATACATAGTTCCCTACCAGACTCTCCATACATAGTTCCCTACCAGACTCTCAATACATAGTTCCCTACCAGACTCAATACATATTTCCTTACCAGACTCTCAATACATAGTTCCCTACCAGATTCTCCATACATAGTTCCCTACCAGACTCTCAATACATAGTTCCCTACCAGACTCAATACATATTTCCTTACCAGACTCTCAATACATAGTTCCCTACCAGACTCTCCATACATAGTTCCCTACCAGACTCTCTATACAAAGTTCTCTACCAGACTCTCCATACATAGTTCCCTACCAGACTCTCAATACACAGTACCCTACCAGACTCTCCATACATAGTTCCCTACCAGAATCTCCATACATAGTTCCCTACCAGACTCTCAATACATAATTCCCTACCAGACTCTCAATACATAATTCCCTACCAGACTCAATACATAATTCCCTACCAGACTCTCAATACATAATTCCCTACCAGACTCTCAATACATAATTCCCTACCAGACTATCATTATATAATTCCCTACCAAACTCAATACATAATTCCCTACCAGACACTCCATACATAATTCCGTACCAGACTCTCAATACATAATTCCCTACCAGACTCTCAATACATAGTTCCCTTCCAGACTATCCTTACATAGTTCCCTACCAGAATCTCCATACATAGTTCCCTACCAGACTCTCAATACATAATTCCCTACCAGACTCTCAATACATAGTTCCCTACCAGACTCTCAATACAAAGTTCCTTACAAGACTCTCAATACAAAGTTCCCTACCAGACTCTCCATACATATTCCCTACCAGACTCTCAATACATAATTTCCTACCAGACTCTTAATACATAATTCCCTACCAGACTCAATACATAGTTCCCTACCAGACTCTCAATACATAATTCCCTATCAGACTCTCAATACATAATTCCCTACCAGACTCAATACATATTTCCTTACCAGACTCTCAATACATAATTCCCTACCAGAATCTCCATACATAATTCTCTACCAGATTCTCAACACATAATTCCCTATTTGTATATGGGTATATAACCGGACAACATTATCACTATTTAGGTCAAAAGGTGTATATAACAAGAAAACATTATTATTATTTATGTAAAAATGTGTATATAACAAGACAACATTATCATTATTTAGATCAAAATGTTTATAAAACTGGCAATTTTATTATTGTTTAGTCTTACTTGTTTATATAAGGCCTTCACAACTATTAATATAGCTTTTTTTATCTTGTTCAGGTCTAACCCGTTAAGGATTTGTTAAAATTAAGGTCCGAGTTATTTTTCGATTACCTACCTTTTTGGCTTTCATTCATTCGGAAACGTTCAATAGACAAATGAATAGCTATCTTTACTTCTTCCCCAATACAGATATCCTGGCCTGGTCGAGGTCCACGATCCTGATAGTCCTCACTAGATGCAAAGCTTTGGAAACTCTGAGAACTACTAGTACTGGATGGCCGAGGCGAAGCAACATCAGCTCTCTGCATCACCCTTGATGGATGTAAAGGAAATTGAAATGAGGATGCAACTAAAACATTATATAACTATTAACTAAAACTTCATTAATCAGGAACCTGAATATGAAGGAGCTTTGGTCAGATTTCTGTGTGATAACAATATTTATCATTTGGCAGGGACAGATTTCAAACTGGCAAGGTACTAATACATTGTTCAAATTTCTTCTTTTTTTTTCTTCTAATGATTACTGATAAAATTTACAAAGTAATTCTAGGCCCTCTAAATCAATTTGAAATAATATACCTGGTAATAAAATCAGTTGACAGATTATCAGAATGATAAAATTTACAAAGATATTTCACGCAATTTTAACTGAAATGAACTAGTAATATTTAGGTTACAGATTTGCAATGAGATCAAATAAATTCATCATTTCTTGGCTTTTTCAAATACAGTATATAAACAGATTTGCAGTGTATGCAAAGATCCACTTCAGATTGCCATTTATAATATTCATTCTCAGTCATTCTCTAAAAGAATTCACTGTAGTTAGATATAGCAATCTATAAAAACTACCCTCTAACATGCAGCTCTACTCAAGCCTTTGGTTGTATACTGCAGACAGTGTACATACAGGTATAGTTGTAGACTATTTATGTTACTTGAACATAACTTAAGGAATGCTATTATGTGACATCGAGCATACATTTTATGCTTCTTAGGTTCAGTTGTTAGAGCTGATTATTACTATAGTAGATGAAACATTGGAAATATTGGAAAAATCATTACTTTAAAATGATCACTTTTGTTGTTTGCTTTCTGATTTGAATTTACAAGAGAGTGGTAAACCGTCACATGCATGAAAAAATAACCTTAAAAAAGTTAAGTAAGATAGAAAAAACAAAACAAAATTCAGAAAAGATACATAGACACAGACACCCACCATGTTCTTGGCATGATTTTGTTTGTTTTTTTTTCTTCATTGAAATGGTTTCTGTTCTGAGGGATGATTTTAGGTAAAATTTGTGTACTTCTGGGCAACTGTTATGCTAACTCAGGTGTCTCTGTGATTTCAGTACATTTATGCATTTGTTTGGTTGAAGCTCATTGATGTAGTATTGCTATGATTAATAAGTGGTCCAAAACTAACACACCAAGGATATATTAATAAGAAAGAAGTCTGTGAAACAAACCATATTCAATTTTTTTCTTTTAATCTATAATAATTTCCATTGTTTTTAATATCGCATTTTCCCTTCATGAGAAATATGTTAATGCAAAAACTTCGGATTTATCTCAAACAAAATAAACACTTTCCCTTTCAAATCTCCTCTTATCACTTATCCCTGGTGCATTATTTTCGGACCCCTTAAGAATCATTTCACTCTAGCTATGCTATGTTAATGAACTCACACCAAACAAATACATTAATCAATTCAAATATGTTCATAATATAAGATTTATTTCAAAAATTGATCAGTGAAACACCAGTATTTTTCTGAAAAATACCTGCAGATCCAACCTCAAATTCACTCACTGTACCAGACATGTGACTTCACTCCTGTTTCTGATGATATCAATAAATCTCAGAGACACTTAAGACAGCTTAAAGTGACCCAGAAGTATACATCATCATTTGAACGGAAATGACTTTTGATGACAGAAAAAAAATCAAAATAAATAAAGGTGCGAAAATGGTGTATATCTGTGTTGATCTGTGCACCTTTTCTGATGGGTTAGTTTTTAAGTTTTTATTTTTTGGTTGTTTATTTTTTTAAACATGAACCGTATTTTTTGGCAAACTTTTTTCATAAAACAAACATCTTAAATTAGTTCATTTTTTATTGGTTTCTCTACAACTCGCTGGTTAATTAAAATCAGAAATAAGTCATAAAAACTGATAATTTAAAATATACCACTTTTCCGATATAAGATATGCGTGTTTGGACTTTTGATGCCAAAAAAAATGCAAGAAGGCATGGCCTATTATTCAGGGTCGATTTTTATTCATTTGGCAGATGACAACAAAACAATGGCATCCCAGGATTGGGTATTTCATCATATCTGCGAGTATGTTTGACATGTGAAAAAGGTGTATTAAGAAATAATACACAAATATTAACTGAATATTTTATGGTCAATGATTTTAATCATTGTTTTTTTCATTCTGGAGACGTGACATGTTACAATAATCAAAATTATCCTGGTGCGAGGTCATGCAAGTCAATAGTGCATGTGATACCCCTTGACAAATTGGCCGTTCCGAATTACATAACGGTCTGGAACTGATGTCCCGACGATCCATGTATAATTTGGTATATCGAAATATTGAAATAACTAATATTTCAACATTTAGATTTCAACATTATGCTGTAATCATCAAATAAGTTCGTAGGTCGGTGTAAGAATTTATTGAATAGTTCTGAATTTTCTAGCTCGACATCAACAACAACAACATCAGTCCGCGATCTGAGATCAAAATCTGAAGCAGACGATTTCTTTGAAAATACCAAAAAATATCGAACTTTTATCACGGATGTACAGATAACATTTTTTACTTCACAATTTTTTGAGCATCCGATAGACTAACTGAAACAATCATGAATCCATGTCAAAGTTTGTACCATCACTTACCTGCCAAAGGAACACCCCGGAGGAGGTTCACTTCGGCCGTATTTCCAGTTAGCAGCCATTGCAAATTGTTTCAAAGTGGAAAAAAACATGCAATCCGACGTACCGAGATAATTGGAAAATATGTTTTGCCAACATCATTTCCAAGTGTTTCCAAATCGATTGAAAATTACAATGAAAGGAACTAGGAAGAGAATATATTAACAGTAGGAAGGGCATGTATCGTTTGATAATGTTCGAAAATGATATATTTCGACCGGGCGCTTCACATATTGATAGATGGCGCTGTATTACTTTCACATTTGCAAACTTCCGGTTGTTTGGGTTCTCAAGAAACTCCACGCTTACCTGCAGTTAGTCCTAGCTAGATTACAGGAGCTCTCATCGTAAGCTTAGATTTTCAAGCGGATGTTTACTTTACATGGTAGGCGTAATATGAAATAAGCACTGTCTAATTGTTGGTCAACGAGATGCATATTTTTAGCTGCCAGGTCCGATGAAGTGTGTTTTTAGAAATTGTTTTTATATTTCGCAAGATTTTATTTCTTCTTCTTCTTCTTCTTCTTCTTCTTCTTCTTCTTCTTCTTCTTCTTCTTCTTCTTCTTCAAGAAAACAATGCATCATCATGATCAGACGGTGTTTTGGTGACACAGTTGTAACATGTCCGTCTAGCCGTCTGGGGTTCGATACCCTGAATTGATACGGATTTCCTCCCACAGTTAGACCCCTCGCATGCTTACAACAAGTGTGATTTTTATAAGTGAAACAATAAAGTTTCCATATGTAAACAATTCATGCTTATACAATCATATAACGTGAAGACAAAGAAGAACAAAACAAAAGACAACAAGATAATGTAAAGCATGGCATTATCCCCATACCCTGCTGTTAAAAAGAAAGACACACAATCATATTTATATGTTAATAATATAACAAGTGTAATTTTTATTTCTTATCGTTAATTGTTCCATACAAAGTATTGAAATGGAGAACTTCTACTGTTTTTGAGTATCGGACAATTACCCTGAGCGGTTTAAGAGAACTGGTCTGGAGAAGAACTGAACTCTGGGATTTGGCCTATCTAATAACAGAAAAAGTATTTGAATGGAGAACTTCCCCATAACAAAAGATACAACTAGCTTGATAAGTGTAAAAAGTTTTGAGCAATTATCTTGAGCAGTTTCAGAGCATTGGGCCAGAAAAAAAAAGTTTTTAGTCAAAATATGGTAAAGATAATATATAGTTAAGTCAGATTTGTAAATGTGGTGTTTATGTGTTTAACCAGTTTTTTTTCAGTATGTTCTCACCCACCATTTTCTGATCTGTTTGCGTTTGAGAGTTTTCATTCTGTTAATTAACAAATCATAAAATGCTTTTAGAACCTTAAGTTTTTAAGCAATGATGACTTGTCTTGTAGAAGCAGAAAAAAAGAGAGAAAAGTTGTAAACACTGCTGAAACTATTCTTTTATACATTGGTTTCAGAAAATCAATGTAAATATATATATTATATTAATATATGTATGTACAGTATGCAGATGATACAGCCTTCATTGTGGATGGACTTGAGAGATTCCTTAATGAATAAATGTTTTAATTAAACATCTTGCAAAAATTTCAGGTCTAAAGATTAATACTTAACAAAATGCAGATCATTTGGTTAGGAAGCTGTAAGTATAGTGATGTTACCTTTCGGCCATATTTGAATTTGCAGTGAGGTAAACATAAATTTACCTTCTTAGGAATCAAGTTTTCAGTTGAGTCAGATTCCAAAGATGAATTTTGATAAAAAGATCAGAAAACTTCAATCACTTCTTAATTCATGGAAAAGACAAAATTTAACTCCAATCGACAAAATTGATATTATCAAGGTGCTAATTATTTCACAACTGAATTATCTATTTATCACTCTCCCAGATCCACTCAAGAAATATATCACACAAGTAAACTCTCTATTATTTGATTTTTTGTGGGGTGGAAAATGGCACAAAATTAGAAAAGAGGTTGTTATTCAAAACTATATAGATTGTGGTTTGAAAATGATAAAGTAACATGCTTTTATCTTTTCTCTTAAGCTAGGTTGGGTGAGGAGAATCATTCATGCTTCTGATAAATGGAATCAGTTTCTAAAGTCAACTGTAGACTATAGTAAATTGTTTAACTGTGGGAAAGAATTATATTCATATATGCAGAACTCATTTTCACAACTTGTTTTGGAAAGATGTTTTCAAAGCCTGGGATATTTTGAATGATTCAGAATCTATGAAACATACCAGATTTCGTTCCATTTCAAAAACTCCTATATGGTATAAAAATGATATTCATGTTAACAATAAATTTGTCTATTATGCAAACTGGTTCACGGCTGGGGTTGTTACTGGGAATTTCCTTATGAAAAGTCCAGACAATAATACCTTTTATTCATTGAGGAATTTCTGCAACACTTTCAAATCAATACTAACTTTATAAAATATCATGGGTTGGTGACAGCTATTAAACAATTTTTGAGAAAATGTGATTTACAATTGGAAATACTGCCACAGCTTTTCATACCTCAAATGTGTTTAATGAAGTTCCAGTCATACTTCCGTTTAAGATTGAGTGGGCACCTCAAGCTTGTTGATTTTGAATTATCACACACAATATCATACAGTGCTTGCTGTGCTTGCTATAAATAACAATAATGATAATAATGGAGTCAGTCAGCATATTGTATCTACTACAAATGTACAAAGAAATTATGAAATGCCATTACAGGAATGATCAAAGATGGTACAGCTTTACCTTCAGAAGAGTTAGTGTATGAAACAGTCTACCAGATCACATAATAACGGTTTCATACATCCATCAATTTGAAAACAGATTCAACAAACTATTGGAGAATAATCCAAGATATTTTTCAGAGCTGCCAACAGAGGACCAATAGGTTCTGCAGGCAGATAGGACATAAGTAATATCGCTTTTGAAAATTGTCTAGTTTTCTCAAGATGGACTCATTGTTATGGTACAACAAAGGCATCTGTATCTTGCATGTACTCACTGTTTATCACGGTTAATCTGGTTCCCCTGGTATCCAGGCAGTGATACTAAAAACAGATCTTCCTAATGTTAATTTGCCCCTCTAACTGGGTTGCTTCAGAATCTGTCTCAGTTAGATCACAATTATGCAAGATAAAATGCCTCTCTTATCCAGATGCTTATTTTCATCTTGTTTCCAGCTGGATATGCTGGCAGGCTTTCTGACCACATACTCGATACAATGAAAGTTGTTTGTATTTATCTGATTATAGGTTGACTAAATGTGGATGTCCTGTCATTCACAGTGGTCACTAGTCAGGTAATTATAGTCTTATTACTTTGTCTTGAGCACATGTTTGGCTGTTGAAAAAATATGAATGGTAATGAGGTCCTATTGTATGCAAACAAATTATGTCAAGATTCACTTGTCTTGAATTGTGTTATTTGATAACAAGCTCTTTAAACCGTCGGTCATCATTGTTATTGTTTTTTGTTGGTTTGGTTTTGTTTACAAATGAAAACGGTTCAGGTTACAGTGGTTAAATGGGCAGGCCCTGGTCATTTTCACCACCTTCTAAGCCATAGTTTAACAGCTGGTTATTTTGTTGATCTAATTTTGTTGGGTACTGTTTATAGCCAGATAAATGTTCCAGCATCAGCAACGTTTCCCTACTTTTGCTCAAAATCCAATACATAGTTGTGATCTTACAACCTCATTTGGATTGTACTTTTTAACGCTTCATATAATTTTAGTGTTTATTCATTTGTTATATATGGATGCTTATCGTGTCTGCTGTTATATAATTACTGACAGGGGACATAACTCTTAAAGATCATGTTTTGGCCTGCTATAGTAATACAGCCACTTCACTATCCAGATTCTTTTGCTTGAAAGCAGAGGTGGCTGGATTAAATAAGCTCCACTTTAAACAACACAAACAAAAACCCAGCATACTTTGCATGATGCAATGGGCTGGATTTTTTCCTTGTGTTGTTCCAGATACAGGTGCCTGTGGTAGAAATTCTGACTGTTTATCTGCGATTTAATTTTTTGCTTTGGTAGCACAATGGTTATTAATTATACATATTGGTAGGAAATCTTTTACTTTTCCATTGATATATTATTATAGACATGACATTGCCTGAATTGTGTTAAAATAAAGGGAGGACTATTGACTAAGACCAAGACAAAAATATCATTAGAAACCCTCAGACTAAAAACTCATGTGACTGTTAATGCCTGTTGATCCTTTGTTGTGACTTGTATTTTCTTCTGATTTCAGAATCTTCAGGATTAGGTGTGCTGGAATCAGATATTAAATCATAGTGTGAAAGTTCCATATAACAAAGATATCTGTGATAATGAACAATCATCCTGGACACAACCCTCCTACATCAGGAGCACCACATGCCCCTCATCCTGGTGTCGGGTCAGGCCCAACACAACACATGTCTGGCAAAGTTTACCCACATGACCAGCCAATGGTGTTCAATCCATCAAATCCAAATGCTCCTCCAATTTATCCATGTGGAGCTTGTCATAAGGAGGTACATGACAATGATCAGGCTATACTTTGTGAAAGTGGCTGTAACTTTTGGTTCCATCGGATCTGTACAGGACTCAGTGAGCCTGCATTCCATATGCTTACTCAGGAAGTGTATGCTGAATGGGTGTGTGACAAGTGTTTAGCAACCAAAAACATTCCGCTCATCAAGCTAAAATCATGAATTTTGTAGAATGGTGCACAAAATTATTACTACCAAATTGTATATTTACATGTATGGAACAAGTGATGTAGGTAATTACATCCGATACTATTATTTACATAGTAAATTTCATAACTGTCAAATTTTTGAAGAAAATGACCATTCAAGGGGTTCTTCTAAATTATGATATTGAATGCCAAGTAGACTTTAAGAAATGTAGTTTTAATAACTGTAATTTAGACTAAAATACTATTTTGTACATAATACTGCATCCCACTAAATACAAAA